GAAAACATTAAAACTGAATTAAGAATTCAGATTCTTCAGTAACATAATCCTCCTTTTCGAAGAAGTATTTACAAATATGTAGGGTTCACTCCATTTCTGATATCATATATGACAACATTATAAGTTTTGATGAAGAAATCATGCTTGTTGGTAAATTCTCGTGGACAAAAAACATTTTGTAGCTGCGACAGAAAACATTTGAAAAAAAAACCCAACTTATTAACACGTACATATTTCAATAACAACATTTTAGGTATGAATTTCAAGTGTTTTAAACCTAAGTCGAAATTCTGGCATGATCTAAGTGAAGAGGTCAAGGAGGTAGGCTTGTATAATAACACAGAATATATTGTTATTGGAAATCTACGTGTTAAGTAATATATTATGGTTTTAGAGGTTTATGCCTAAGGTACGACATATGCGCTATAAACCAATTAAGATCTAGACAAGTAACTAATGGGTTAGATTATGACTCTGCTTATAAGAAAGTCCTATGGCCTAGATGACGTTAACAATTTATTACATATTTACTCTACAATCAAGACGGTTTAGCTACGTTTCGATTATTGCGCACTCTTTCCGTCGAGTGGTTGTAAAATTATAAATCTGGAGATACCTCGATGTATCAACACGAATTACAATGGTTGTAAACCACAAGCATTATAATCTTGAAAATATTTAATTGTTGTACAATCATTTAAAATCCTACTTGAGATGTAGATACTTCAGAATGAACACGTCGCATTGTAGATACAACCGCATTACGCCAGACTTTATAGCAACTTTACTGGATAGATGTTTATTTACAAAAATAGAAATAATTCCAGATTTTCAACCAGCAAAGAAAATGATTACACATTAATAGTCCTAAAATGGAAGCACAAGTCATAAAGTTATATCCTTCTTAGCTGATATACACACTATTAGATGCAATTTATATTAAAATGGTCACAAACCAATTTTACTCACCATTCGTTTTAGCAATTTCATGTGATACTTTAAATATTCTACGAAAGACAAACAAGTAAATAACACCTTTTAATAATTTAGAGTTGGAGAGAGTAGAGCCAAACAAAGAATTAAAAGCATCATACTGCTGCTTCGTCCTTACAGAGATGCTAAGGGCCTTAATTTTGAAGCCTAGGAAGCGACTGAGGAGAAAGAAAGTGGGAGAAAGAAAATGTAAATCATCGGACGAAGGAAAAAAACTTCATCTAAATAATTTTCATATGACTACATGTATCTTATTACGTGCCTTTGTTTATTCTACTATTGCTGACATTAAACAATCTAATTTATCGACATTAAACCAATTATCTTGCTCGTACATTTATAAATATTAATTACCCATGCTGATCTTTAAAATGTAAAATGGAACGTTTGAATATTTAATCTTAGAACGGGATGCAAACATATATTCATTTTTGTATGGCTTTCAGTTCTCTTAAAGGGTAGGACCAATTAGGGGGTATCACCAAATGATTCTGAATTGCCCTAACCTGGACACGAACCCAATATACTGAAGATGGCGAATATGTGCTGACTGCAACTGACTAAACATTAACATCAATCACTAAGAATCATTCAACACCAAGGCCATAAGCTCAGAAATCCAATAGATGTATCTAATATATCAAGTATCTATTGTTTCCACAACTAATCTAGTGCTTTGTATGCACTCCAGCATCATTGGTTTTATATAATTTTCAGTGGTTACACAAGAACTCACAAGAATGAATGAAAATGTGAGGGAAACAAGTAATATAGATTAATGATAAAATTCTTTGATCATTCTTTAAGAATGCCTGTTGGATGAGACCTGAATCTACAGCTCTTTCAGCGTGAATAGGCATGACATGTATTCAAGTGGAAGTTTACTTTAAATATTTAACAAATTCCTCGTCTATAATCAGTAGAAAATACTGCGTAGATATAAACCAATCATACATCAAAGTCAGCCATACAGAGGGATATTAAGAACACGAAGGAAGGGGATTATCATATCAAGGATAGTGATAAATCAGAATGCTCTGTTTTACAGCTTTTTTATCTGTTGAAAACGTTAGTGAACCTGAATTAATGCCAATCGTTTTATACAGTTGATATTTCAGGACGTGTAATGTTGCTAGATGTCTTGCAACTTTTAATGATACCTGGACATCTAGTTTCAAAGCTAAGTTGTACCGGAAGTCATGATCTTGTGAAGATATGGTACACACTGGTAATCTTCCCATAGCCAGCCATCTGTGAGATTGTCACTGCATTCGACATCATCGTAATAGGATTTTATCAAGTACATCGCTCGTAATCGCCTTATATAGACATTGTTTATCTATGTGTAAGGTTACCATGGAGAAACAAATTCAGTTGAATGAGAAAGAAATAAAGAGGAGGAAAATGTAATAGAATATAGAGAAAACATTCAAAGTCGATGAAACAAGGCCAAATTATAAACAAAACAGAAAAATCTTGAATGTTAAGTATTTCCTATATAATCGACGGCAGTGTAATTATTGGTAGATCACCATAAATGTGGTATTCTAATGTTGTAATCTAATGTAAGATTCTGTTGTCATGTTGTTATTAGCTCTCGTTTTGAAGACTTTGAGTTTGAACTAAGATTCTGTTGTCATGTTGATATTTGTTCTCGTTTTGAAGATTTTGAGTTTGGACTAAGATTCTGTTGTCATGTTGTTATTTGTTCTCGTTTTGAAGACTTTGAGTTTGGACTAAGATTCTGTTGTCATGTTGATATTTGTTCTCGTTTTGAAGATTTTGAGTTTGGACTAAGATTCTGTTGTCATGTTGATATTTGTTCTCGTTTTGAAGATTTTGAGTTTGGACTAAGATTCTGTTGTCATGTTGATATTTGTTCTCGTTTTGAAGATTTTGAGTTTGGACTAAGATTCTGTTGTCATGTTGTTATTTGTTCTCGTTTTGAAGATTTTGAGTTTGGACTAAGATTCTGTTGTCATGTTGTTATTTGTTCTCGTTTTGAAGATTTTGAGTTTGGACTAATATTCTGTTGTCATGTTGATATTTGTTCTCGTTTTGAAGATTTTGAGTTTGGACTAATATTCTGTTGTCATGTTGATATTTGTTCTCGTTTTGAAGATTTTTAGTCTTGACTAAGATTCTGTTGACATTTTGTTGTTAGCTCTCGTTTTGAAGATTTTGAGTTTGGACTAAGATTCTGTTGTCATGTTGGTATTTTTCAGTCGTCTATGATAACAAACTTCATTTGTTGCATAATTTATTAACATATGCCATAACAACCCATGTATTTACACATGAATCTCGTTTTTGTTTTATTCAATAGTAAATGTTACCCTGATATACATTAAAAATAATATTCACATCCTACGTGTTTATGTCATAAGTATAACAAATTGTATGTTCTATTACAACCCAGAGTGGTTATGCCTGTGCAGGTAAACAACTAGATGTCTCAAAGCTTTCCACAAATAATCGGTTATCACTTTCATTATACAAAATACTGACATACCCAAAGTTGTAAGACTAATTGTAGAGGCCTTCTTAAACAATTAAGTAACTTAATTCATCATTTGCGTCATCTGTATCTGATTTAACCCAATCTATTGGTAAATTTAGTAAATTTAAATGAGAAGAACAAGTACACTGCAGCTACGAGGTTGGATAAACAAAGATGTTTTCCTCTCTTATTAAATCAATTATTATTTTTGTTATCATCATCTCCTTCATATTATACAATATTGCCGGAAGGCTTCATTAATATGACGCTTTGTAAACATCATTAATTCTGCTTATGGTAAATGCCAATGTTCCTAAGTATAATTGGAATAGATTTATTTATATTTACTCCCCATTTTTAGAGTGTAGATCATAAATAATCACGACTTACTGAATGGTACCATGTAGTTGCACGCGACAGGACTCCGGCCACTTACCGTAAAACATGAAGAATGGTAAACGGTATTCCATTTACATCCGTGTTTATCATATTGAAATATACACAAAACCATTGTTTGCTTTTACTTTTCATTGTTACGTGTGAAAAGAGAAGTTTCAATATCGTGTCAGATAATGTACTTAATGAATTGATTTAAGAGAAGTTTGCACTGAAAATAACTCGTTAAAGTGTGTTGAGATTTTAATCATTTCTCTTTAAAGAAAATCTTACAATACTATTAAAATGAATTTCAATGGACATTTCGCACATGTCTTCATAGTGTGCAATTAACACAATGTTTTATACCAATACATTATCAATAGAAAATAACCACATGTCAATTCGTTTACATACTTTATACAGAATACTTACAGTCCTGATTGACACAGGTATAATGTAAGAGTGTATTTGGTTTTATTTAATACCCCATAACGAAATAAGTAATATAATCATTGGGGGTGTTACTATGTAACGAAGGAAGTAAAATCTATATAGGGTTTTGTTAAGCTAATTTAAATCATGTATATTAATTTCAATTCTTTCTTCTGAAGTTATATGGGTAACACATTATGTGTTATGTATTGCACTAACCACAATGTTAACTACTTCCACATCATTGTCTTGGTGTCATATTTTGTTGATAACGCTGGTGTTATGTATTGTTGATGATGTTAGTGTTATGTTTTGTTGATGATGTTGATGTTATGTATTGTTGACGATGTAGATGTTTTATATTGTTGTTGATGTTTTTCATCACAGAAATACCTTTTTCACATTAATCAATATAACAGCTCTCATACAAATTGTGTCTACAGAGAAATGCTGATAAGCTGAATTATTCCATGTGTAACGTATGTAACGTATATGTCTCATTTCCTTAAATGTATATCTTATCATAACAGTAAAAGAATTCATCTTCTCAGACCATAACAGAGGTCAACAAATCATTATTTGGCAGACTTGATTTTATAAATTTCTATTATATCAATTTGCAGATTTGTAAAATTGCTTAATTAAGTATATTGTTAATGTAATTGTTGTATCATATTAGCGATGCTTGACATTTCAGATTACCTAAAAGATATAGTGCGAAACTGTGGAATGGTATCTTTTGATAAAGAAGAGATGATAATCAAACAAGGGGATAGAGGCGATTGGTAAGAGACATTCTGACTGTGACATCAGCTTTATCATTTTTATATGTATAGTATTCTATACATCACTAGTTATCGCTCTTTTTAAATGACAAGCATTTCATTTTCCAAAGTAATATATTACGGATACATCATTTATGAAGCAAGCTAGCTAGTGTATTGATTTCTTTGTCATCGGCGCTTTCCATAATAAGCTAATAGTCATTATCTCACTGGAAATATTTTATTTGTTTTACGTTTTCCCCGTTACATAATTTTTGTGTACATTATATTCTTCCTGCGAGAATAATCTCTCATATCTATTCGGAATAGTCTTTTAGTAGTGACACAATGGTAGCAAAACGGTATATAATTAGGAAGAAAGTCATTTGTCTTTTCTTTCGAAGAGTTTTCTTATTTTGATTTCAGTTTTTATATAATCCTGGACGGTAAGATATCGATCTTTATACTGAACAAGGACAAGGATGCCGATGACGATGACAAAGCAATGGAAGAAATCGGTAAACGGACACCGGAAGGAAAGTTAGACAGGAGCAAACTCGGCAATTTCGTCACACATTTAGGTAAAACTTGATCAGGATAACTTATATATCAATGTTTCTCTTCTTAACTAAGATGAAATAAAGATATGAAACACAGTTCTATCATTATACATTACACTTTTTATTTTCTTTATTAACAATACCTGTATTTGCGTCTTTAAACTGCCTCTACAGTTCCTTGAATTTCTTTTTATCTCAGTGACACATCATTTCGTTTTGTAAAAAAAAAACCATATCTATTGATGGAATATCTAATTTCCATTGCTAAATTTTTCCTTGTTCGCAGGGTCCGGCGTTCCTTTCGGGGAAGTGGCACTGATGTCAGACGATTGCATTCGAACAGCATCTATCATTTCTGAAGAAAAAACAGACCTTCTTGTAGTGGACAGGGCGCTTTACAACAGAGCCGTCAAGATCGTTTTAGCAAAGGAATTCGAAGAAAAAGTAGAATTTATCAAATCAAACCCTTTATTTGCCAACTGGGCACCAAGATACAGGAAGCAATTGACCATGGCGATGTATAAAGAAACATTTCCGTATGACAGTATTCTCGTCAAGCAAGGAGAACCTGTCACCAATATATACTTTGTTATAAGGTACATACCAAATGGTTGTATAAAAGACACAAGGGAACACATCCTTCAATACAAATTAATATTTAGAGATAGTAGGGTCAAGAAATAAACGAAAGTGTATCATACCGCTGTTGGCGTCCCTATAGGACTGGTCAGAGATGCTAAGGGGTCAAAATATTAGAATTGGGAGGCGGCTAAGGCAAAACAAAATTGATCAGAATGAATATCAAACATTCCATGTAGGGATACACCATAAAAGAGTCAAAATAATGAAGAAGTATTTGGTAAAACCAGCACATCGCTCCCTTGACTTTGTTATTCTTTTTCCTGTTTAAGCTGATAGGTTCAATATCAGTGTCGTTTTATCATTAATGATTATATACTTTCTTAATCATTATCTTAAAACCACACACTACCTACCATTAACTCAGTAAACATTCTAGTCTCTTCCGATTTAGATCAATAAGAATATATATATATATATAAGGATATACAAATGGAAGTATACTCCCTCATACTGTCACTTTTCCTTTCTTAGCGGTCAAGTGGAGATCCAGATTGATCCTTCCCACCACCAAGTGCAATATCCACGCATCTTTATGGAGGCCCAGAACGAGTCAGACAGGTGTGTAATGTCAGAACGAGTCAGACAGGTGTGTAATGTCAGAACGAGTCAGACAGGTGTGTAATGTCAGAACGAGTCAGACAGGTGTGTAATGTCAGAACGAGTCAGACAGGTGTGTAATGTCAGAACGAGTCAGACAGGTGTGTAATGTCAGAACGAGTCAGACAGGTGTGTAATGTCAGAACGAGTCAGACAGGTGTGTAATGTTATTCCCCCGGTGAACCCTCTCAGGTCTTTTTTGTGTCCTCCGTCTATTCAATGCTTGATACACAGCTATACATCATACTTACAGATATAAATAAATATATCCATCATACTCATTCTTTTTTATTCTGAATTGTTTAAGAAGACGCTTAAATATGTACTTTTTATTTGTTCTGTGTCCATAGGTTGATAAGAAAACACGAGAAGATCCGTCCCCCAACAGAAGTACAGTATTCGACTTTCGTGAAGAAAAAAGACTCCACCAAATACTCTAAATTGTGTATTCTAGGCATCAACGAAAGTATAGGTAAAGTATTCAAAAACATCATACAACCCATTTCGACTGTGTTTGATTTGCTTAAACAGTTTGAGACATATGTTGATCTAACACTGCACGTCAACAATCTCGTTTTTTCTTTCTCTCTAGGAGAAGTGGAGGTTTTATTGGATCTACCGACTTATACTCAGACAGCTGTTTGTACGGAGAAAACCGACGTACTCGTGCTGGAGATGAAACACTACGAACGTCTGTTTGTGCGACGACATCCTCGCACCATCGAGTCCATGCGTGCAATGTTTAAAGTGAAATTAGACACACGTATGAACCTACTTACCAACAAAGAGGAACTGCCATTCTTAAACCTTTTAAAAGACAGAATTGATTCATACAACAATCCGAAACCATCCGCGGATAAAAAGAAAAAGGAACTTACCTCCGCTTCCGCAGCAGAAAAGGAGTTCTTGAACCACAAAGGACCGCTAATAGACATGTACGGTCCTGGTAGTGTATTCTATATGATCCGTGTTAGGGAAAAACACAAGCAAAAATACAAGGCTCACAAAGAACGCGGAAATTTCAAGAAACCTGTCACTAACGACAATGGTCATTTGCACTCTGTCAGGGTGCCTCATACACTTCTAATGGCAGCACAAATGTCTGGAGCGACCAGGGATTCGGATGCGTTAAGTGAACGTTCAGAACAAACACGAATTTTGTCTAGCAGAATCCCCAGTGCCCGTTCTCTTCCTCATCGTAATGCTCGGTCTTTTCGTCGGATACAGAGTGCTACGCGAGCCACTGAGTCCGAGGAAAAACAACAAAATGAAGAAAATGAAAAGAATAATGATCATGTCGACGATGATGATTTTGAATTGGCAAAATCTCTACCTGACACTCGACAGGCCACAGTCATGTTTCCCGACACAAAGGAAGACATGGCTCTTACGTCACTTGAAGAGAGAGTCCGGGAATGGCTTGACAAAGGTAGCACATCGCGTGGATCTCCACAAGTGGCGCAGCTTAGACGACTTCCGATGCAGGTAGGATACATATCGCATACTGTCTTTCCTCGTGTTACTTATCTGGTTTAAAGATTTTAAAGATTGCATCACCTTTAAAAGACAGTATTTTAAAAAATATACCTTAATTATTTTAATAAGTAAATGAATGTAACTTTATTCAAATAGTTATATACAAAGTATACTTGTCCGAGAACTTTTGAGACTTAGCATTTTTATTAACATGTTTGCAAATTTCGGAATATAGATCAGAAGAAGGAATTTGACAATGTTGTGAGTACATATTCCAGCTTGTTACCTGCAAAGGTTAGATAGTTAGAACCCTAACGTTTTAAACCTGAACACATTAGATAGACCAAACCCTTCACAGTATCTTCACTCAACTCAGTTCCATAATCATTATCCCATTATCTAATGAGAAATACATGAAATAATGTCTCCTTGTGGATACAATTATTCGTTACGTTTTTTAATATCAGAATATCAGAAAATCAGAAAATGCTAATTCAAAGCGTTTAAAGAAAGAAAGTTTCCTTCCAAAAATTCTACATCTTTAAATCACTTTTCCACAAGAGTTACTTCCAAAACACGCTCCGCCCTGGTGTAATTGGCATTCCGTCTCTGAATCTGACCAGTTCATCATATCAACAATAACGATGTTTAGTGCATAAACTAGTTTAATTATATGCTTAATCCTGGTGTATTGCTTCATTTTAGAAAAAAAGCATTTGTAACAATCCTTACGTATTGAAAACATGAGTGCATGTACCTGTATACAAAGCAGGTACATTGTCGATACATTTGTTTAACCTTGTCCTTTGATTGTGACAAATGATATATGTTTTAAATGATTAAGTCAATGGTTTAGCTTATAGACGTACTAGAACATGCATTCTTAACCACTTTCAAACCCAGTTTTTAATGTAATATTTCTGGTCTTACTGCCAGAACTTTGCACAACACTTCATTGTGAATTATATAGTACTACAGTATGAGTGTACAATCATTTGATCGGTTGATACTCTTGTATAATTTTGACAAATCATTTGTCCTTTTTTATCATTTTAACATATTGTTTCTCTCTCTCTCTCTCTCTTTAATCATGTAGGAACTTGAGACGCAGCCCAAGCCGGGAAACAAAGTGATATTGAGACGACGCGTTCGCTTAAATGATCCACCGGAAATAGAAAGAACTTTCCACAACGGGGAAACAACTATGGCTCCAACAGAATCCATTGAACATTTTAAAATTCTTATAACCTAATTACATTTAAGTCAAACTATAACAAACGTGTATCAACACGGAGACAAAGAAACTGTCTGTGGAAGGTAATGTATAAATGTATAAACTGGTTCTCGGCAATGAATGGTAAAATAATATTTATGAAGCTATGCAGACAGAAATTTTGCTTTTCTATAATGTAAGTGCATTGTACCCGACAGCGTATGTATTAACAGATAAACTGTGATATCACGAAGACAAGTTACGAACAGTTCAATGGTCAATTTCAATTAAAGGGAGATAACTCCAGGACTTTACATAGAGCTGTATCTATTTCGATGTATGACATAAATACATATATAAGGGCGTACTCAGTAGAAGCTAGATTTCAAATGTATATAATTTATATGACAATAAATATGTAAGAAGATAAGGCAGAAAGTGTTATCAAAGAAGAAAATAACGCCTTTGTAAGCCGTTTGTTCTGAACATATTCCACATGTCACAATATCTAACAGTAGATCTCAGACAGCTATTCTTCATAATTGATTTACAAAACAATATCAACTTACTATACAGGCATGTAATGAGATCGGTAAAAGATATACAACGTGTGCGCATCATTATATCAGAATCAATAGTGTAGAAATCCTGACCTATATGGTCAAAATGTAAGTTTTGTTGAGTGGATTACAATGTTGGAACACACATACAAAACTGCGATTTTATGACTTCACTACCGTGGAAACGTCTTAATAAATTATACGGTTACACAACAACTCAGAGAAATAATAGAACATATTTTTCTTCAGAATATAATGATACAAAAAAAACTGTGTATTATGTGATATGAGAAGTTAATCACGCTAGTTACATGATAAATATCGAGTTTCCATTTGTACCAATGAGTGAGATCGTAATGCATCGTGTACAACCTTTAACCGTCTCGGTCGAAGTCCTTCTGTTATATACAATACTAAAGGTTGACATACTATCAATTTGTGGTGATATTTCCCTTCGTTGTCATTTTAGATACAACCATGAAACATCTGAAATAGAACATATATAACACAATATACAATTGATACAATACAAGTAGTGAAATAAAAAAGGATTTCAATTATTCCAATTTTGATCTTTAAACTTTATGGTATGAAGAGGATAATTTATCACAGTGTTATATCATTAGTTAATGCAACCTAGTGTCAACTTGTCACAAGAACATTAACACACAACGAAGGACATTCAAGACATCTGAACTAAGCCAATCATCCATAGCAATGCTTGAAGACACAAAAAATGGGATAGCTTATTTACAAGGACAAATTTAAATAGATGTTTTATATCACAACCAGTAGAAAACTTAAGTGTGACGTTCCGACAACAAATTTAAACGACCAGTGTTCTAGCCTTGGCTAATGCAGTATTCTGTATAGATCATGAGGAATCGACCGACTTTTTCGGCTGTACTTTAATCCAATGTACATTTACTATAGCAAAATTTGGGTTGCCTTGTCCTAGCTGTCTGTACTTTTTTCATTATCAAATATGATATATTTACGTATGAGTTTATCAAGTATGAGTAATAATTTATAGCATGAGAGTAACAAAATAAGGTGAACATACAGTATACATGTAATGAGGAAAAAGATGTTAAGGAACAAATGTTTCAATTCTTTGGGAACCTAAGGGCTTAAGGAAGATGAGATGATTAATATTGAAACAGGGTTTTTTCTCTTTTGTATCTATGTTTAGAAAATACTTACATAAAAAGAATTAGCATTATTACACTATATCCACCGAATTCCAGAAACACGAACCCACGGAAGCTGCTAACAGTTGCTGTATATATCGACTTTGACGACACTTCCGCCGCCACAGTACATACAGACTGTATTACTGCTGTTCCAGAAAATAACGCACCTATAAATAAAATAGACATGTTAATGATACAGCATATTGTTCGATGCAGTTATCGATGTACTCAAACATCCAGGTTTTTCTATTTGGTAATCAATCAATGTACAATATGATATGGAATGATCCTTGATATGTATGCAGACAAAAACGTTGTCACAATGTATGTAACTCAATATGTACCTACCGCCCGCATGACCATTGATATGAATTGTTGTGAAATACGAGATATTTGGTTATAAATGATACATTATATTTTCCTTGTATATGCATTTACATGCTTCACAAAGTCAAAGGTGAACAAACCTTGTCTATCTGGAGGTGTCATTTTGGACAATATTGACCGGATCACTGGACTGCATAAATAACAAAATATTCCCAGTATTGGAACTGAAATAAAAAGCACATATTGAACCCTACCACACAACTGAAAAACGTTACCGGTATCTCATATACAATAAAGATACTAGCGTGCCAACAAAGCAGAATTTCAGCAGGTGTCTTCTAGTGTCATTTAAGCGTTACGAACGTGTCAACTATTGTGAAGTATTTAACCTTGCACTTTAAAACAAAAAAGCAAATTATTTTCATTTCCTCTTGCTAACGATTCTGGTAAATATGTTTCTTTGTATTATTTTTACGATATCGCTTACTAGTTTTATATAGCACGTACCATTTCCCAACTACAAGGTCTCCCATCAAGGGAGCTTATCACACTGTTAATCCAAAACGTTACCGATTAAGTAAGTTTTGCTAACAGTAAGAGCTAAACTTTCTAATACAACCCAAGGAATAAGATATATTAGCAACTTACCGAACATCAGCATTACATCATTGACTGCCAAAGCCTCTGTGACATAGCTAACTATGCTGGACATAACGCTGACAATGACAATAATTTCATCAGGGAGACAGCGCTGGAAAAGTTTTATAGAACTAAGACCGATGACGTTGCGCACTACGTCATTTATGCTTGAGTACCATCCTATTAAAATAGAATTCCAACAAAATGGGACATTCAGCTGATACAACTCTTCTACGCTCTGTCTACCAACAATAGACATGGTGTAAGCAACATAGCCCAGCGAAAGTACAATATACTTCCATCTTTTACCTTCTGATGACGTATCGTGCGTGTAAAATGTAAACGCGTTTTTCATCAGATTCAAAATGTTTGTTGTTGAGCGCATTGAGTGTTGTAAAGATTCAGGGAGGAAAAGTAATACTGTAATCAAATTCAATGCATTCAGGGTTGATATAACTATCATTGAATACACAAATCCAACGTCTTTAATCAAATAACCAGAAGTAACTCCAGAAAACACCAAACCGAATCCAACCGAGATCTCCACGAGAGTGAAACCGAAGGTGCGTGTTTTGTCGGTGGAAGATAAGTCGGACACGTAGGCATATCCCAGAGATAATACCAAACACCATCCCCCTGTCAACCCTTCTATCCCAACAAACAAAAAGAAATAGTTCAAACTGATAGCTGTGCTCATTCCCATTGCGATCAAAACAGTTTTCAGAAAAGTTCCAATCAAGGAAATAATAACGAAGAGCTTCCTTCCGTATCTATCACTAAACGATCCCATTACAACATCTGTTAATATAGCTGGCATGCATGCGAACAACGATGATAAAATGAGCCAATCACTAGTCATCTTTTGTACATCAGTACGTTCGATGTATGCCTGTGATGTCTTGTTGGTGTTACACTGGGAGTCACCGTTATTGTTAAGGAAAGATGAGTCTGGATACTTTTGTTTGCCGAGATAAGAGTACACGTATTGTTCGATGACCATGTTGCTGTAAAGAAATGAGTATAAGTGTATAGTCAGACAAGGTCCCATCAAATAGTGACCCCATCTTAACGAAGATTTACATGTCCGTTCTGATTTTGTTTCTCCATTAGCCTCAACCCCGGAGTCAGTGTTGACGATATATTGTTGAGGTGGAAGAAGTGGACTTTCATCGTCTTCATCCATTTTGTCCAAAACTGATTATTACCTGGAAAGTGTTTTTTTTTCTGAAAATACACAAGTGTTTCAAATCAGGTATGTTTTGACAATATCACATAACTCATCAAATATATTTGTCTACATTTTAATATACCATGGACAAAAGAATTTTGTTACAATAATTACCGTCTATTTCAAATGAGTTAACCTGTATTTACCTACCTTTGTTTTATCCGTGGTTATCGCTGTGCCATCTAGCCTGCCTGAACCTAATGGGCGAGAAAAAGAACGTCACCAATGAGCGGGGATTCTTCTAGGAATTATCACAATTAACTCCGTGGTGTACATCTTTAAAAAATACACATAACTTGGAAAGATGATCATATCTTAAAGAGTGTTTAAGATTACCAGAAAAATAACACAGCAAGTAGAAGATTAGAGTGTGACGTTTTGATGACTACACGATCACATTCATCAGGTGAATGACCAGTGTGGAGCGTGCTAGCACTGACGTACGTAGTGTACAAGAATGTACGGAATCGACCGACTTTTTGCGGTAGCACTATAATCCAATGTATACTAAGGTCGAAAATGGTGTGACGAAATGGTAAACAGATTACAGACCAAAAAATACACCAGATGGTAACAATGTACTATAGTCATTTGGGCTACGCTTTGTTTAACACTTGGTCATAAACAACATATCAAAGGAAGAACACATTGCACTTAAGCAATTGAGCAAGGATAGATCTATTATAATTTACTAGCAGACAAGTCGTAATGGACACTAATAAATTTGAGAACAAAGTCTTTGCTATGCTCGAAGACAACAAAGCATATGAAATTCTTAAGAACGACCCTACCCAAAACTTCAAAAAGCGCCTGGTAGCTATCTTATCAAAACTAAAAGAAGAAAATAAGTTCACCGAATCACAATATAGACACCTGTATCCCACTGCAGAGAACACGCCTAGTGTACTGCATACCCAAGTTCCACAATACATTACGGCCTATAGTTGGCTATACTGCTTCCATTTGCTATAATGTTTCCAGGTTACTATCAGGCACTCTCGGACCCTTGATGGGTAATCTGAACACCATGCCAAAAAACTCGAAAGACCTTGCAGAACGTATGTCCATGGTACCAAAACGATTAGGAATTCATTTCACACGATGCAGTGACTCTTTTAACCAATACACACACTGACAAAGCATTCGGTATCAATCGGAGCCGTCTATAGCAAGACCAGTCATGGCGAAAGAACATCAATCTCAATAACCAGGACATCAAGGATTTACTAGAATTTGTGCTTAAAACAACATACTTTGCCTTCCGAGATACCATTTATAAGCAACGGTTTGGCATAGCGATAGGTAACCCAGTGCCTCCGATTGTGGCTAACTTATTCGTGGAACACTTGGAGAAAGGGGCTATAGCCAGAGCCCCCGTAGAATGCAAACCCAGTCTGTGGAAGCGGTATGTTGATGACATATTGAAAATAGTTAAAAAAAAAAAAAAGTCACAGAAAGATTTGACTGAGCATAACAATACCGTAGATACCACCAACAGCATCAAATTCACCTGTGATGAAGAAATCAATGGTGCTATATCATTCCTTTACACCCTCCTGGTATAGAAAAAAGACGGTACTATAGGAAAAAGACGAACACAGACCAATACATCAACTTACTATCGCACCATCCCTTACACTAGAGGTTGGGCATTGTACGAACCTTGATCAACGGAAGTGAAACGATTGTCATAGAAGAACAAGACAAGCAGCAAGAGCAAAATCCCATCCATAGGGCCATGAAAACATGTGGGTACCCTTATTGGGCAGTTCAGAAAGTTAACAATGAATTTGACGGAAAACAAAGACCCGAACCACTAAGGAAAAGAACACAACGAAAGGGCAATTTGTTATCCCTTACATCAAATGTCTGTCAGAAACCGTTCGGAGGATTTACCGTGTTCATGGCATTGTAGCGACCATGAAACCTCACAAGACACTCCAATATATCCTAGTTCACCCTAAGGATAAAACATCCAAAGAAAACGTCGCAGAATGCGTATACAAAATCTGATGCAAGAAATGCGAGGCATCATATATCGGAGAAATAGGCAGGAAATTTGGGTACCGACTCAATGAACATAAAAAAGACGCGGAATCCTAAGTAGGCGGTTGGTTAAGAAAGCCATCTGGATACGCCACAATGGGACAGTACTTAACAGGGACCAGGGAAGCACAGACTCTAGCAGCATCTATGACCAGGTATTAAACAAAGCGTACAACAGTACATTGTTACCATCTGGTGAATTTTTGGTCTATCTAAACGTCACACTGTAATCCTCTATTGGTTGTATTATAAGAATGTTCCAAAATACTGGATAAGTGCTGGATCAACAACAAAACTGTAAAATTACAGAGCTAATTGTACCTGTAATTGTACACTGTATATATATGTATACTGCGTTTTTCCGAGTCCGATCCTGTATTGGAAACATAAAATAAATTAACTAGAAGCAACAAGAAAGGTTTTTAAAAACATCTTTTACTTGTGCTTAATTATCACAACTTCGGTATAAGATATCCCAGAGACGTCTCTGGATATCCATAGAGAGATAAGTGATGTTTTATTACAACACTGCTGTCGGATGTCAGTGATTGAGTAAAACAATGTTAACACTATTTATGTTGATATTTATAAATAAAAATACCTACACTCCTCTATTGTTATCCGATCAACATGTAGCTTATATCGAACAGATCTAGATATATCGTCCTATATACTGACCTTCAAAGATGGTGTCATGTGATGCATTAAAAAGTTATCATTCACGAAATCGCTTTATGTTTTATTTCTATGTGAAGAGAATGCACATACTGATTACTTGAGAACTTCGTTATTTTACTACACTCAGCTAGTACTACTACTTACAAATAGTGTGTATACCTGTGTATATACATAGCCTCCTCCGCTAACAGTTCTGGTGCTTCTTCCGGTATCAATCCGATTGTGCATAATTTAAAGTGATAGTATCTTCAGAGGTCCAAGACAGGTAGTGTGAACTTTTAAAACATTCAGGTGGCAAAAAATAGATAGTGGAGTTCATATAAAGAAGTCGCAAAACTTTTAAAACATCCCCCAGATATAATAAAATCATTTTGCTGAGCCATTGACCCATCATGCCTCTGATTTCATTGTTTCGTTGTCGACGATCAAGTGAATAATAATCGACCATGAAAAATAAACAATGACTCTTTGTGTTTTTGACCGACAGATGAAAAAAAAGAACTTTTTTTAAATAGTTTGTGGTATCAAAAGGGCTAATTAATGAATATGGGTGGTTCATTTGAGAAAAACTAAACAAAAAACAAAAACAAAAAAACACGTAAAAGTTACATCTATTTCTTTTAACAAGATATACACACAGATGCAAATGATCAACTAACAATTTTCACAACATGATTTTGTTTTGAAAATATTCTATTGAAATGTCATTTCCCTAGCGGTTCAACGTAATATATGTGCACACTCTGTGCTTTAGTGACGTCACTAGAAAGCAAAAGTGCTGTTTCAATTCTGAAATGTATACCTTCCATTTCAGATGAGCGAATTTTGAGGTCGTATATGTAGATATTGTGTTTGAAAAACACTGATGTTTCATTGTCTAGTTTATTTTAAGACTTACATTATGAACATATTAAGAGACTCATAATATTGCGTGCAACCACACGGCAAAATATATCCATAGTTACTTCCCTTGTCATTGCTCTTCGATCTTAAAGTTAGATTACTCAGCTCCAAATTTAGCGCGGTATTTACAGGTTATCAGGACAAACACCAAAATGCCAGGCTTGTTGGAGAGTTGCAGAAATTGTTTTGGCACAGATGACTTATACAAAGTCATCGGAGTACAGAAAACGGCAACTGCGGCCGAAGGTAAATAACATGGTCGTTTTCACCACGGCACATGACGACCTTTGGCGAGGACGTATAATTGTATAAAGCACAACTCATTGATCTCGTACCTAAGGAATCAAATGTTTTACAAGTGAAATGTAGCTATTACTGAAATAATAACTAGGGGTCATATATGTGAAGGTGCAAATCCAAGGATGTTGCCAATCAGTTGTATGTCAGGCCCATGCTTATACAGATTCTGTTATCAAAACACTTTAAACAGGTTGGGCATAACCTACTCCCAACAATGTAAGAAATTTACACGGTGAGATACTTATGACAGGCGCCGTTTCGCAGTCGGCGCATTAATGCTAGATAATGAAACGGCCGACCACCGGCCTCTTAACGTTATAGAAGTAGTCACAGCTCAATATAACCATTATGAGTAATAGTCCTGCATGTGGAGGATAGTTAAATTAATGCTTTGAGTAATCAATCCTTTACTCAAATGAAGGACTCCTACCATATGCGAAGTTTTATCTAACCCGATAAAGGGCAGGTAAGCATAATCTGAAAGGGATCACATACAACATAATAAATAAATGGTCGCTATATTGAGAGGTTGCTGATGATATGATAGTGATAGGTGTCACATTGACTTCCTATCTTATGTCAGTTCAGCAACATGCTGTACCTCTAGATCAGTTAACAGGTTGTGAACATTCTTCCATTTGGGAAGATCACTGCAGTTTGGCACAAATTCTTGGCCCACAGTCCAAACATGCACTGTAGTGACATGGGGTGTATCTCATTGGAAAGATTAAATATTTCTCATCAAGGTAATGTAAGTGTTGCCAAGATCTGCATCCCTAGAATATCAAAACACATATTTGAAAAAAAAATATGTTCAGTTTTCTCTCTCAGGAGTTACACTATATAATACATATATACAGTCCATGGGTCGAGAATTTGTGCCACCAAATTAAAACTTTACATGAAAAAATTAGGACTTTCAAATGCATGCTTCTGATTGGTCAAAATTTACAGTAAATGTCATCCAATTTCTATGAAATAGGGTATATGGGTCTATCAAGAGACATTGAAATTTATATGTTTTAGTATGTCACACTGTAGTAATTACCCTTTTCTCTTACAAATTAGAATCATTTTTTTTTTGGCGGGGGGGGGGGGGGGGGGAGGGAAATAATTGTATATTGATCTAGAGAATATTTCAAGTTTTGATGTTTGACTGTATTACAGTAAAACGTGGATACCATCGTCTGTCCCTGAAGGTCCATCCCGATCGTGTAGAAGAGGAAATAAAAGAGGAAGCTACACACAAATTCCAAACAGTGGGCAAAGTATACAGCATCTTATCAGACAAGGATAAAAGAACAGTTTATGATGAAACAGGTACAAAGATTCAAGTTTAATAAATGTCAAACTTTGTAAAGTTATTTCATCTTATGTTTTGACAATGATTGCAAACTATTCTTAAGAGAAAAATAAATACATGACAAAGTTTCTTTGAATTGGTGCTTTCACCATGATCAGTGAAAGAAAATCTGCAGAATGTATAATTGGTGGTATTTAAAGGCCAGCAAATGGAATGGGCTAATGATTTTGTTCCTTTTAATTTTGGAAGGATGAAAACATCAACATTGGCTAAACCAGATCTTAAGATTGACTAGTGTTCCTGTGATAACATAAACAAAATACAATGTTCGATCTCTAATTGACGCAATGTTATATTAGCTTATATACAGAATGTCATACAAATTGTAATTAAATGATAAAAGTCCAAAAATTCAATCTCTTTTGTTCATTGTCTTGTAAACATTGCATTGGAACCTGGGATTAGCTAGAGGATATTATAATAGTTTGGTTTAATGGAGTTACACACGAGTATGATTTTGTATGTTACAGGTGAGGTAGATGACGAGGATAGTTTACAAGAAGACAAAGATTGGGTAGACTACTGGAGAATACTCTTTCCAAAAATTACAGAAGAAGACATCAAGAACTTTGAAGCCAAATACAAAGGTAAGTCTGGTAAAAGAATTACTTCATGTTTGAGACACACCATATGGTATATTTTGCATTTGGCAGTTAAGTCAGTTTATATACCGCTTTGCATTTTTTAGTTGTTTGACCAACAGGGTCAGTATGAGCTGTTGAAATTGTGTTACATTCATCATCATGTGCCTTTGGCAGTGCACAGACTTTCCATTCAAACAACTTCAGAGTACTGATATTGGGCCAGTAGCTTGCTGGGATTTAAGGCTACCAAATTTGTTCGAGGGAATGACTTTGACCTAGTTTCAAGGTCACAGGATGTTAAAAAGTAGAAATCTTCAAACAAATTTTTTTGATGAAATAAGTAGAAATCTTCAAAAAAATTTTGATGAAGGGCAACCAAATTTATTCAAATGATTGACTTTGACTTACTTTCAAGATCACAGAGATGAAATGTGTTAAAATCTTCAAACAACTAATTCTCAATAACCAAAAGCTTCAAGGTGCTGTATATTGGGTCGGTAGTATAATGGACTAGAGTGAAGACCAACAAATTTTGTCAAAATGAGAAACCTTGACACAGTTTTAAGGTGACAGGGGTCAAATCTTCAAATGACTTCTCAATAACCAAAAGGCCGAGGCTTTTAGTATTGATTCTGTAACATCTGCAAATAATTGACATTGACCCACTTTTCAGGTCACAGGTTCAAATGTGTGGAGAATTTAAAAGTTTTGAGTCAACAAGTGATAGGTTCTGTTTTACAGTGTTTTGAGTAGTGGCTTGCTTGAGGAATAGGATTTCAAGTTTGTAGATTTTAACTTTATAAATCGACCGTGTATATGTCGTAGAACAAGTGAATGATTCAGGCCAACAAAGCCTCATGTTATTGTTTGCCTTTTCCTATATAACAAATGCATGTTGTTCCTTCAGACTGGTGAACAACTAAAAGGTTCATTTACTGAGAATTATCTTTCCTATATGTAACTCAAGTCTTTTGCATTCCAGGATCCGAGGAAGAGCGAGCTGACCTGAAGGAGGTTTATACCACATTTGAGGGAGACATGGATGAAATCATGGAACATATCATGTGTTCCAGTATTGAGGATGAACCTCGATTTAGAAAAATCATCAAAGACTTGATCAAAAAAGGAGAAGTTCCTAATTTTGAAGCATTTAGTAAAGAAAACAAGAAAAAAAGTGCATCCCGGAAGAGAAAGGTACACATTTAACCTGTACTTCTTTTAGATGCTTGTTGGATGGGTAATTTTTCAACTTAGTGGACTGCTACATGTATAAATCTCAATTAAATATTATTTACTTTTTTGCTTAATGATAATGTTCTGCTGCAGAATCCTCCAGAACAAGGTCTGGTTATACTATATGTAATTTTACTTACAGTGTTTCCCTGATACAGTACACAAACTTATTTGTGATTTTACTTTGTTGTTATAAATCCATAGAAACTGTTGGTTCATATGATTATAATAACTTATTCTGATCTGAATTTTTTATAAATTGAATTTAAACCATCATTTGGTTTTTTGCCCTGGTGATTGGTTATTTCATTGTTTTTTCATTGGTGTTAGTGTATTGTGTTTTTACTGTGACATATATCACATTGTTTTAGGCACAGGCAGAGGCGAAGGAAGCAGAAGAAGCCAAGAAAAGCCTTGGGATAGGAGCGAATGACTCCCTGCAAGCTCTTATCCTTAGTAAACAGAAGGGACGTGCAGCTCAGGCAGATGACTTCTTTGCCAACCTAGAGGCTAAATATGCTCAACCAAAGAAGGCAAAGGGAAAGAAAAAGTGATTTGTGAGAAAGTTCATTTATAGTTTTAGGCAACATGGTAGTGTACATACAGATCCATGTAATGAAGACTTTGTCCTCTATAAAAGAAAAAGGCTGAAGTAATCCACATTGAAAAGATATTGTGATATACTTCAAAATCCTATCTAAGGGAGGTGTTAGTTGTTACTTTCATTACCAAGGTATGCTTGCAAAAACAAAGGTTGAGAAAAGAAATGACCTTGACCCAAAGTCAAAGATGCAGCAGTCTTCAAACAACCTGATTGAAAGGTTTCCTGGTGGAAGCCCTACACAATCTGTAAAAAAAAATGTTAAAACCTTATGACAAGTTCCCATTGACCAGGACCTCAAATGTCAATGATATAAAATGCTAATAAATTTGTAAAGAGCATTGAATACCAAGTTAATGATGTAGGCCCATTGGGCATCTTGATATTGAGAATTTTTCAACTTCTGTATCATTTTCATTTATATAAACATATAACTCAAAACAAATTGAGTTATGAATAATGTGATATAATTATGTGTTTGGCCATATGTTCAAGACGTTTTTTAAACTTTATGAATCAGATCAGGATGTTAAAATTCAATGAAGGAGAGAGACACAATCTGTAGCTCTTACCATCCACATTGATATTTGAATAATCATTCAGGCACCACAATGCTACATTTTGTATGCTGTCTCATTAGCTTTCTGATGTTTCCTTCTGATATGAGAGTGTTTTATCATGTGGTACATGATGGAGATGGAAGTGAAAATGGATGTTTGTGGTATTATAAGAATATAGTAGTATACAAAGGAATCCCATTGATTTATCGCCCACTTTTGTAAAGAAGGGATACTTAATGTAGAAATCACCTTGTGTGCCCGTGCGTTGTGTGTGACAACCCTGTGTACAGCATTTCTTTTTTATCTGTAATTTCTGTTATTTTCAGAAAGTTGTACATGGTATACATAATGACATGAAATCACATTTACACTCTCTCACACTCACAGATTTTGTAACAGACAGTTATGATATTATCATCAACATCATCCTCATCATCATCACATCCTGACATCATGCATAACACTATCACTCTCCATTATAATGATAATCATGTGTACATCATCATTGTTATCACTGCATTACCAATAATCACATGCACTTCATCATCATCATCATCAATCATCATCATCATCATCATCATCATCATCATCATCATAATCATTGACCATTAAACATCCTTTATCGTCATAACATAAAGACTTGAACTAAATGATGTTCATTAAGAAATTAGATAAGAAAAAACCAGTGTACAGCATATCTTGTGAGTCTGTATACAGGTTCAGTCCATATTAAAAGCATAGCATCACTCACCAAGGTCATTGGTCAGGGTTGAAGGTCAAAGGTTTGCCTTGATCATAGATTTAGATAAGAAAAAAATGTTGTTGTGATAGGGGTGTGTATGTGGGCACCTGCTCATTTTGTTTTTATGTTAATGCCGTGTGTGATATCTGTTCAGATAAATGATGTATTACCTAATTTTTAATATAGCATTATCTGCAAAATCTACAATAAAACAATATCAAAAATTGCAGCTGACATTATTATTTGTTGTAAGTCAGTCATCAACCTCTTGATAAATACCACCAAGTCATGGGCGTCAAAATCACAGGTGATAGGGTGTTTTAAAGGTCTCATGTAAAAAGAACTTAGGTATAATAAATTCTGTTGTATAGTTATCACATTGGTATGTATCTAGATGGTGATCTGTGTGATGTTTTAAGATTGCTGTTATTGTATTAGATTTAAACACTGAATTTGACAGTTATAAGTACTGACTAAAAAGTATAGAAATATACGGGTGGTTCTAGTATTTTCATGACATTGCCTATATCAGGTTGAGTTGATTAACAGTTACATTATCATCCATTTGTCAGTGATATGATTTACAGGCACAAGAAATTGAAGTGTTATATATATATATGTTAATAGAAACATAGAAAAAATAATAATAGTACATTTGTAGGAAGTAAAATGGTGCTACAAACTGGAGTTCAACATAATGATGAAGTCGTGTACACCAACACATTCATAAAATACAGAATGTGTGCAACACAGCTAATATAAACACATGACAATATAGCAGTTAAAAAACAAATAAACACAAATGTTTTTACAAACTAAAATATACATACCAAGAGTGTGGAGCATGAAGTTATATAAAAAATCAAGAGACAACAGCTATACAGAGAAATAACCAATCACAACACTACAGCTATGTATAAATGAATAAGGCTGAAAGTAAAAAATATTATACAATTATTGAATGGAAAATCTCACATTAAATCAACTAAAACAATGTGAACTTAGTATGTAATCAAATAAGAATACAGATATTAGTAAATCAAAAGTGGAATTTCATTGACAATTTAATGTAGAATATGATTAGATTTGATCAACTTTTTTGATACAATTTTGTTAAATCACTCATGAAATACAGAAAATTCAATAAAGGAATATAATTATACAGCTGTAGTTATGGATAGCATGTGTCAAGTGGCCTTTTATTAGCATTCTTGTTTATATTAGATGAATGAGATAACCAAAATCAGAATGGAAAAAAAATATGTGATCATCGGGCATGATTACTGCAAGGTGACAGATAATCTGAATAGAACACATGACTAGCTGTATATAGTCAGTAATTTTATTAGATAAATTCTTCATATGCAGAGCAGTCAAAAACTTGAAAAGAATAATACTTCTGATAATATTAAGGCAGACTGTTCCACTCACGCCCCTGACTGCCTCAAAAGAAAACACTTTTGTCCTGGAGTTATATACAAGTATAATATTGAAGATTAATTAAATGTAGAATGTATTCAGGTGATAAAAAGTTTACACTCTTGGAAACAGTTTTGCCAATTCCTTGAATGTTTCTTACATTGAAAATTAAACTTCCAGCTTTCTGCTATGTCAATAAATGTATGATAAAGCCATCTACAAAATGCAAGGCTCTTTTCTATTCATTTAGTCCTGTTGCTACAGAAATGCCAGACTTACAGGCAGTAATCAAAATAGAGTGAAAAAAGGCCCCTGAAATTTGGAGAAGCAAGTTGTTTATCAGTTTTCAACAAATATTTGAAACAAGGATTTTCAAAATTGAGGCTACAGTCAGTGTCTAAAGCCAGAAATCTATCTTACATTGTCTTCACACTAATTAGTATTATCTGTATCAACAAGTATACCTAGTACAGCTATTACACTATAATACTTTATGCTGTTTGGTGTTAATTTCGAAAAAAGGTATACAATTAGTTTTTAACTGATTTTTATGTAACAATGCAATAAATAAATTTGACAATTTGACATACAGAGTGCTGAAAGTGATTTTCTAAACACATGTAGAGACCTTAACCTTTACCCAAAAACCTTGAAACTCAGACTTGTTCAGGATATTTAATTGTCCAAGATAATCTGATGCTTTATAAGTGTGAAAAGTTTGACGCGAATCTATCGAGGATGAAGCCAGTAGAGGACTGAAAATGATTTACAACTACTATAATAATGACCTTACCCCTGACCCAACAACCCTGAAACTGATACTTGTCCAAAATATTTTGATGCTTAATGACGGGTTTATAAGTATTACGCTTACAAATATTGCTTCACTTTACAGTTGTGCAATCGATACCATTTTTCAGATAGTTTTATAGGCAAGTTAATCTAAGTTTGAATGAAATTGGTCGAAAACTGATAGAGGAGACAAACGGGAAACAAATGAGGAACAATAACTCTCCCCTTTTAACCTTCAGATATATCTGTTTACATTTTAAGACATAGGCTACAAGCAAAAACTAATGAACTGGAGTAACTTTTGACAGGCCATTTTCAGACCTGTACATTATCACGTCTTTGATTATCCTTACTGACTGCATACTGGTTACAACCCGGAAACAGTTAATTTATTTCTGTTTTCCTTGAAAACGGGTCAATTACTATATATAACTTTGTACAGAACTCTTGAATTATGAAAACAAGTTTATACTATAAAAAAATATTTAAAATCATCATGATGCCAAGAAGACCAAAAACACACGAGCCCAATAAGTGGCGATGCTCAGAATTACACAGAATTATATGATAAAAACACTTATTAGGGAAAGCGTTTTCAGAAGTGCTGCCAAAATCAAACTCGTGCATATCATCCATTTGAAAAAAAATACTGCTTATTTTCTTATCGTCATGATAACATAGAGTCCGAAAATGAAAATTCTGTAGGTCATTGAATCATGATCTTTGTCAGAAATTCAGAGAGGGAAAGGATTTATGACAAGGCGATGGGCACTGCAATGTGTGCTACGATTTATTTAACTTCCCTGTGTACGATGTGATCCGCTCTGATTCTACTATATTATGAGATAAAACAAATCGAATTCTTTATTGCAATCAGTTCGAGAACATTAAACGGGAGTAAAATTCCGGAAAATCGTGACGGTGACTTAAAATTTTAGTTAAGAGCGTTCTAGTTCCGGCCGGAAAGGGTGAAAGTTGTTTACATTGAACATCCAATACTGTTTCAGTTATTACAACAAGCGGCTTGTAAGCATTATGTTTATGACTTGCTTATATAGATCATGACATTTTGCAGTTAAAAAAACACGTGCTTTATTTGAAATATGCGTTGAAAGTTACGCGGCACTGCATGTTTTTGTACATGGGCAGTTAACAAGGAAAATATTGGTGTTAAAGTAATATATTTTACTCTGAAACATTCAATATTCTGAACATTATTTAGAGGTTCACAGTGTTGACCAGACTGCCTGTATACTGTGACATAATAGATTTTTTACTGACAATACATAATTAGTATATTAATTACTGTAAAACTATACTTTGCATGTATATCAAAGAATGTGACTAATATCTCGTTGTCTTTGGCCAATTTATACCATTAACCTTATATAGTTGTCATTCATTATAACAAACCTTACCAAAGGAGTTTGTCTACATCAGTTGATTACTTATTGGCTATGACTGGTGGTCAGAATACACATGTATTTGACCTCGCAATGAGTAAATCACAGGGGCATGTTCAGATGAGTTATTTACATTTGCCCAATGACTATATATACACATATCATGGGAAAAAGAGATACACATATATACTAGGTATATTCATTCTGATAATGATTCCCTAATCTCAGTCAATAAGTTATTATTATACTCTTCTAAACAATGATTAAAGTTATCCATATTTTCTTGTCGGAAAATAATAGAATATTGATACATATTATGATCCCTCAAATTCTTAAAACAAAATCTAGCTCTTGTCTTTGTTCATAAGTATTCATCAATATATATTGAAAGCACAAAATATATCAAAATTGGACTTATATTTTTAAATTTGAATTAGCATGCATGGTTTATAAAATTCTATTATAAACATTAATTCAGTTATCAATGAGTGAGCTTCAAATATGTAATTGGAAGAGTAGTTAAATATATATGCTGCCCCAATGATGTTTGAATTTAGTGACCTTTTGATCTGGCCCCACTTGTATAAAACATCTTAACTTGAGATTTCCTAAAGTCGTAATTTTCCTCAGCTAATATCTCCTTGAAAATATCTTGTATGAAAATTCCTCAAGGAATTTCAGGACATCCTAGTCGATGACTTCCTCCTGTTCCTTGAGAAAATTTTATACAAGCCGTTTTTGAGGAGATATCAGCTGAGGAAAATCTCGACTTGAGGAAATCTCAAGTTGAGATGTTGTATACAAGTGGGGCCTGGAGGCAAATATATATACTCTACTTTTAAGGGCAGGGACTAGTACTTAAGTGACCTGTATGCTAACTTCTACATATATATAGTCGATGACTGATTTCAATCAGTACAGCTGCATCTCATGCATGATCAATTGTTCACAGGGCTTATCTAGAGGTAGAAATTAGGGCCATTGATACTGGTTTTGCCCCAATGCATCTTGCTGTTGCTGTTATGTACTGAAAGCTGATACAAGATAAAAGGATAAAAAGTAGTTTTGTAACTTTTCTCTAACATGACGACATAGTCCATGAATGGAGATGAATGTTAAAAATGTTTGAAGGGAAGTTACTATTACAGTGACGAAATGTAATCTTTTTGATAAGATAAAACTTACGACCAATTTAAAGACAATTTCACAATACCATTTACTGAAATTGGATTCATGTTGACTGACCTGTGACATAAAGTTGTACCTTTAGTTAATCCATGTTTTCTAATTTGTAATAAATTGTCTTAATTCCTGAATGAAAAATGAATTCAAAACATGACGAAATGAAATTGAAAAGAAAGTAAAATACTTGTTGATGTTACTTAACATCTCATGTTATTTATAAATTTTAATACATTTTTTTATTGCAGAAAAAACAACATTTATATTGCATTTATAAATGCGTAAACTACACAATCATGGACTTGTGCACAGTGAAACATTCCTTCTCTGAGCTGATAAGAGTCATGAACCCATGGACACAGAGTCACTTTGTTATGTGGCTGGATATTAAAGTGGCTGAGTACAAAGTCTACGGCAAAATGGTGCTTGGTAGGTATAGTCATTTATTAAACATTATGTTACACATAACCATCAGCACTCAGTGTTAAAGACATGACTCAAAGATTATATGAGTTTGTGTTTAGATATGCACCTTTTTTAATCTATATATGATGTATAATATTACTTACTTAGACAGAAAGGCAAAAATGAACATAAATACTGGGCACATTTATTGCAGTTGTGAAAAAGCTTTTTATGAATCAATAAAGATGTATAACTATCATTCTGCTGAATATGCACCAACTGGAACCAGAACCAAGATTTTGTTTTTGTAGTAAACAGTAGTTTAATGTTTTAGCAAGACATATAGAATAGATCAAGACATCCATATACCTTGTACATAATAGACAAGTGTATGCATAGGCAACACATGTACAACTCAGGGTTGTCCCAACATATCATCACAACTGAAAGAACAGAATATAATTCATTGTATGAATATAGTGTTTTAATGTTTGAAAATTAGAAAATGAATTCAACAAAAGTAATAATATTAAACATTTTTTCACAGATAACAAATCTGTTACAACACCAGAATGGCTAAGAAATAAGAATCTGGACATGGATTTTGATTCAGAGACTGCCTGTGGTCAAATGTCTAAAGATCAAACGTCAATTGGTGAGGATATTTTATCTGGCCTCAGGGAACAGCAGCAAAGATATAGCACCACTCCACAACAAGGGAAAGACAGTGGACAGAACAAGAATGGAGGTAGGGTTGGTTCTAGTATTAATGAGGCAGACAGGACGAGAAGAGAAACAAGTGTGGTTGACCTATCCAAGTATTCCGACTCACAGACATATCCCTCACGTGCTTCATCTGAGGGATCCTATCTTCCCAGACAAGCTGTTTCCTCATTGGACAAGACTACACAAGGATCAGTGTCATCTGTACATCCTGTCAGTGGTGCGCGATCGTCAGATGAATCTCGAGTTTCTTTAGATCATCAGCACATGTCACAAACAGATTTTACCAGAAGCTCTGATCATTATGTCACAGGAACAAAAGCTCACCCTCTTTCTCATACTTCAGAAAGAAACACATCTGGTAATAACCAGAGACCACATACAGACAATCATGCGGAAATCCAGTTAAATATTGGTCAAGAATCATCAGATAAAAACTCATCTTCTTTTATCGATCCATTCCCTAGTTCAAGTGTAAATATTCCTGATGACAATGGTGTTAATAGCTTCACAAAGTTAGGCAACGCAAGGCATTTTGGAACTGAAACACATGCTAAAGCACAATTTGAACAGCGAAATATTTCGTCTGAGGTTGATATGCCACCTATTAAAATAGAAATTTTGGATGAGGATTCTGATGAATTAAACCCTCCTGCAGACAGTCATATTTACAAAAAATCTCTTCCTGACTTTGGAAGAACATTTGCCACTGGTTCCCGACACACATCTTCAAGTGTTCCTACAAATCAGCAGATCACCCCCCAAAACATTACAGACTCAGATATATCATCACAGAGTCATGGTAACTTATCCAGCTTGATGACATTTGGGGACTATCATAATGCTCTCAGTCAGCCAGTACCCGTGTCAATGTACATGACATCATCACCGTCATCTGAACCACAGGTTTCCATGGTTACTGAAAGTGAAGATAACCCACAGGAAAGTATGTTTTTCTGCTTGTTATTCCATAACAAATAAATGATTGTGATTAAAGTTATTTACTTGTACATGTACAGTATACATACATGAAGGTTAAATAGCAATTACAAAAAAATAAATTAGATATACATGTGTATAAATTTGAATACTTCTTATGAATCCTGCTCAAATACACTAACCGTATAATGTAACATATCATCTAATTCATATATCTCATAAGATTATGATAACTGATAACTATTATGTTTATATTCTGACTTCATACTTTTACCATCTATAAAACATTACTGATCATTTTAAAATTTGTACCTATTTAACAAGTATACTTTATTAACATGTTGCCATATCTACTCATTGTGCATCTCGATGAAGTGCTTGAAATGTTATTGAGAAGATGATGTAGACCAGGTTTCCATGCCTCACTTTGTGTGGAGATAGAGCACTGAAGATGTTTCACAGTGTTAATCCCTTGTTTATGACTATCTAGGCATGGAGCATGAAGAGGATTCTACAGAAAACACTGAACAGTCATGGAAGCATAAAAAATGGCAGTACATAGAATCATTAAGAGGGAGTTCTGACAATCTCAATCCCAAGGTCCAGTCTCGAATCATGCAGCGCACTAAAGTATTTCCTGATCCATTTCCTGTAGAGAATCTCAAGTATGGAAACAAAGCTCGAGAAATGATCAACTCTGGTATCATCACACGCCCAGCCAAGATGCAGTTTCTTGATACAGTGTTTAATGAGATTGTCAAATACACTGGACTGTGAGTAGACTTAAGTTGCAATGGATAATGGTTATGAAATGGAACTCAAAATACATTGTATGATAAAGGTGTTGTGTGGTAATTTAACATGACTGTCACATTAGTGGATACTATATTCCCCCTGACAATTGCTCTGCGACAATAGATTTCACCACATGTAAACTATTCCCCCATGTGCTCTTTATATCATATCATAAAGTGAAGCAAAATCATAGATCATAAATAGTGAAAAGTTTTGTGGTGCACAGTAGGTCACTTATGTAAATTCTGAAAACTTTTCTTTGTCAAAATTTGTCGAGATATGAAATTAAATTTTTGAAGCATTACAATGTATTTGGAGATGGTTACCTGGCAATATGTCTGTTATGTAAACTTTAAAAGGTCTTTATCTACCAACAAAACTGTTTTTACATGAGCTAGTACCAATTAAATTAACTGCTCATTTATCTTAAGGTACCCTACCCCGACACAGAAGATGGAGGTGGCTAAAGCCATTGTAAGCAGTTTCCCCAAACTCAACGTAAGGTCAAAGGACAGCCACATATCTCCGGCAGTAAGTTTCTTGTTTAGGGTACAAAATTACCTACATGTTTATCTATAAATAAAAAGAATTCCTGTTCTCTCAGACAGTGCAAATTAAACTTGTATTTGTTTGAAAAGAATCCAAGCAAAAACTCAGTCTACAACACTCTATCATTTCATCAGGTCTTACTATAATTGACATTTACCATTTCATCAGGTCTTACTATAATCAACAAATGTTGATTATAAACTGAACATGAGGTGTTCCCCACTACATGCTATTACAAAGACATATTTATTTATAGCTAACACAACTTAGCCCGCATGTAATTGTACCAATGTGTGAAGTCTACATGCTTGTAGACTAAATTAAATGAAATAAATTGTACCTTGTGCCCAAATATACTTAGCTATGGTCTCATGATATGTCAGAAGTTGATCTGCCCTAAAACTTGTTACAACGAGTCCCCAAAAGTCACTTAATTGTATTACTGAATTATCTAAAGGAATGTGTCCTATTGAAAAGATCGTATGATACAAGTTGAATCAAACATTTGATACAAAATATTACTGATAATATTTTGACATGAATTTTAATTCTCTTTCAGGATTCATGGTTTGTTGTTTTGAATGACAAATTCCGCAACGAACGTCGTGGTTTAAATAATCAGTCCTATCAGAGCCAGCAAATGAGGCAGAGAGCACTGTTGACTGTACGGAGGGCACAAGCTCACATGTATAATATGGCCTCCATGTCAAGAACATCTGCCAGTGGTGGTTTCTCTGGAGTTGTGAAATTACAATCCGATGAGGAAGAAAATGACAACACATAGAATTAAAAAGTTTCAAAACTCAGTAGTTGCAGGGGCCAGGGAAGTTTTCAGTGTATGTTGATTTAAGTTAAATAGGGTGTCTTTCATATGTAAGGAAAAGCTGATTAGGTAAGGTTTAAACGTTGCAACAGAAATGGTTATTTAGAGCAAATCAATGATGGAACATGTTTTGGTAACTTATATTAATCAAGCTTGTTTGATTAAAATGTATGTAAAAAGGATGTTGATGCAGGAACAAATATTCCAAGAATGTACTTGTAAACTAGATCCTCACACTTTCTTAGCAATGAATTAAATGGCAAGTAACTGTAATTTATATTAATAGTTTTGTCATGTCATTTGTATTGTCAGTTTGAGTCTTGTGCTACAACATTTTCAGGGACCCACACAAAATGTGAGTTCCCTGTAGTAACTGGTGTCAATTTGTTCTGTCTATATCAAAAACTGCAAAGACCTTCATATTGATACTTTTTAGATTACTGTAGTGAGGAATTTCCATACAAAGATTTCTAACAAGCATGTAAAAGATTTCCTTATCAGTTACCATGGTAACACTATGTAGCTTTCAGTTTTAATGACTTATTCATGACATATTCCAGGAAATCAGTCACCTTTGTGGTAAATGAGTTAAAATGCATGACTGAGATTGCTTATCAGATTCCAAGGGACTTTATTGGCAAATGTAAGCAAAAGTTTTAAAAGTTTTCTCTGCTTATAAATGGTGTAGTCCTATTATTGATGTCTTGGTTTATATTTGGTTAAGGTCAGTAACTATCTTATACAGATATTTTTAGAATCCTTTAACTTCACCTTGCCTATTTCAGATGCTGGACCTGACCCATATTTTGTTTGGTTGACCCCATGTTGGATTTAAAATTGAAATTAAAAGTGAAAAGTGATGTATGAAGTAGACTTAAAAATCTGACTATCCTAAGGATGAGCACTTGCTATGGTCAAAACCTTAAATCTGAGTGATAATTTTGATTTTTCCAATACTTTCTATTGCCTTTATTTCATCATCACTAGAGGTAGGAGTATTTAGATTAACATTACTGTGTTCAAGCATACTTGAATTAATTAAGCCTGCAGCTTAAGTGTTGACATATAAATGAAGTTTATTTCTGTTTACAATGTAAAATACATTTGTGTACAGAGTATAGTCTATTTAGACATAGTTCAATGTGTTCTATAATTTATTTAGAATAAGTATATGTAGTATGTACAGTGTAGTTTGTATCAAAAGGTTATGTATATATTAATTGATTTGAAAGTAGTCACAAAAGAAATGACGGTGCAGAAATTTCCAGTCTTGAGACATTTTAAAAATGTTTCATGACTGTACATATAATCAAGGCAACAGTGAAGCAAAAGAATGTGTTAAACAAATAAACAAATCCTTAAACAGAGTTTTGATGGTTTATTTTTGTTCTTAGATAAACAATTCATCCATGTCTTGATCATTACAGCTACAAATTTAAAAAAGCAAGAAAAAAAAAAACAACACAATATTTTACATGGTAATGTACCAGTGAACAAAATTTGACTCTCTATGAATTTGAGAACTTGCTTTCTTAATTTTCTCCATTTCTACTTTTACTAACAGCTGTAAACAACTATATCCTGCTATCACAGCATCACACATTTGAAATTGACACATCTGGTGATGATCAGATGATAAGACAATTCAAAAGAATCAACAGCATGAAAAACTCATCCATTTATACACACTTTCTTCCTCACTGAGAAATCAACCAATAACATTAACACAAAACACATCCAGATGGATTTGAGATTTAAACGTTAGATAAGGCCAGGTAAGATGCTAGCTTGTTCCTACGGACTCGACATAGGAGAATTTCCTTTTGGTTTCTTCAGTGAGGGTGTTTGATATAGGTTGCATGTTAAATCAATGTTAAAGAGTAAAGTAAATAAAATAATATTTTTTATTTGTCTTTTACAGAAAAGATTTTCAGGAATATGTTGACAAAAATACTATGCCTAACTTTCACAAATACAACTGTTATCCCAATATAAAAAAGCTTCATTCTGAAGGGATAGCATCTCGTTATGATTTAACAGATACATTACAATATTTATTTGAGGAAATAAAATTAAAATAGATATTTAGAATTAACTAAAGAATACAAGGAAACATACATCTTGATGAACATAAACATATCAACAATCGAGCTTTGAGACAACTGAACAAAATAATAAGAGATTTCTATGTGTTTGGTGTAGGAGCTCTGGGACAATATAACAAAATAAGAGATTTCTATGTGTTTGGTGTAGGACAATATGTGTTTGGACAGAAGATTTTGATATTCTATAATTACATAACATATTCAAACTTCAACATAATCAATATAACCCTATGTTATCATCCACAGATGACAAATTTCATCAACACAAAACCAATATTACAACTGATTTACCATAGAAGTCTTATATCAAAGATACTCATGGAAAAGGCCAGATGTTTTAGTAATTGATTTGAGATATCACACAATGATATGAACAATAAATAATTTATCACAGATATTTCCTCTGAACACTTGTTGAATCTACATGGACGGAATATGAAATGCTTGGCATTGTGGCTTCGCTCAACCAACAAAACAAAAAATATAAATAACTTTACAGCACTACATGATACTTTTATAATCACATTTTATTGACTCAACTGTCGTTCCATTGCCTCACAGGATACTGAATACCAAATCCCTTCTCCTGATCAAGGCATGTTTTTTGTTTGCCATGTTTTACACTTGCTAAATAAGTGGAGACTTTCATTTCTGCTCACAATGCCTGCAGGATGATCTGTAATCTATAGTTCAGTGTCGATCTATTTGTTTAGATTTTTGTTAGATTTTTGTTTAAAGTGGGCAAATTGATGTTGAACCTACAAACTTTCCAGACAACTGATTCAAAACTATTCGATAAATCTTATAAATTCTAAGTTTGTTAGTTCTTTATTCTACAAGATCAAATGTCACTATCTTGTAACCAAAACATAATTTGTGGTTTAGATTTCATCAAAGGGGACTTACACAGAGATGTATAGAGTAAATGATGATCACCACACTTTGTTGCAAAACATAAAAAAACACTGATGAATATGGTCCCTTTCCCACAAAATGTTGTTCCATTAATTTGTCAATGATGCTTAAGAACTCTAAATGCTGTAGCAGTTTCAATGTCCGTTTGCTAAAACATACATCTAAGAAGTACAATATCCCACCCCTTTTTTTTGAGTGACATTTTGGTTATTCCATATCCTGTGGTGAACTGAAAACTATTCAATTGTGATAATTCCATAGCCAGTGGTGAACCAAAGATTTTAGTTTGTCATATATATCAGAAGCGGTTCAGATAGCTTGGTAGGAAGTCACATTCAAGTGTCTGTTGATCTCTGTACTGCTTTGCTACTGTGTGTATTTCCGTCTGTCCAGATTCGTGACTCACAAGCTGTGAAGATACAATAATACACATACAAGTCTTCAATTCACATTCACAAGTACATGTACCATGAATTGTTCAATGATTATTCACACTGAATTATGAAATCTGAAAGTTATATTTTGAGACTTACCATTTGAGGTAATCGTCCTTGTGTTGAACTTTTGGTGTCAGAGGTGAATTGTAGGTGTACAACTCTTAAAACAGAAAAAAATGTTTAATTAAGAATCATGTTAAGGTTGTGTGATCATGGATCTAAAATAACACATAGACAATGTCAAAGTAAAAATCTCTCATTTTATCTCCTTTTTCATCCAATGATTTTGATATATAGATTAAAGATCAGATTAAGTCAAAGATGTTACTGGTGCATTTCATTTTCAAATCCAATTCAAGATGAGAAAATATTCTGATGAAACTTTTCTTTTCTTTGAAGGTTTTAATTAATGTCATTGCAATGTTAATGCGTTTTTTTTATTTCAGTCAACCTACCTGTCCTGTGAAGATAGTGTGTCTATCTTGACGGGCATAGCGTCACCCTCCAAAATGTCAAAGGTGTACAGGCGTGCATTATTGTCCAATACATAGAAGACACAGGGTCGACTCCGTGACCATCGCACACACTGTAATTCCTCTGTATTCCAGATCTTAGATGACCAGGACATGACAGGAGTCTCTGTGATGAGATTAGATAACATTTATGAAACGACATCTACTGTGTAATTGAACAATTAAGAAAATAATGATAGTTGGAGTTAATGATGTTGTTGACATGTTTTTTGGACCTAGATCTCAAATAACATCACAATAACTTAAAGAATCTGATTTGTAAATATGGCAGTACATGTATGTTACAATCCGTCATAATCCTCACTGAGTGATCTCGTGAAATGTACAGTAAAACAAGATGTCCTGTAACATGCATTATAAAGCACCCACTATTTTACAGGGGATGCAAGTATATAGCATCAATACCTTCACAGATTTCAATCAATTTTCATGCATGAGAAACCTTGAGTTTGTGTATGGTTGTATTCCAAAACAATGATAAAAGTCACAATGATTATTATCTAAAGACTCCTGTTCATTCAATAACATCAAGTAATGTCTATTTTAGTGAAATTATCTATCGCCATCACAGGATGTCTGGTCCTCTTTATGGCTACTACCTATAGGATGAAATTAATTATTTACCTATTCTATGAAAGGCAGACAATCAAACCATAATAACATAAAAGTGAGTTATGTTTTACTGGTCAGAATAGCCAGAACAAAGCAAAATTGAATATGATACTTGACATCAAGTATGAGAATACCTGGAAAAAGTTTTAAAGGTCACAGCCAAGGTTGAAAGTTTTCGCTGGAGAATTAAGTTATTAATCATCGTTACGTTGTGAATCATAGTAAATATCAGTACTTACCAGTTTTAACATTATAGAGATGAACAAATCCATCACTACTGCTTGCCTGTGGACACAAATTTGATGATCAGTACAACAGGTTATATCTATAATCACGGTTACTGAATGAAACTAGAGCTTTTCACTACGGGTTGGAATGACAGAGTGACTCAAGAAAACTAAGAGTATTTCACCAAGGGAAGGAAATCTATTTGGATGGTTCAATCTTCAGAAAATGGACTAATTTCTCTAGAAATTAAGTTGTTTAAAATCTGATACACATGTGTACTGATAGGTTCCATTTATATTTCTTGTTTATCAAACTCTGACATCTTACTACTGCTAATAAAATCTTTGGTTGTTTTGATTCGGTAGAGAGAACTTACCAGGAAACAAGGATGTCCAAAGGGGGAGAAATCTATTGTGGTTATATCCATTGGGGCATCTGTAAAATAGACACAATGGTAGTGAGTACCAGTCTAATATTACATCTGGCCATATGTCGACTTCAAACTGTAACGGTTTAAAAAATTCTTATACTTTTAGCTTAACTAAAACTACAGTAACTTATCATAAAGTACAAATCACATAAGTTTCAACCTTGAGACACAATCACAAAATGTTTCAACCTTGGGACACAATCACAAAATGTTTTAATCTTGAGACAAACTCACAATAAGTTTCAACCTTGAGACACAACCACAATTTGTTTCAATCTTGAGACAATATCACAATAAGTTTCAACCTTGAGACACAATCACAATAAAAAAAAAACCAATCTTAAATAAATGAAATGTTCTATTTGTTACCCTTTTAACATACTTCCGGTTGTCATGATTTAAGACATTTTTCTGATGTGAAAAGTCTGTCATCACTAACTTTTACTATTTAACTTAATTGTACTCACCACAACCTGTAGAGTAGGATGAGGGGAAGGCACGGGTACCAAACCTCAATCCGTGTAATATGTAGCCAGAGTCGGTGCCTACATAGTAATGGTTGAGATCGGTAGGTGCTAGTTGTAACTCTGTGGCCCGCAAACTGACTCCTACTCTCTTGTATCTATTACACAACAGAAACAGAAAATCTCAACATGTAAATTTGGAACAAGAATCAAGGCCAATATTTCTGATAAGCACATTACATAGACTGTACAGCAATTCAATAGATACCCTAGTACCATTGTAAAGAGAAAAATATTCTCACAGATTTGGCTCATTTCCAGAAACTTCTAGATACTAAAAGAGACAACTTGATCTGCATGATTCATTCATAGATTGTCACAGAAGTGACACTTAAACAACTGCACTAGTTGACATTATCAGAGAAAGTAAATTACAGAGGCAATGTTTTATATACCTTGGTGGATGCTGTAAGGTTATAGCTGAACTTTTTATAAGTTTTACTTTTCCTCCCGGTGAAAGCCCAAGGTCTGTTTCAGACCCAGCCATATCAGGTGATGTAATCTCTGCTACAACCTGAAAGCAACAACATTAATTAATAATATTTATAAGTTCACATGAAGCAGTTCAGTAGTATCTAATCTAAACAATTTACACAACCAAAAATAATAAAAGTCTTTTTACTCTAACCCCAATAGTTGTAAACATCTTCCACTTAGACCTTGACTTAATTGGTTTAAAGCCTTGGCATTGCATCCATTCATTGTTTTCATAAGAACTATAATTTATTCATTGATATGTAAAACACTTGGCTATGTACAAAGAAATACACAGTAACAATAGGTACACATTGAAACAGTCTATTTATTTACCCTAAGCTGGTAATCATATGATTCTTACCCAGAAATTAAGAACACCCTGTTCCTCACATGATATCAGTTGGAATGACAACCCTGTTCCTGTATCTGAAAGAAGATTTTGTTTTAATTAAAATAAAGACTGCCCCACTTAAACAAGATATTCTATGGACATTAGTTATCATTTTATGAATTGTCATATCAAAACAAAAAGTATTTTATAATTACCTAAAAAACAACAAGAAGAGAATGTATAACATTTCTTAATAGACTAAGTATATGTGTCATATCGTATTAATAAGATGTAGACTTTTAAGGATGCAATCATGAGAATCAATAGAGACTATACATAACAAAGTCTACAGTGTGAAATATATCTATCTTTGCTTATGACAATGAAGGTTTTCCAAAAAGTCTTTCCAGAAACCATATAAGTGGTTACACACCAATTATCACCTTAAAATCAGAAATGATGAGCTTACCTTCATTTCTCCCTGAATCAGCAGAACTGAAACAATATATACTTTATCAAATACAAGTATGAACTTCACAAAAAAATAGAATTAAAGTAATGACTAAAGGTAAAATGTAGGACTAATGCTTTTACTGTTATGTAGAGTGATTATGCAAGGAATTACATAACCATTCATTATACTGCCTGGTATAGACTAAAGTGGTTTGTTGCTGCACGAATAGTCAGGGTCGGTTTGAGTTAGGGTTTCCTTCTAATGGCTAGTTGCTACCTCACTGAACAAGTTTATGATGTCCAGAGAAATGAGTGTAAGTGTCTCGCCCTAGGCCATAACCACGTCAGCACAGACTCATCTGTTTTGCAGCTTTCTGAGAAGCACAAAGTGCCATTTGTAAGGAGTGTCAAACTATGTATCTTGAACTTTCACCTGAAATTACGTAGCTCAACACTTTTAACTGAGCTTTCGTGGATTATATATGGTCATAATGTTAAAGTAGATTTAATTCAGGGATATATACTTAATACAGAGTACATAACTCAAGTCAGTTTGATAATGATAGAAATTGTAATTATCGAACAACTTTAACATAATTTTGTCACTGCCACTGAAGAAGTATCACCTATGCTTCGCTCTGCTTCTCTGTCGAATGCAGGATTGCTAGCAAAAACAGTGTTTATATGTTTGATGCCGAAAGTGTGAAGGAATTTGTAAGCTTATCAAGGGTGGCTGTGAACTTACCTTGTGGAAGAGCAAGATACATGGTTGAGGGTGGCTGTAACCTTGCATTTAGGAATAACTAGACAACGGGTTGAGGGCGGTTACAAAATCTTACTTCATGAAAAAGCTAGGTACAGTGTTGAGGCAGTCGTAAACTTAAATTAAGAAATAGCTAGACACAGGGTTGAGGGTGGTTGTAACCTTGCATTAAGAAATAGCTTGACAACATGTTAAGGGTGCTTACAATCTTTTATTAAGGAATAGCTAGATATAAGGTTGAGGGTGGCTGTAAACCTACTTTATTGAATAGCTAGATACAGTACAGTGTGGAGAGCAGTTCTTAACTTACTTTATTTGATATCTAGAAACAGGGTTGAGGGTGGCTGTAAACTCACTTTTTTGAACAGCTAGATACAGTACAGTGTGGAGAGCAGTTCTTAACTTACTTTATTTAAAAGCTAGATACAGTGATGAGGGCAGTTGTAAACTTACTTTATCAAATACCTAGATACAGAGTTGAGGGCAGTTGTAAACTTACTTTATTGAATAGTTAGATACAGGGTTGAGAGTGGTTACAGGACTGTGGTGGTTGTCAACATCCATCACTCCAGCTAGACAAAAAGTACAGATACATTTTCAATCATATGTCCATTGAGGAGCCGTAAAATCATTAAAGTTGATTTTACGTAGTTGCAAACATGATTTGGAAAAACATATCTATCTCTAAATTTGTCTTCAAATATCAACAGCAGGTCTAGACTTAAAGATACCCTTTGCAGTTTCTTTGCAAATTTTAACAAACCAGTAGTAATGCATCCTTTTTAATCTACTTTTTAAATTAACTTTTTCTAAAGCAACATTTAAAAATTGAAAAAATGAATGAAGTTTAAGTAACGAAATAAGAGAAAATCACATTGAACTTTTTATTTAGTTTTGTGATATGAACCAATATAAATGTGGCCTTACCTGTATTAAATGTTGGGTATCGAAGGATATGTTCCCGGTTGTCGTATGAGACAGAGCGGTGCATGGATGACTGTTCTCTTAGGTCCCACACACAAATAGAGCCATCCACCTATCATATACACAGTTCATCTTAGTGGTTCATTATCAAGGTTTCCACACAATGATTATACAATAATAATCTTCCATATCTCAAGGCCAAGCTTTCTTGGCGTCATTTACGAGACAATCAAGGCCAAGCTTTCTTGGCGTCATTTACGAGACAATCAAGTTCAAGTTGATGGTGCAACACTAACAAAAATCTTTTCTCACACCCTACCAACACTGTGTGACAGTCCACAGGAATGTTTTTTTTGTTTGCTACTGATAATCTACTGAATGGTCAACAAATGCTGTAATCCCTGTCTAGTTATAACTCAACTCTCCCATTTTATATTAGGGATTATGTATTGCCTTCTCAGCTTACCATAGGATAAATAAAGCCCCTCAACCCTCCTAAAGTTTTCATGGTGTTTCATGTTTAAATTTATAACAAAACAGAACCGATGTATATCACAATGAGTTTCCGAAACACCTCTAGACATCAAATATCAATTGTCTACCTTAATTTAATAATACTTTTTCATCAAAAGATTGATTGACATTTTGAATTAACAGATATTTTGCACAAATAGTTTTGCTCATATATCTTGAAGTATTGGATTTGTCACACTTACCATGCCAGCAAATGCCAGAGTCGTCCTGTTGGGGCTAAAACAGCAACACGTTGGCTGGGACTCACATGCCAGAATTCTGTATCAAACAAAAAGAGAGAATTTTAACTTTTAACTCAGATCCTTAAATAAAAGCAGATCAAATAGTAATGCCAACATTCCTTATATAGCATCTGACCAGAGCTCTTAATGGAAGAAGTGATGCTTTAACAGGTCATAGAGTACAAGGACTTAAAATAAATTCATTGTAGAGTTATCAATTACATTGTCATAAATTTCCACGATATTCAATGTGATATCCAAATTTTTTATTTTCTCAACTTCCATAATCCAATTCAAATAAATGAAATTTTAGATGATTAAAGTGTTTTTTTATGACTTGAAATGTCATGGTATGATTGACTTGAGACTGACTTGACAAATGCAGGTGAGCTTGTGACTAAATATGAAAACTATTTATTTGCTCTTAATACTTTGTATATGATGATTTTGTGTTGAGATTTATTGTCATATGTTTATTAAGAAATGATGGAACAAAGATTGATTTTAGTTACTTGGTATTTTTATGCTGATGCACTTCGTCTCGTTGTTAAAGTATCTTACCTCTGTGGGTAGGATGGGTCGTCTGTGTTCCAGACACACACTATGCCCTTCTTTGTGATAGAATTTCCCTCATCCTCCTATCAATGAACAATGCTGAACAGTTACAGGACAAAATCATAGTGAATATATATTTCAATCATATGTGTGTTAGTTTTCTGAGTGAATCAACAGTACCAGCCAGAAAACTAAATATCATATTAACCTATTAATTTCATGTTATGTCACTTTTGTAGTGTGCCAACATGTTTCAATGGCAAACCATCATCGTCCAATATACCAGTACCACATGTGTGCAATGCTCTTCCTAAATCAATCCAATTAGTGCACATTGTGTGCTCTTGCTGAAGCATTTTAGGAGCTTCCAGGTGAACATAGCTGTACTGTTGTGTGTATTGCTAGCTGGTTTTGTTGTATGTTTGCTGGGTGATACTTTATCACCCTGTCAACAGTCAGGAACACTTTGAGGCAGTAGCTGATACAGCTACCTCATTGAAAAACATACAGAAAGCACAATATATGTCACCCATGGCAATTTGGTAAAGATGCTTGCACAAGGACACAACCTTAACAGCACAAGCAGGTCCATTTCTTAGCTTCCCAAGAAACACAAATCCTCATGCGTAGGGAGCATCAATCTATTCACCTCAAACCTGAGGATGTGTAGGCTAATGCTGTTATTGTGGATATCAATGTACCACTTACAAATTTCTTTACCATGATATTCTTATCTGATGTCTGAAAAATGGAAAACAGACCAGGGATGCATGAATTGTGGCTTCACGTACCAATGCACTTACTAATCTAGGAAGGTATTGAAATGGAGATGAAAATGTAAAGTTTATGATACCATGCTATTCAACACAACTAACCACTGTTTGTTTTATAATGAACATACTAATTCAGAGGAAAATGCAGGGATTTGACATCTACAAGTCATACCTGTGCAGGTTTGCTGTAGGCTGTGATCAACATGTTGGGTTGAGAAGGTGCAAACTGTGAGAACAGCACACATCGGCCTAAAAAAATAAACATAAAATTGAGTAAAGGTCACAGCTACCTACAAACAAACATTACAGTACAAAACACAGCAATCTACAAAACAAGTATCAAATAAGGATGAATATTTGTCACAGCATACTACAAAACAAAAACTAACTTGAGTAACACTGTACACAATACAGAGAGTAACACTGTACACAATACAGAAAGTAACACTGTACACATTACAGAGAGTAACACTGTACACAATACAGAGACCTACAAAACAAAAACTAACTTGAGTAATACTGTACACAATACAGAGAGTAACACTGTACACAATACAGAAACCTACAAAACAAAAACTAACTTTAGTAACAATGTACACAATACAGAGATTAACACTGTACACAATACAGAGAGTAACACTGTACACAATACAGAGAGTCACACTGTACACAATACAGAGAGTCACATTGTACACAATACAGTGAGTAACAAACAGAGAGTTACAATGTACACAATACAGAGAGTAACACTGTACACAATACAGAGTCACACTGTACACAATACAGAGAGTAACAAACAGAGAGTTACAATGTACACAATACAGAGAGTAACACTGTACACAATACAGAGAGTCCACTGTACACAATACAGAGAGTAACACTGTACACAATACAGAGAGTCACAATATACACAATACAGAGAGTATCAAACAGAGAGTTACAATGTACACAATACAGAGAGTAACACTGTACACAATACAGAGAGTCCACTATACACAATACAGAGTCACACTGTACACAATACAGAGAGTATCAAACAGAGAGTTACAATGTACACAATACAGAGAGTCACACTGTACACAATACAGAGAGTAACAAACAGAGAGTTACAATGTACACAATACAGAGAGTAACACTGTACACAATACAGAGAGTCACACTGTACACAATACAGAGAGTAACACACAGAGAGTTACACTGTACACAATACAGAGAGTAACACTGTACACAATACAGAGAGTCCACTGTACACAATACAGAGAGTAACACTGTACACAATACAGAGAGTAACACTGTACACAATAGAGAGTAACACTGTACACAATAGAGAGTAACACTGTACACAATACAGAGAGTAACACACAGAGAGTAACACTGTACACAATACAGAGAGTAACACTGTACACAATACAGACACCTACAAAACAAAAACACTTACCCTACAGGATATGTAATCAGAGGTCAGATTAGACAGGTTACTGATATACACTTACCCTTCAGGATATGTAATCAGAGGTCAGATTAGACAGGTAACTTCTATACACTTACCCTTCAAGATATGTAATCAGAGGTCAGATTAGACAGGTTACTGATATACACTTACCCTTCAGGATATGTAATCAGAGGTCAGATTAGACAGGTTACTGATATACACTTACCCTTCAGGATATGTAATCAGAGGTCAGATTAGACAGGTTACTGATATACACTTACCCTTCAGGATATGTAATCAGAGGTCAGATTAGACAGGTTACTGATATACACTTACCCTTCAGGATATGTAATCAGAGGTCAGATTAGACAGGTTACTGATATACACTTACCCTTCAGGATATGTAATCAGAGGTCAGATTAGACAGGTTACTGATATACACTTACCCTTCAGGATAGGTAACTGTGCCAGTTTTGTGTAGCCTTCGCTTACACCTACATTGGACTTGTTCTCGTTCATATCAGTTTTCGTCACATCTTTTTCTTCGTCCAGTAAAATTGAGATTACCTGTACAATATAGGTAAATATATGTAGCAAGTCTTGTACAAAATATGTAATTATAGAAGACCATACACATTTCATAACTGACATAAGTATTTCTTTGTAAGCAAAATTATCAGTGAAACTAATGAATGTTCCCCGAAAACAACTGTATTGGACACAAAATTTCATCAAACTGAAATCATTCTGTAGCTTAGGGGTCTAGACCATTCACATTGCTACACACACCTTACTTTTGTATGACTGATGTATATATATCACCTTGTAATATTTTATTTAACTGCAAGCAAAGTAATGCCTCAGACACACAATTTCACAAAGGGCAATAACGCTGTAATTAAGGGGTTGCAAACCCTAACATTGCTACACTAAAATTCATGATCCTTTCTTAACTGTGAGAAAAGTTATGCTCTGAACACAAAAGGAAGGACAGAAAGACGGACTATATGCTCTCCCAGAAACTTTTCGGGGAGCATAAAAGTATGCTTTTTTACACAGTTTGCCTAGGTTGAAACACCTGTAGTGTCATATATTTTCAGGCACTTCTCAAGTTATGAAATATTTGGTTCTTAAGTGGTGCTAGAACATACTTAATTGAGAAATTTGGCTCAAAGTGATGTTTGTAAACTAGTTATCTCAAGGATTCACAGAGAAAATAAACGAATGGTAGGGTATGTTCTTATGGTCAGGTGTTTTTTTTTTGTAAATGAATATTTAACAGAATAAATGATTACGTAAACAAAAACAAAAACAAAAACAAAAGTTTTATTTCTTAACTGGACATATTTGTAATTTAATTTCATGAAAATGATGTTAAAACAAAGTCTTATCAAAACTACAGTGTAGATTTTGGTCCTTAATAAAGTTCAAATCAAGTCAGGAACTTGACAAACATTTTTTTTTTCATTGCCAAGGAGACAATTACCCACCCACCGGTCATCCTAGTGATTTACATAGCTGCCATGAGCCACTTACTACAATCAACCTAGCAAATGAAATAGGCACCACTGAATAGAGTCCTCAGCATCAGTTATTACCTGTCCTGCTTTCTGTACAAATTTACTGAGGCGACTCAAATCAAGGTTCTTGTTCACTTGAGACTGTTCCTCATCCTCTATGTCTTTCACTCCATCACCTCCTACAACAGAAAAGTTCTCTTGTGCAAACAAGTGATTTTATTGGCAAAAAAAAATCTTTCCTTACTGGCATCAATAACATAACATTTGCTGACTGGTATACAAGTCAATCATTCAATGAATGATAAGTGTTGACAATAAAACAAAATTTTTATGAAAGAACTTCTATTAATACATTAAAAACTGATCTAAACAAGATCTTTTAACTAGTTCAGAAAAGTTTTAAACTTATATACTAATCATTTAATGAACTCTGAACAGTCATGCATAAGGATATTTAGCATTCAGTGCCATCACTACCAAACAAATGTTTTCTAGTCTCCCCTTCCTACCCCTTCTTACATCAAATCAGTTTATATATAAATAAATAAAATACACATACTTCCACAACCTATGTAATCCTCTGCTGGATGTTGTGTCCATTTCTGACGGACATCGATCTCATCTGTTTGTACTTCTCGATCAATATCATCATCATTAGTCTGGACATACGCCTGAGTGTAGAATGAGATAGTGACTTTAGTCTCTTAACATTTTTGTATATACTTTGTTTTATCTATATAATGTACATAAATTAGTAAGTTCAATACAAAGAAAACAACAAATTTTCAAAACAATCCTTGTGTTAAGATTTTTTTTAGATTTCATTTTAAGAAAATTTATAATTCAATGTAATAAAAAAAGAAATTGAATGTAACTCTTTAACTTTAATCTGAATACTCTGAATGCATGCATAATCATGAAATCATTTTAATGATTACACATTTAATGTTTTATTTTATGTTTTTCTCTACAAGAATTCTGATAAAGAACAGAACTGGAATAGAAAAATTCACTAAATGAAATGCATCTAAGAAGTTATTAATTAACAGTTTTACTGACTTTTTTGTAGTTGAAAATTCACAAAAAATGTCAGTTTTACTTGATACAAAACAAACATCTTGTTGACAAAATATGTAATTGTAACAGACAGTGAAACTGACAAGAACACTCATGATTTGTGAGTGACAGACAAAGAGAGTCTGAGAAATGTGACTGATTTGATATATATAAAGGTGAATAAGATTATAACAATACCTAGTGGACATTTTAGAATAATTAAGAAAATTATACAAAATAAATCCATCATGAAAAAGTTTGTCTGTATTATAAGAACAAGAGGCCTAAAGTGACTTATTTGTATGACAAATTACTGATAGTAGACAGGGAATTGTAACAGCAATTTTGAAAGTTTCATGTCATCAGAAAATATATAATTATCACTTTTTCTCAATGGATGTTTCAGCAGATGTCGTCAAGAGAAATTGAAGTTCTAATTAGCCAATCACAACCAAAGGATTTTACTCATTTCTAGTACCAGGTACACACCACATATACTTCGTCTCAGAAGATCATGAAGGCTATCTTTCATTTTAAATAGATCCAGAAATTAACAAACCATTTCACACAAAGTCATTAACAGTATCATCTGAATTAACTTTGTGTTGCTTACTAAACCTCAAGGGTCATAAACTTCCTTTCATAATTACTGCATTGCTCCAGGGATTCAGGGAGTGATATTGCAAACAGATGATTGGCACAACACAATACCCCAGTAATATTAGCTCACTTATATAGGAACATACTTGTTTACACTTAGTTTATTTCAAAGTCACATGTTTTGTTTTAAAAGATATTTCAGTAAAACTGTTTCAAAAATGCATTCTTCGAGAAATGATTTCCTTTTGTGAATAAACTTAAATATACAGTTTAAACAATATCATTGACAATCATAGTCACCTCCATTGAAGTAAGGGAAAGCTGCTAAATAACAGACAGGTTCAGACAAACAGAAGATTAATTCAATGTACTAGGGAAAACAGTTAATCAGAATAATTAATACTTGAAATTTTAAACATTACCATAGTAAAGCATTATGCTTTTTTTCTGATATGCTGATTATTACAAATACTTCTTATACCATAAGATACATTAAAAGACTGAAGCAATTTTAAAACATTTCTAGAATTCAGGAATGAAAAGATCCCTCCTTATGTTATAAAAAAAGGTTATCATGCTTAACCTGGCCCTAAGAAGAAAAAGAACCTACCCGGTATCTCTGTTATCTGGCAGAGATTGTGTTCACTAATAAAATCTTTCTGGTGTAATCTTACATAGGTCTACTCACTTAGCCTTTCTCCTACCTAATGTTCTCACAAACTGGTAGAGCTGCACTCACTAAATTGTCTATGTTATCTGTCAGAGTTGCACTCTCACTAAACAAGAGACTGAACATGTAAACATGAACATATATGAACTTCTATGAAAAGTATGAGCTTTCATGACCTAACTGTTTACCTGAGTAGTATCGGAGCGTCCAAAACTCCTGATATAGAGGTCGTATTCCTTGACCGGAGGCATATCAAACAGATCATACTCAGCAGTGTCCAGTTCAATCATCTGTAACAAATCCTGGGCACGCTTCCCAATCAGGGAACCTGCATGGCTCACCATTGCACGCTTCTTAGCTCCCATGAAGTTGATAAGTGTCTTTGACCGTGAAACTTTGGGCTGGTCATCATCGCTTTCATCGTTTCTATTGTTGTATTTGTCATCTCTTCGATAACTGTCATCATCTCTTTGCTGTCGACAAGGAATCAAATTTAGATAAAAATTAAATTTTTTTCCTTTTATAATCAAAACACATTACATGTAATATGAATTGATAATTATGAACTATAATTACATAATAATGATATGTTAATATTACACTTCTGAAGCTACAACTACTTACATTCTCATATCGGCCTCTCTGACGACCACTGGTAGCTCTGGACTCTTGTAACAAGCGTTCATTTTCCTTGTCCAATGCACTCAATAAGTCATTCATTTCATTATCCTAAATGGAAAAAAATAATTCATTTCATCATCCTGATGAAACAGATAATTCATTTTATCATCCTGATGAAACAGATCATCCTGAAGGAAATAAAGAATTAACTTGATCACCAAGTACTGATATATATTAATTTCTTTCAATTCATTTACCTTTATATATAGTACAGTATATCAAGATTTTTTTATGTTGCTAAATTCATGTCATCATCTTTGCATTAAAAATGGATCATGGCAATGAATAAAAATGTAACCTTGTCCTCTTTCTATGTCTCCTAAAAGGAGATGTTTGGGTTACCAAATGGTAAATTATGGTAAAATGGTTTAGAAATTTGGACTGCCATAAGGTAAATTATGGCAAAAAGGTTTAGAAATTTGGACTGCCATAAGGTAAATTATGGTAAAATGGTTTAGAAATTTGGACTGCCATAAGGTAAATTATGGTAAAAGGGTTTAGAAATTTTGACTGCCATAAGGTAAATTATGGTAAAATGGTTTAGAAATTTGGACTGCCATAAGGTAAATTATGGAAAAAAGGTTTAGAAATTTGGACTGCCATAAGGTAAATTATGGCAAAAAGGTTTAGAAATTTGGACTGCCATAAGGTAAATTATGGTAAAATGGTTTAGAAATTTGGACTGCCATAAGGTAAATTATGGTTAAATGGTTTAGAAGTTTGGACAACCAAAAGATAAATCACAAGTAATCATATCTTATAGGTAAAAGGGTTGGAATCATCAAAAGGCAACTTTTAAGCATATGATAATTTGAAATCTGATGCAACCAGAGCATATTTTCAAGATAAAAAAATGCACATAATAGTATTGTAAGAAGCACGCCAGAAACAATTCACAAACTTATTACCCAGTGTATAATCAACACACTACCCTGAATCCTATTGGTGAGTTTCTTCATAAAATACACAATGATACAGCAAGTTAATCATACAATACAAGACCATGTACCATTGTTAAGGCTTATAACATACAGATCATGTTAACTATGCAGTCCAATTGCTGTAATCACTTTGGAAAAAATAATTGTGTCAAATGCAAGCTTGTTTTTAATTTGTTTAAATAGAATAGAACCTATTTTCCCTTACAGCCTCTAGTTTTAATTTAAAAGCAAATAAGACAAACAATGATGCAAAGCAATTTATATTTCCTTATTCCTATACTGTGTTACAGACGTGTACCTATACTGTACTACAGACATATACCTATACTGTGTTACAGACATATACCTATACTGTGCTACAGACATATACCTATACTGTGTTACATATACTATATTGTGTTACAGACATATACCTATACTGTGTTACAGACATATACCTATACTGTGTTACAGACATATTCCTATACTGTGTTACTATACTGTGTTACAGACATATACAGACATATACCTATACTATACTGTGTTACAGACATATACCTATACTGTGTTACAGACGTGTACCTATACTGTACTACAGACATATACCTATACTGTGTTATATACCTATACTGTGTTACAGACATATACCTATACTGTGTTACAGACATATACCTATACTGTACTACAGACATATACCTATACTGTGCTACAGACATATTCCTATACTGTGTTACAGACATATACCTATACTGTGTTACAGACATATTCCTATACTGTGTTACAGACATATACCTTCCTTTACTGTGTTACAGACATATACCTATACTGTGTTACAGACGTGTACCTATACTGTACTACAGACATATACCTATACTGTGTTACAGACATATACCTATACTGTGCTACAGACATATACCTATACTGTGTTACAGACATATACCTATACTGTGTTACAGACATATACCTATACTGTACTACAGACATATACCTATACTGTGTTACAGACATATACCTATACTGTGTTACAGACATATACCTATACTGTGCTACAGATATATACCTATTCTGTGTTACAGACATATTCCTATACTGTGTTACAGACATATACCTATACTGTGTTACAGACATATACCTATACTGTGTTACAGACATATACCTATACTGTGTTACAGACATATACCTATACTGTGTTACAGACATATTCCTATACTGTGTTACAGACATATACCTATACTGTACTACAGACATATACCTATACTGTGTTACAGACATATACCTATACTGTGTTACAGACATATACCTATACTGTGCTACAGACATATTCCTAAACTGTGTTACAGACATATACCTATACTGTGTTACAGACGTGTACCTATACTGTACTACAGACATATACCTATACTGTGTTACAGACATATACCTATACTGTGTTACAGACATATACTGTGTTACAGACATACAGACATATACCTGTGTTACAGACATATGCCTGTACTGTGTTACAGACATATACCTATACTGTGTTACAGACATATACCTATACTGTGCTACAGACATATACCTATACTGTGCTACAGACATATACCTATACTGTGCTACAGACATATTCCTATACTGTGTTACAGACATATGCCTATACTGTGTTACAGACGTATACCTATACTGTGTTACAGACATATACCTATACTGTGTTACAGACATATACCTATACTGTGTTACAGACATATACCTATACTGTGTTACAGACATATTCCTATACTGTGTTACAGACATATACCTATACTGTACTACAGACATATACCTATACTGTGTTACAGACATATACCTATACTGTGTTACAGACATATACCTATACTGTGTTACAGACGTGTACCTATACTGTACTACAGACATATACCTATACTGTGTTACAGACATATACCTATACTGTGCTACAGACATATACCTATACTGTGTTACAGACATATACCTATACTGTGTTACAGACATATACCTATAATGTGTTACAGACATATTCCTATACTGTGTTACAGACATATTCCTATACTGTGTGACATATTCCTATACTGTGTTACAGACATATTCCTATACTGTGTTACAGACATATACCTATACTGTGTTACAGACATATACCTATACTGTGTTACAGACATATACCTATACTGTGTTACAGACATATACCTATACTGTGTTACAGACATATACCTATACTGTGCTACAGACATATTCCTATACTGTGTTACAGACATATGCCTATACTGTGTTACAGACGTATACCTATACTGTGTTACAGACATATACCTATACTGTGTTACAGACGTGTACCTATACTGTACTACAGACATATACCTATACTGTGTTACAGACATATACCTATACTGTGTTACAGACATATACCTATACTGTACTACAGACATATACCTATACTGTGCTACAGACATATTCCTATACTGTGTTACAGATACCTATACTGTGTTACAGACATATACCTATACTGTGCTACAGATATATACCTATTCTGTGTTACAGACATATTCCTATACTGTGTTACAGACATATGCCTGTACTGTGTTACAGACATATGCCTGTACTGTGTTACAGACATATACCTATACTGTGTTACAGACATATACCTATACTGTGTTACAGACATATACCTATACTGTGTTACAGACATATTCCTATACTGTGTTACAGACATATGCCTGTACTGTGTTACAGACATATACCTATACTGTGTTACAGACATATACCTATACTGTGTTACAGACATATACCTATACTGTGTTACAGACATATACCTATATACCTATATACTGTGTTACAGACATACCTATACTGTGTTACAGACATATACCTATACTGTGTTACAGACATATTCCTATACTGTGTTACAGACGTGTACCTATACTGTACTACAGACATATACCTATACTGTGTTACAGACATATTCCTATACTGTGTTACAGACATATACCTATACTGTGTTACAGACATATTCCTATACTGTGTTACAGACATATGCCTGTACTGTGTTACAGACATATACCTATACTGTGTTACAGACATATTCCTATACTGTGCCACAGACAACCTATACTGCACTACAGACATATACCTATACTGTACTACAGACATATTCCTATACTGTGTTACAGACATATACCTATACTGTGTTACAGACATATACCTATACTGTACTACAGACATATACCTATTCTGTGCTACAGACATAGCCCAGTGATATATAAATATGGCTTCAGGATAATAGTTTTTTTATTCATTAAACACCAAAGCTTTCGAGTGAATGATGGAAGGCAACCAGTTTTGTTTAAATAATTCAACTTATCACCTTTCCCTAAGACCTCACATGGGTTACAGATCTATTTTTATTACACATCACACTGTCCAGTCAAAGTGTATCTATGATGTTTCCTATCACAAATATATATAGAACTTGAGTTTAAACAGAAATATTTAGTTACTCGAGGATAGTACTGACAGTATTACAGACTGATGGAGGGAAACCACAAAGCACCTCTGTATTACTGGTACTGGACATACACATAAAGTAGATAAACATTGTCAGTGATTGAAATTTGTGTCCAAAAATGAATTTCAAAAACTCACATAGTGGAAGTGGTAAGTCAATAGAAAGAACCACAAGGTGACAAGAGCTTGAAGAAGTATAATGGGAAGGTGGTGTGGTGTGTATTGTCCAGATTGTTTCTAGGGAATGGGGGAGGAGGAAGGTGGGTGGGGGGGGAGAGTATATCACCTTTAATTACATTACTGATTGACATTTATAATACCTGTTGGTAGACATATAACCTGCTAGCAAAGACTTATTGCCTGATAAATACTGTCAGTAAAATGTCAGCCACTGTTTATCAAAAAAAAAAATTACCAAGATTATTACTAGATGCAGTTTGATGGTGAAACTCATGCATTTGATCATCAAGCAGCAAGCTGATTACACAGAAGTGATTTTGATAAAAGTAAAAACATTTCTGTAATCATAAAATAAATTAAAGCGTGCCGTGTAATGCTAATGGTAAAGGAGACATTTCCATTTCAATAAAATATGGACTTTATGTAACACTAACATTGTACACACACCTAATCAACTGTATTGATATTGAATATTTCAATATATAAATGTTGATTGAGTATTTGAACAATAGAAATAGCAACAGTGACAACACACTGCAGACTCTGCCACACACTGATATAATTCATTAGGGGGAGGCCTTAATTAGTTTGGTAATATTTACTGAATAGTCCAGAACAGTTCCAGGTCGAGAGCTCTTGTGTATTGATTCCTGTGTAAATTAAACAACTATTCATTATCTGGTCTCAAACTTTGATTTGTTGCTAGTTGTAATTGCATGCACTTTTGCTGTTATTTTGGTTGTTTCACTATTTCAGTGGTTGATAGCCTGCTTGCAATAAATATACTATATTGGTTTGTATAAAGCTCATGACATCTGACACTTTGATTCTGATGGACAATGTCAAGGTCTTTAACTAATCTCAACATCAGTTTTTTCACTTACATACTTAGCTAACCAGTATGTTGTTAAGATGGAAAATATCAATGCCCAGGAAATGAAAGTTGATGATTTCTCTAATGATTGTTAATTTCTGAACAAATACAATGTCAAATAGATGTGTCATGTATATATCTATCTTAATGATAGTGAATGATGAGATCAAAGACAAAAAGACGCAAAGAAAAAAAAGCAAAATGACAACTGCTAAATCTAAACATATTTCTTCATTGCTTTCTTGTATAATTTTTTCACCATGAACAAAAAAATATATCACTCTTAAATTCTATGAATTTCACAAACACTTTCAAGTTTAATATATATCTGAGGGAATAAGTTGTTAAGTTCTGTATGAATAGACAATAAAATGTTCAAAGATTAGATTCATGACCAATTCTTTAACTTAACAGATATATCTCTCACAAAAAAAATATTATAATTATCCAATGTGTTTGTAATTTGAACTGAAATTCTGTGGTGTGGTTCAAAGCCTCAGTACTTCTGCAAAACTGGCAATTTAATATTTATTTCTTTTATGTGTCAATTTGAAATGGATTTTACTTTCTACATACACAAAGAAAGCATTGCTAATGTAAGAAGTGAAATCTAACCTACACAGAATGGATTAGCGTTTGATAGTTTGTTCAGAGGAAAGTTAGAAGATTTTTTATTAGAGGCATTGTAAAAAGTGTACAGCGACTGTACAGAGCAAGCAGTGCACATTGTATCTCACCTCATAATTTCTAGGTGACCTCTGTTTTGAGGTTTTAACTGTAAAGGCAGGCTAGGAAATACAAAAAGTTTTAACAATTAAAATGCTGTGCACCAGCCCTGTGTTTCTATTACTGAGGTTATTGAACTGTAATGTATACATCTCTGACTCTGGTATATCACCTTTAATCCTATTACTAATTGACACTTATAATACCTGTTGGTAAACATATTACCTTCTAACAAAGACTTATTGCCTGATAAATACTGTCAGCCAAAATGTATCTTAAGGAAAAATTCACATGTTTTTTTTTCAGTTTTTCTCAAAATAAGGATTTCTTAAACTCTGAACATGAATTAATCAATATTTTGGGAAATTTATGCAATCATTCTGTAACCATCATATTAATTAATAACATGCATGAACTTTCATTTCATGACATGATTAAACTGTATTTACTTTTAAATGGTAAATTTAAGAAAATCATTATAAATTCTCATTTCAACTGAAAAATTAAAAACAAAGAGTAAAAAGTATTATAAGACTCCTGAAATCTTACCTTAGTTTCCTCTTCTTCCTCGTCCTCAAAGTCCTCCTCATAATCCTACAAAACAAACATGAAATTAGGATAAGACATTCACACCACTCGGAAAAGACTCTACAAGAATTGAAGAGATGTAGATTGTAGCAGCAATACACTTCTATAGTCTCTTTGTATTTTCTGGAACCAAATGATGTAGAATTTTACACGTACAGGTGACATTAAATGTAAATAGCTGTACAATGATAGACCTGTACCTCAAACTCTTCATCTGCATAAGGATCATCTTCTTCTTCTTTCTTATAGGAGCTTTTTGTTCCTGTATCCTGTTAATGAACAAAAAACAAAATCTCATCCCACAAGAAACTCCAAAAAGTAAAATTTGTTCTAAAATTGTAAAAATTTCAAAGTCAAATTCAAATTCCCTAAATTCTCAAGTAACAATAGAACTATTGTTTTAAAGAACCACAAGGTCTGTTTGTTAGCTTATTGTACTGTAAGTTGATGATCACTTAGTCATTAGACTATGGTTATAGGTGAGATCACTGTAACCAGGATTCTAGGCAGCACTAACGGGGATGGTCTACCTATAAACTTTAATCATTACGCTCCTGTATCAGAAATTGCAAAACATCAGACTATTCAAATTGTAGGTTTTTCCCATTAAAACTGTGTGTAAGTTTTTCACCAAACTCTGCAGAAAAATTTCCGCTTAAATATTCCTAAACTTGCCCAATTAAACTCTGTAAAATAAAATTGGTTTATCACAGTAGTACAACATAAATATCATTACCACCTTCTGTTTATCTGATGGTGTTGATGGTCGAAAGATGGCTTCACGTCGATATATACAAATCAGGGCTAATGCCTATATGTTATACTAGATATTTCTTGTTGAAATGTACATCTGTACATGTAACACCAGTAAATCTAAATTCAATACATAGTTCTCAAAGTGATATTGTTTAAGCTCAGAACTTCAATAGTGAATTATTTTGCAGAAATCATACCAAACCCATGCTTTAATCAAAATGTACTGAATGAACAAGTGATGATGATACATATGAAACAAGTGAGCATTCATACTGTGATTGGTGTACAAACATCATCATGTCATTGCAACTCGACTAGCAAGTCAATAAACTCAGAATCACCCTAATGTAAACCAGACCTACAGGTAAATTGAAATCAGAAGTTTCTAAACTACATAAACAGCATTATAAGAGGAAGCATATGGCAAAGATATTGCATGTTTATCAGAATGGAAGATTTTTATTACTTATGAAAACAGCACCTGAAGAAGCACGACTGCATTTTGGTCTTTGATCAAGTTAAGGTTTCACAGATATATCAATCATAATCAAAATTTATTAAAACAATACATATTCTAAGCTAAGATATACCAGAGAAAATGCTCTGTGACACCAACTAAGATCACAGAAATTTCAACAAATTCAAGATGACTGCATGGAGGCAGCCTCAAAATCAACAAATTTAACAATAAGAACAAAAAAAACTTTTCAAAAGAAATCTAATAAAGATTAATCCAAAAATCCATAATTTGAAATGAAAAAGCAGAAAAACTTTGTGTCCATTTCCAAGACCAATATCTGATGGCCATCCCCCTTTCCCCTCAAAATTGGACCTTTATATAAAATTTGAGAGAGAATCATCAAGATTTTTTCAAGAATCTGTAACTGAGGAGACCTGAGTTAGCCACTCTCTCTGCCATTTTTTGTCTCTCAAGTTCGTCTGAAAATTGAACCAAATTAACTAGGGACCACAGTATATATGTAGGACACTCAGAACAAATGGCTGACAATGAACACAAAGCAATTTGAGCAGCCGAACATCATTGGAGCAGCTTTGTTGTCTGGGTTCAATATAACCATGATGTTTCAAAGTTAGAGGCAGGTAACAGATTAGAATAGGTTTAGCATTAAGGATGTAAGGTTGGAAGGTCTCCGTGATGCAGAACAAACAATATCATTGGAGAGGGGGATGGTAGGAAGGGAGTAAGGTATATATAAATAAGTGACATGTTCAAATAATATTCAGTGCCTGGATCAACTTGATATCCCTTGCAAAGCCTGATATAACTTACTTTGTGTCGAGTACCTGGCTTAGCGGACTTTCTCTGGAAACCATGACAACAGGGTCAAAGAAAAAGTTAATACAGGTCAAAGGTCAATTAGTTTTAGAAAAGCATGCTTGGTTAAACCAAAAAAATACTCTATAAATAGTAAGGTTGATACAAGAAGTTTAGTAGAATGTTTCATGGTAAGGGAGGATACTGATTATAAATGTATTTTGAGCTTCTTCTGGTTGATCTTACGTTTTAATGAATTTAACCTACATTTAAGGTGTTGAGATAAAATAAACATACGTGAGCAATCATTAGCCATGATTTAAACAGGCGACAGACACAAAAATAACTTCTGGTGGTGCTGAAGTTGGCTTATCACAGGAAGAAGAGTGAGTACATATAAATGGGAAATCTACACACAAAGGGTAAAATTACATCTCCCATACCTATCACAGGATTTTGTAAAAGTCTTTACATACTGAGGATAGAGCAGTTAAGATTTTCTGTATAAGTACCAGGGTATGGTATATCAGATTTGTGTAGAGCAGTTAAGATTTTCTGTATAAGTACCAGGGTATGGTATATCAGATGTGTTTAGAGCAGTTAAGATTTCTGTATAAGTACCAGGGTATGGTATATCAGATTTGTGTAGAGCAGTTAAGATTTCTGTATAAGTACCAGGGTATGGTATATCAGATTTGTGTAGAGCAGTTAAGATTTCCTGTATAATTACCAGGGTATGGTATATCAGATTTGTGTAGAGCAGTTAAGATTTTCTGTATAAGTACCAGGGTATGGTATATCAGATGTGTTTAGAGCAGTTAAGATTTCCTGTATAAGTACCAGGGTATGGTATACCAGATTTGTGTAGAGCAGTTAAGATTTCTGTATAAGTACCAGGGTATGGTATACCAGATTTGTGTAGAGCAGTTAAGATTTCCTGTATAAGTACCAGATTTGTGTAGAGCAGTTAAGATTTCCTGTATAAGTACCAGGGTATGGTATATCAGATTTGTGTAGAGCAGTTAAGATTTTCTGTATAATACCAGGGTATGGTATATCAGATTTGTGTAGAGCAGTTAAGATTTTCTGAAGATTTTCTGTATAAGTACCAGGGTATGGTATATCAGATTTGTGTAGAGCAGTTAAGATTTTCTGAAGATTTTCTGTATAAGTACCAGGGTATGGTATATCAGATTTGTGTGGTATGTATAAAATGAATTAAAGAAGGACAGAACAAGTAGACTCATGAAGATGGTAAAGATGTCTGTCCATGCACTGATATTTTCCTGACAGGCTGATATGTTCAAAGTTAGGATTTTACTTACATCATCTCTACTTCTCCCATATGATGATCTGGAAATTAAGAACAAAAACATTTAAAAATAAACACTAATTATACAAAATCATGATAAAAAGGTAATTTTATTCACATCTGTCTAAATAAAAAAGAAAACAAGAGGTCCATAGGGCCTATATTACTCATCTGACTTTGCTTGGCTGAAACTGCTTCATTAAAATTAAAGGAAAGGTAATTCCAGCACACAACACAAAAAGTATCTACCGCAGGTATTTTCCTACTGGACCCCAACCCTCTATCCTTAGGAGGTCAACCCAACCATTCATACTTCAGACCAAATAATTCTTTCAGGAGAAGTAGGATTGTAAAGAATTTGCTCTATTTCCCATATTGGGCCCTGCCACTTCCATCCCAGGTGGACGAGACCCACAGTTTATACAAAACTGATTCCACTTTTAGTAGAGATTTGTAGAAAAAGATGACAAACAGCTGATGTGGTATGCTAAAAACTCACTTGGCCCATGTGAGCTAAAAATAGACTACATTTCCACAAAATCTTATGCTGGTTTAGATGAGTTGATAAGGAGCTTACAATCCTTCAACAATGATATCTATAAAATGCAAAAATCATCTCATACTTGACAATCCTTCATACACAGAGGGGAGAAACATATTTTTGGTCCTATTTTAAGACTTAAATTGTCATTCAATAATTGTTCACTAGAAAGAACAACTGCAATATCTTACTTTAAGGATAAAGTTTGTCAAATGAAGGTCATTAATTTTACTTTTTTGAAGCTTGAAATTTTGACTTCCTTCAACCTCCTGAACGAAATTCAAAATGGTGGAAAGTACCTGGTACATTAAATTCAATGAGCCTAAGGTTTGGATATCTGACTCAAGTCTACCTCACACCAGACTAAATTGACAAAATTAATTTTATTGGAAAAATAACACCACAACTTATATATATGACCTATTTACAAACAGCAAAATACTCTTAGTGACACACCTTTTAATCAAAGACTAAAATCTATTTCAATTAGAAAATTAGTTTAGACAGAAATAACAATAAAAAACCACTTAACAAAATTCAAAATGTAATGCAAACCAAATGAAAATAACCTGGAAAGTTTATACATGTATCTGAACTGTTCAATCATTCTCATGCATACCTTTCTTTTCTCTTCTCATCTCGTTCCTTTTCTTCTTGTTTTCTTCGTCTTCTTTCCTCCTCCTTGTTATCAATAAATGAAGACATACAAAATTATACATCAACTGATCAGATGAATAAGTCATGTGTCATCATTCCACCATAAAATATATATATTTTTTTAAATATACAACTGAAACAATTTTAAAATCAGGCTTAATAACTGCATAACAGTTCACAAAAGTCAATATTCATTCAAAGATGTAAAAGATGGACCAGTTAAACATTTTTTTTTATTTGAACAGGCAATGATTGAGAATGTTTATTTGTTGATATGATGAATATGTATAATCTACAGCTGATCCCTGTTTTTTTTAATAACAAAAAAAAAATGTTTTTTTTAGTATATTGAAGCTCTATGAGTATACATCTAACATCAATTATTCCAAATCATTAGTTCACTTTATATCCTCAACATTATCTGCTTTGTTAATAGTGGGTGTACAACTCTCTAAACTCTCTAAATGTTTTGTCCACAGTTTGTTCATAACTGTGACTTGGGTACTCCATAACAGAGAAGGCAATTAATACTACTGATTTACCACTGTAGTATACCACAACAAGACATCAAATACCCATAACGAGAACACTAGTATTGTCAATAATGGAACAAAGGTTACCATCTAAATTGACTGAATTAAACTTTTAGAATTGTACATATCTTACCTCTTCTTCCCTTTTTCTTCGTTCTTTTTCTCGGTCACGGTCTCTATCTTTGTCTTTTCCTTCTCTTTTTTCTCTCCGTTCTCGTCTTTGTCTTTCACGTTCATCCTATAGAAGAAGTCATAGTGTCGGATACATGGCAATATTGACTACTGGGTAGAAGTTTCTATAGTTAGTTACAACTTTTCAAGCAATATTTGTAAAGGACAGTAATAAAAATAGATTACCAAAATCTTATTTGAATCCCTATTATCATACAATTTTTCTTTTTAATTTTCTGATTATTTCTGCAATATGATCATACACTGTTTTGCTTTCTATCTTAATTGATTGCAACTAAATGAATTGTAAGAATATTATCATTATATTTTGTAATATATTTGAATATAAAATGTAACAGGAACAGAACCAAAATGAACATAAACTGACAACAAACAAGTGAGTGAAACAAAAAAATATCACAAATAAAATGTCAATAATATTTTTAAACACTTAACCAGATTTTCATGGAAAACTAAGATAAAGAATTAGTAATACACCCATGATAACAAATGTACATATGTATCAACTGAAACTATACTTCTATAGTACCTATTCAATACATCATACATGTACTGTATACATTGCGTACATTTTTGTAATAGATGTACTTGTATACTGGAATTAATCAATACTAAGTCATATAGATGATATATATGTACCAGTACAATCTTAAATAAGGTCTCATTTACTATGAGGTTTATGAAACAAATCTTTGATGTTTTTTTTTTTTTTTCGAGCCCTGACTCCATTGTATGTTATACTAATGACATATTAAATTCACTGGATAACAAGCAGATTATGTGAAAATACAGTATAACAGTAGAACTCATAACTTAATAGGTAACAACAAAGCATTTTAAAAATTATATGAACAATTTAATGGAAACATTGAACTTGAACTGATATATGGAATAACCTGAATTCCCTTTTTAGCAGTGGTTGTATACACCCTGGTTCCGCGCCTCCTCTGAGATTTCTGAATTTTTTAAGTATTTATTGAAGACAATTGAATAAAACAATGCATCTAATATTTTTAAGTTAGATTGACAAATCATACAATGCAGAAGGAAACAATTTCAGTCAAACTTTTACTTCCATTATAATAATAGGTCCTGACATTCTCACCTCATCATCCCGTGTTCGGTCTTTGTCACGTCTATCTTTTCTGCGGTCATCCTATACAAAGATAAGAAAACTCATTTTATCACAGTAAAAAATTGTCGGGACAATAGTTTCATAAGAATTGGGGGGGGGGGGGGGGGGGGGGGGGGGGGGGGGGGGGGGGGAAAGAAGGGTTTTATCTTAAATGATCTGCTACACAGCACACAAGGCTAGAGAGATTTATGTCTTATGTAAGGAATTCTCACCTCATCATCCCTTGCTCTGTCTTTGTCTCGTCTCTCTTTTTTTCTGTCATACTGTAATGATACAAAAGTCCTTATCTTACAGGTACAGTGTATAATATATTTTGTTGTAATATCACAAAATATAGACATAGCCTACTATTCAGCAATATAATGCCGAAAAAGGTGTATAACTGTGTTGACATGGTCCAAAAGTTTTCCTTCCCTATTGAAATTTTAAGACAAAGTTTATGTATGATAAATAAAAATATCAACTCGAGATCTTTATCTTATCATATTACATAAGGAAAATGGTTTTGAGTTGTCATTTAACATTTTTATACTACATTTTCAATTCTGCAAGATCTGTAATCCTAAACTTACATCCTCTCGGTCTTTATGTCGTTTACGATCAGATTCTTCCTCTTTTCGTCTATCATGTCGTCTGTCACCATCTCGTCTCCTTTCATCATCCCTATCATGTCTATTATCATCTTCTCTATCTCTGTGATGACGCCTTTCATTGTCTTCATCCTTTCTGTGTCGCCGCCTGTCATAATCTTCATCGTCCCTCTGTCGTTTTTCTCTGTTGTCGTCTGCACGATGATGTTTACGCCTATCTTCCTCTTCTCTTTTTTGTCGTCGTCTTTCACGTTCCTCTTCCCTCTCTTTATCTCTATCCCTCCTCTTGTCTCCATGGTTATCATCATCCTCATCATCAATAGTCAAACGTTTCCTTCTGTCATCTTCTCTTGGTTTCTTTCTATCATCCTCTGTCTGAAAACAAAATATTTATATCTTCTGATGTCCTTCACAAAGTACACTGAAGCAAATCTTACCTTAAAGGACTCCTGAATACTTTTTCATGGAAATTCTCAAAGGTTTTTCATTTCAACAATAAAACCTACCTTGCTTTTCCCCTCTCTCTTTTCTCTTCTTTCTCTCCTTTGTCTTTCTCTTTCATCCTAAAAATAAAACAAGTCTTTCCATTAGAAATAATTTTCAATTATATCTTAATATCTAAAAATTGTTTCACTAAAAAATGAAATTATTACAAATTATATTTTACAAAAAAATTCAAATTTCTTAGCTCCATATTGATGGTTTTGAGAATTAAGTGAAAAAAATTGAAAGGAAAGTAATAAAATTCTTTAACTTTTCAATTTTCAAACACTTCAACAACAGTATTGTCACAATATCCTCTTAAAAGCCCCTACAAACCCAAAAGTGAGTCAGAGGAAATGTTTGCTAAGCCTTTTGCTACTTTAAATAATTCATACAAGTGTCATTTACTTTCTTTCTTCTTTCTTAAGAGAACAAATACTTAATGTAAATCATATCAAATATTGCTCATCTCCATTAACAAGAGATCCCAGAGGGATCTTGGTACCCACCATCATCTGATCTGTATTATTTCTTAAAAGTTTAGTCTTTTCCCTTTCTTTCCTTTGCTTTTGCTCTTAATTACACGAAATTTAAAAATTGCTCCTAAGAAATAGTGATAATGGCAAATCCAAGATGTCGTCTGTCTGCCATTTTGTTTTTCTAATTAAATCCAAAATCAAAAGAGTACAACTAGGGACCAGGAGAAACCTACAGATGAAATTTCAGAAGGATCCATATCTCAAGAAATAGCCTGAACAAACTTTCATTGTCAAAATCCAAGATGGCTGTCTATCAGCCATTTTGCTTTTCTAATCAGTCCCAAATCAAAGTGGTAAACTAGGAAGTAAAAGCAATCTATATATTTGAGAAAGGTCCATCCAATACTTCTCAAAAAATAACGAACTTTCATTGTCCAAATCTAAGATGGCCACCTGTAGGCCACTTAACTTTTCTGATCAGTCTCAAAATCAAACAAGCAAAACCAGGGACAATGGGAGACCTACATATGAAATTTGAGAAAGATTTATGCTGTATTTTTCACGAAATAGTAATAACATAAATTGTTTATGGATGGATGGACAGATCACTGACCTAACACTAGGCAATTTGAATCAGATAGTGCGCTAACAAAAACTGGTCTGATAGTGGCCATATTATAACTTGAAGATTGACACTATTTTTTCCTGAAGACAAAACATTCATGTCACTGTTCACATCAGTAACATTAGGTCCATGCAAGCTAACTCTACTCTTTCTATAGCTAGGATATGGTTTTGTAAGCTTCTATATAAGACATTAGAATCGTAACTATACATGGGTGTCTGTAAATCTCCATGTGAACTATCTATTTCAATCATTATGTTTCATTATAAGCATGCAAAATCTACATTTGTTTAACTAAAAGGCACCTGAGACTCAAAACTTACCCAAAATAGCTGGGTAAATAGATATACAAAGCATCATTACAAAAACAGCCTGTTAACTGTTTCTGTCAAGCTTTAAGATAAACCGATCACAATCATGCAATCAAAAACTATTTTCTCATGTTGATTTTGTAAAATGTAGCACTGGAGAATTATTTTACGGCTATCTAACATAAAATGACACTAAAACTTCCATTTAATTTACAAGCAATTTCAAACAAGACAGACAAAAATGTGTAAATCTCTTCATGAAAATTTTCATATTGGAGGAAACAGAGGCCTATGAACTATCATGGTATCCAGCCCAGCTCACCCTGACCAACAGAGAGGATATTAAGGCAAACAAATGATCATATGATTGTTAGTAACAGACACTGCATAATAAACATACTGTTTAAAATCACTGTAAATTCAACAAAGAGAGGAAGCAACTGTAAAACAAAGATACAAATAGACATAGTAAAGAAATCAATTCAAAAGGAAAAGCAAGAATGTTATTCAGTAAAAAAACACAGCTCAATTCTGATAAAGACAACTTTGGTTAAACCACATCAGGCACCTGCTGTGTTATAAGAAATCTAGAGTTATCTGCCTTACCTCAGTCAACTGAGACTGGCGTTCTTCCGAGTTAGTTCGCCGCCGTTCCTAGTAATTGATATGATTTCTAATCACCATAGCACTCAGGCAGTAATTCCCTACTTTATGTGATTTGATTGTAGTGATTATATCAAAGACATCTTACAATGTCACTGATATTGATACCAGTCTGTACTGTTCCTCCTCAATTATTGAAACAAATAACGACATGGAATACAGAACAAATAATATCTACATGTTTCAATCTTTAAACAAATACAAATAAAATCTATTAATTATTATTAAATATTGAATTTCGCCCGTCATATTCCTTCACCATTTTGACATAACGTTAATAAATATCTAGTATTTAGTAATACAAGAACAAAAATAAAAAACAGGATTTATCTGGTCTTTATATTCCTTCACCATTTTGATGTAACGTAAATAAATATCTAGTATTTAATAATACAAGAACAAAAATAAAAAACAGGATTTATCTGGTCTTTATATTCCTTCACCATTTTGATGTAACGTAAATAAATATCTAGTATTTAATAATACAAGAACAAAAATAAAAAGCAGGATTTATCTGGTCTTTATATTCCTTCACCATTTTGATGTAACGTAAATAAATATCAAGTATTTAATAATACAAGAACAAAAATAAAAAACAGGATTTATCTGGTCTTTATATTCCTTCACCATTTAAAACAAATGGTATGTAGCTTCTTTGTATTTTCGTAACCATGTCCTTTCTGATTACAATACAGTACATTTATTTCCTAATTTGAATTTAACCATGATAACCTCAACAGTAATTCAGTTTTCCTTTCTGATAAACGACTATATATACAATAGGTCTACCAAAAACATTTTCCTGTCTGATTTTACGTAACTCAGTATGACTGACTAGGTGGGCAAAAATGTTATCCTCTGTGACTTCACATCACCCAGTAAATCTTACTGGTAGCCAAAAATGTTTCCTGTGTGATTTTATATTACCCAGTAAATCTTACTGGTAGGCAAAAATGTTATCCTGTGTGACTTCACATCACCCAGTAAATCTTACTGGTAGCCAAAAATGTTATCCTGTGTGATTTTATATTACCCAGTAAATCTTACTGGTAGGCAAAAATGTTATCCTGTGTGACTTCACATCACCCAGTAAATCTTACTGGTAGCCAAAAATGTTATCCTGTGTGACTTCACATCACCCAGTAAATCTTACTGGTAGCCAAAAATGTTATCCTGTGTGATTTTATATTACCCAGTAAATCTTACTGGTAGGCAAAAATGTTATCCTGTGTGACTTCACATCACCCAGTAAATCTTACTGGTAGCCAAAAATGTTATCCTGTGTGACTTCCCATCACCCAGTAAATCTTACTGGTAGCCAAAAATGTTATCCTGTGTGATTTTATATTACCCAGTAAATCTTACTGGTAGCCAAAAATGTTATCCTGTGTGATTTTATATTACCCAGTAAATCTTACTGGTAGCCAAAAATGTTATCCTGTGTGACTTCACATCACCCAGTAAATCTTACTGGTAGCCAAAAATGTTATCCTGTGTGATTTTATATTACCCAGTAAATCTTACTGGTAGCCAAAAATGTTATCCTGTGTGATTTTATATTACCCAGTAAATCTTACTGGTAGCCAAAAATGTTATCCTGTGTGACTTCACATCACCCAGTAAATCTTACTGGTGGGCAAAAATGTTATCCTGTGTGATTTTATATTACCCAGTAAATCCTACTAATATGAAAAAGTAAACCTGTCTGATTTTAGATAACCCTGTGTATCTGATTTGGCAAATTTATTTTAATGTTTCTGTTTTCAAGAGGCATCTGTACATCACACCAAAGTGTTTTTGAGAAAAAAAACATGATATCATAGCACTGAGATGTAAGGTCATCACTAGACTAATCAGACACAGTCACAGCTATTTCTCTCAAGTTGTCAGTTTTAGTTTATACATGTTCATTGCACAACATTTTCTAGCCATAAAAATAATCTTGTTTTCTTATATTTCTATATAATTTTTCTTCAACTTTTAACATTCCTACCTCATCTTTATGTCGGGATCGCCTGTCATCATCATTATGTCGTCTTTCTAAAAGTACAAAATATTTTTTTCCTTCAATAAGTTATCTTAGTATATACTTGTAAACAACCTTTTTTTTGTCTTACATGCAGTTTTGTGGCATAGTTACTGTAAGTCTGACTTTCCTCTGACCCTACAGCAGAGATAAAACATTTGAAGGACATACATCCAGATGTCTAAAATGTGATGAAGGTCTAGATGAACCTAGCCATAGCAATGAGTGGAGATGAGCTCGAGTTTCAAATAGCTTTCGTCATGTACAAAAATAAATTTAGGTCTCTCTTAAATAAATACCATCGTCATCCCTCCTTTTTCTGTGACGGTCATCACCATTCATCTCATCCCTGTGTCTGTCCTTCCTTCTTTGTTCTCGATCATCTCTATGTCTCCTTCCATCATCCCTCTGAAATCACATAAAATATCAACACAGATTTTAAGTAATTTTCAGATGATTGAAACCAAGTTGAAGGCACACAAATAATGTTGATCACAGCATATCTATTTTTTTAAGTAATTATATCATGTCATAGGTCCTAAAACTTAAAAATTTCAATCAATATTAAAACAGAAGGAAAACAAAACGAGCACAATCTTTTTCAGAACAATTGAAAAAATCTATTTCACTTTTAACATGGAATGCATATCAACTATTAAGATGAACCCATTCAAACTTTGAGATAGATAACAAATTCATCAGACATTAGCTCAAGATCCTTTAATAGATGTTCCATTACTTTTGAAGCAGGTGACTTAATATCTTTCATGTGGTAAAATACTGAAAATATTTAGGGAAAGTGTTACTTTTCAATGCAATGCACATCAAGCTACAAAATAAAAATACAAGTTAAGAATGGTATTTATCATAATTCTATAATAAAATATGATGTAATCAATTGTAAACTCACATTGGGATACTGAGACTTGCTTTACTAGACAGAGCGTACTATGTGGGAATACTGAGGCTTGCTTTACTAGACAGAGCGTACTATGTGGGAATACTGAGGCTTGCTTTACTAGACAGAGCGTACTATGTGGGAATACTGAGGCTTGCTTTACTAGACAGAGCGTACTATGTGGGAATACTGAGGCTTGCTTTACTAGACAGAGCGTACTATGTGGGAATACTGAGGCTTGCTTTACTAGACAGAGCGTACTATGTGGGAATACTGAGGCTTGCTTTACTAGACAGAGCATACTATGTGGGAATACTGAGACTTGCTTTACTAGACAGAGCATACTATGTGGGAATACTGAGGCTTGCTTTACTAGACAGAGCATACTATGTGGGAATACTGAGGCTTGCTTTACTAGAAAGAGCTTAACTATGTGGCAATATTGAGACTTGCTTTACTAGACAGAGCGTACTATGTGGGAATACTGAGGCTTGCTTTACTAGAAAGAGCTTAACTATGTGGCAATACTGAGACTTGCTTTACTAGAAAGAGCTTAACTATGTGGCAATACTGAGACTTGCTTTACTAGACGGAGCTTAACTATGTGGGAATACTGAGACTTGCTTTACTAGACAGAGCGTACTATGTGGGAATACTGAGGCTTGCTTTACTAGACAGAGCGTACTATGTGGGAATACTGAGACTTGCTTTACTAGACAGAGCGTACTATGTGGGAATACTGAGGCTTGCTTTACTAGAAAGAGCTTAACTATGTGGCAATACTGAGACTTGCTTTACTAGAAAGAGCTTAACTATGTGGCAATACTGAGACTTGCTTTACTAGACGGAGCTTAACTATGTGGGAATACTGAGGCTTGTTTTACTAGACAAATCTTAACTATGTGGGAATTCTGAGGCTTGCTTTACTAGACAGAGCTTAACTATGTGGGAATACTGAGGCTTGCTTTACTAGACAGATCTAAACTGTGTGGGAATAAAGAGATTTGTTTTAGTAAACAGATCTTAACTGTGTTGGAATAAAGAAGTTTGTTTTAGTAAACAGTTCTTAACTGTGTGGGAATAAAGAGGTTTGCTTTACTAGACAGCAGTTAACTATGTGATAATACTGAGGCTGGCTTTACTAGACAGCAGTTAACTATGTGATAATACTGAGGCTGGCTTTACTAGACAGCAGTTAACTATGTGATAATACTGAGGCTGGCTTTACTAGACAGCAGTTAACTATGTGATAATACTGAAGCTGGCTTTACTAGACAGCAGCTAACTATGTGATAATACTGAGGCTGGCTTTACTAGACAGCAGTTAACTATGTGATAATACTGAGGCTGGCTTTACTAGACAGCAGCTAACAAAGTGATAATACTGAGGCTGGCTTTACTAGACAGCAGTTAACTATGTGGCTAATCTTCTGAACTCAGTTTAACAGCATGGTCGAAGTAATACAAGGTTTTGACTTATGTTAAAATGTTACTGTTTTGAAATCCTGGTAATAAAAAAAGGAAATCCTGTGTCTAGTGTTCCATTTCAATCCTGCAGGAACCACTACAACCTCTACCCTTGCTTTACCGGAGGATATCTTTTGTTACCATCATAATGACTGAAAAAGTTATTCTTCAAAGGGCTTTTGATTTTGCTGCTTTTTCTTATTGGTTAATGAATACATGGCAGATATCAGCAAGGCATGGTACATAATATCAGGAATTCTGTTTTTCTATGTATACCGTTTACTTTATTTTACCATCCACACAGTCTATCAATACATTTCATTAATATCTTCATCCTCACAAATGACTTTAACTCCCCACCACACACACAACTCCTCCAACCCCTCCCCCCCCCCCCCCGACCCAACCCCTTCCAAAAAAAAACAAAAAACAAAAAAAGACAAAGAAAAAAAATGCACATAAGTTCATGCTTTACCTAGCTATTGCTAAATAATAGTGAACCACTTTTGTACTTGGTTCATACTTTGGCAATCAGTAGATTTGAAATACTGTGTATATCATATTTATCCATTTTTTCCCCATGATACATAGCTTTATAACTCAATATCCTTATTCTCAATCAAATTTCCATTTAATTTTTTTAGTTTAAACATTCATCTCATGATCTGATGAAATTACAACACTGAAAATCTTGAAGTGAAACATGAAATACATCTGAAATATGTTTTAACCTTAAACTGGTAATACTTCAGTATAATTTGCAACCAAGAAAATAAATTACTGTACTTAATAAATATCTGGAAAGCTAACACATATGTTTTCTAGTTTCAAAAACAATAAACCATCTTTCAAAAATTGTACAAACAAAATCAAACTTGACTGTTTTGAAAATGCATCAAGATTTAAACATGTAATAAAGGTATCTTTAGGGTTGTTTTTTCTCTATCTTTCATGTAACATTTTATTCCTTTGTCATTCCATTTATTTATTGTAAGAAATGTTGGAATTTATCTTTAACACTACCATTGTCTTTACTATTATTTCATACATTTAGGATCTAAAAAGAGTGACTCTAGCACATCAACTATGATCAACTATGAATGCTAGAACAAAAATGAAATTTTCAGCATCTGATTTCCTCCACTAAATATGCTATGATTTTTAAAAAAATTTCTGATCACTCAAATTCACCTTCAGTGCCTTGGTCAATTCACCAGTAGTCCATGTATCCTCTTTAGACCGATTCTGAAAATTGAAAATGCATCTAGATCATTCCTATTTGTCTAGTTTCCCCCATCAATTTAATGAATGATTTATTATTAATCTGAGAGCAATTAATGCCCTGCCCAAAATGTCTCATTTTATTATTAGAATCTCTTACAACACAGGTAAAGGGACAGATTAGAATGATGCTTTGTTTTTGTCACAAAATCCCATGCTTAGCAGTTACTGATGAACAATTTGAAGATATTTACTTTTCCACAACACCTGGACTTATTCTCCTTGTATTTTTTCAGGAGCAACTCTTTCTTTTGTTTATATTTTGCTCTGGTTTCATTGCATTTTGGTTTGGATTATGATTCTGTTGGCATATTTTTGTTTACGATTTGTTAAAACACACAAACCGATATATTGCTTCATATATCTACAAATATAAGGTATTCCCTGACAAGTAATTATATTAAAGAATGACAAAAGTCAGCCTGTACAACATTAACTTTAACCAATAAGCATAAGAGTAAGAAACAGGTGTCTGAATGTGTTGTGATCAAAGAGGTAAACATCTGGGTAGCAAACGTGAAGAAACGATAAGTGATTTGTTAGCAATGGAAGAAAACGCGAAATATGATTTGAGTAGTAGCTCACTCTTTCTGATGGCATCTTGAATATAATTGTTGATATAGCTTCACCGCAGAAACACAACACGGTTTAAAACCTGCAGTCAGACAGTAGGTTATGGTTGTCTCATCACTAACGCCGCCATTTTCAAGCTCAGGTATGTACCAGAAGTGAGACGTCAACACACAGTACGACATAGTGTAAGCCGTAAGATAGATATATAAAATAAATTACCGCATACCTACATACACAATTGTTATTAATTATAGTAAATTTGTCATAAAGGACATTAATTTAGTTGTCAATAAAATGTAAATATTTACGACATAGCAATCAGAATCATCCTAATGTCTCAGGGAGTGACTTCACCTGTCAATTTGTTGATATACTATGAAAACACACAACATAAAATTTTTATCAAAAGACTAAAATTTGTTTAATCTAGATATGAAATTCTGCATTTTTTGCTTTTGAAATGTTTTGTAAACAAAAAAACTGATGAGAATGTTTTGCAATTATGTCAACCTTATCTCCCCTATTATAGTAATGAACCTATACCAAGGTCACTGCGAGCCTCAAGGCTGTCTGTATCGATATTTACGGTAAGCAAAAGGTGTACACGGTGGAGTGTCAGTTCGTCTGAAGTATTTTCGCTGACGACAAGCAATGTTAAAAAATTAAAACTAGCCATGCCAGACGACAAGAAAACCGCTGTAGCAAAGAAGAAGGCAGCCGGGGATGAAACTCGGTTACTTCCGATAATTTTGCGTTATTTTAAGTTAGCCGGAGTTGCACTTGCTGTATATGGTTTTGGATACACTCAGTTTAGTCCAAGTTGGATTCTTTTAGGACTTCTTGCATACGTATGGAAAGAAAAAATCACCCAGCGAAAACACCTGCAGATAAAGATACAACAGCAAATAGCAAAGGATGAGGAATCGACGATATTGGCTCGAGTGGAAGATTTGCCATCATGGGTAAGATAAATAACAATATCATGGTGATGTGTATTTTGTAACAAGTAAGAAAGAGTAGTACACCCTAGCCGCGGGCACCTTTAACCCCAATTCATAATAAGGTTTACCTTACTAATCACAACGATGATTGGCAGTTAGATGTCTGTTTGCGCTGACACCTGTATGACTACTAGATTTGATATAGCTGTGAGGGGCATGCTACACAAGGAACGCTGTGTACCGGCTTAGAGATTTATCAGTGTGCAGCCAGGCATGTCCATAAATGTTGACATGATCATGAATTCTTCAAAGTTTATGTATGACCAAAAGAACTGGTCACAGTTTACAGGTTCACAAAATTAAGAAAATATTTATTGTTACCTGTTTCTGTGTGTAAGATACAGAATGAAGTTTATTGTCAAGAGCTTTGATCTTGTGAACAAATAAAAGTGAAGGCGAATATAAAAGGATCATGGAATGTAGTTAAGGTGTGTCTTATACATACAGGTCTAAATGTTTAACCTTAAATGATCTGCTTACCAGCCTGTATCATTTTGGTTTAGTAGACCATACATTTAAATATTTTACAATCTAAGCATTTATTGTAATGACTTATATCAAACTAAAGCATCAGTGTGAGTTGATGGTACCCAAATTCAATAAAATTATGATTTTTTATACACTTTTTTAAAAAAATAGATTAAACAAAAAGCAGCAACCTTTTACAAAATACGCATCAAGTTTTATTTTTAGACACATTTTACCAGTTGATATGCAGGTTCATCTTTGGAAGTAGTAGTCACAATTGTCATAACTTCAGCATTCTGTTTTGCAACAGGTGAAAGTTCCCAGATTGTTACACTTTTGTAAATGCCGTAAAAGTGTCTCGTACAAATGTTCATGTCATGCTTCAGCCATAAACTGTTTTATTTTTTGACAATACAGAAAGGAATGTTAACAAACTATTGATCAACAGAACACAGATGGGTAATCAAATACCATTAGTTACTAATTATGCATATTTATTGTATAGATCATAAATTCCTATGGCCAGTGCAAAATATTGAGATCAGATTCTATCCGTGAAAGCTAAACTATCTGCTTTAAGTCTAGAAATACGGAAATACAAGTGCAGATCATGTGACAGCTTAAAAATGTAACATGATATGGCTGTGACATAATTGTAGTTTAAAGTAGTACTCAAACCAAAGGTTGACATCGCGTTCAAGGTCCAAAATATAAGCCTTTAGATACTTGCTGCATGTATTAAAGTAATTTTTATATACTTATATAAAAAATGTAGTGTGATCACATGTGATATTACATTATATATTTGTGTCGCCTGACATTTGCTTTATCATCATGACATATAGTTATGTTTTCCACATATCAGCACAATGTAATCTAAAATCCATTCTATCAAATTTTAAACATTGTTTTTGAAACCTTACCATAATGACTAAGCTGTGTCTTGGTAAATGGTATTTAAATAAGAGTTTTTGGAAGTGTTGTTTTATGCATTGTTTCAATATTGCCTGTGAGATGAGATTTACCTGTAAATCCTTAGTTTTCAATTAGTTTCCTCCAAATTTGGGATGCATTTTTTATCTTCTTTACTTGTAATAGTGATTTACTGAACATCAATTGATTAAAAATTTAGCAGACTTTTTTCCCCCTGATTTTCTTATTGTTAAAATTTTGTATGTTGTTCTGATTTAAATGTATATAAATGTATTATAAATGTATTATAAATAAATCATATTTTTTGCCTAGTCTACATCTTTCGATCAAAATTTAAACTTCCTATTTGTTAAATTTTGAAGTTCCAATATTAGAATGCTATGCAGCATGTCCACCTACATATACTCTTTGTTACAGTGATAAAACATCATACTATTGGTATGCAAACTTCACAGAGCTGTATAGAATCTGCAGAAGATTGTATAATGTTTGAAGGTCAGCAAGCCCGCCTACACACATACGTGTCCTCCTGTAATGCAAATTAGAAAGAATTTCCAAGTTAAATTACCACACCTGTTTAGCATTGATAAATCCTGTTAACCATTCATGTGGGCTTGTATGTTATTAAAGATAGAATCAGTGTTTACTTTATAATGGTTGTATACACCTTGTCTATACCATTTACATTTGACTGATCATGAGTTTGGGGTAATAGGACAATGTTTGAAAAAATACAAGAAATGATATACTGTATCTATGAGGTTTTGAACAATGGATGTCAAATTCCATGCCAATTTCAATTACAAAAACACAGGTGATTGGTTATGCCAACACCTCATAATCAAATGATCACTGAATTGTCTCAATTAGAGGTGGAGTTACATTGCACTTTTTTGCATCCACCAGACTTCAAAGACAAGCAATTACTGTCAATGAACTAAGTACTATGTGACACCTACAGACTTTTTTTTTTTTAACAACAGCCATGCTCCTTTAGTAACGTCAAGAGAAGAGTAAGTATTTCCGTTAAATCAACCCACACCACTTACATTAAAACCCCAGAAAAGATATAGTTTAAACTACAATGAAATGATATGTTAAGTAAAACATTTAAACATGTGTAGACAGTTCTGTGTTACTCCAGGTGTTATCACTATCACTCTCTGCACCCTTTGAACATTTCATGGTAAATTAAGGTTCCATTTTTGATATTTTGTGGCTAAGACGAAAAGACTAGTCTGATCCTTTTATGTGTATCAAAAAAATATCAAGGTCACATAAGAGTAGGTTGTATTGACTTTGAAGTTGGCTGTCACTCCTTTGTAATTGTAAAGGAGTGTATGAGTCTGATTGGTCATTTGTTTTCTCTTGACCAATCAAATTACTTTGTTTTTTCTTTCAGTTTGGCTAGAAAATGTTAGTGAGATTAACCCCTAGAGTAGACAAAACTGTACCTTTTTACCTTATGCTGGAAAAACAAAAAACATTATATATTGAAATAAAACTTTTCCCTTACACTTGTACGGTTGATGTTGAGTATGTGATTTTTAATATAGTGGCAAGTTATTACATTACAAATCCTAAATTGTTTGACCAAATGATACTACAATTATGACAGCAATCAAAAACATGTGAATTCCTATATTATCACTGATATGAGACGTACAATGTACCTCCACCCCAACTGAATGATCACATCGATATGAGGCACCACCAACACAGCCATTGTTACAGTCATAAAGACATATAGTTTACTGATTCTTGTGCTGTTCAAACATTGCTCTGTAGATATTCCAAACCCAAAGGTAAATCTGAATAGAGTGTAAATCATAGGTAAGGTCAAATATGGTCAAAGCTGATAAAAGTTTGATATTGAAGGCTATTATATAATCTTTTTATCTAATTTCTATTATCAGTATTTTTTACATTAGACTTTAAAAGCAATTTATATTTTATAACATGTAAGTTGATTGAAAAAGTACTGTTATTGTTGAATTAGAGATGAATGTGATTTTACCCTGATTTGAAATTTGTTGTCATGATATTAGTAAGTGTAATTTATCACATTTTTCCAGAACTTTTCATAATCCGATTGCATATTTGTATACATGTAGATTTATATAATCATTATTTTTGTCAATGATTTGCTGTGAGATAAATTTATACCTGATTATAATTTCAAAATGTTCTTTTTGCATATCCAATGCTTTGTAGAAAAAGTAACCTTATTCTAACAGAAGTATAATATTTCAATTCTGCATAGATGAGAAAATGCTTATTGATTTAAACAAAGCCAAATTGGTCATGAATGACTGAAGAATGACATCTTGCTCAGGGAAAAAAAGAAAACAAATTTCACAGGTTAATCCAGAGTTAAGCCAAAAGAATACTATTCATAGGGAAAACAGTAATTTTTGGCTAATTTTGAATAAAAGGTAGATAAATTACTGACAGCCCTTGTGATGAGAATTTAAGAAAGGATAGGATAAAATATAGGACATACATGAAGATGATTTGAATATAATGTGACAGTGTTCAGGTAACCATCACAATGGTATTTTTTTCATAATGGTCTGATTTTTTCTATTTTGGGGAAAATTTCTAACGTGTTCAGTATATTTGATGGGAAATTTGTTGGTGATGAAAAATATACCACTTGGGGAACACTATTAGCTTCCCTTTCCATTGATGTAATCTTTTTGTCCTGATCAGTTCTAATTTCCTACACTTGTACATATGGTGAATCATACTCACTGTTCACATACTGTTGATGCATCTTGTTGTGACTGTTGTGATCAATGTATACATGTGTAACAGACCAGCTGGCATGATTAAACTATACACTTGAGAAATTGATAATATAGTTCTCTTCAGGTTACAAGCAATGCTTTATAGAAAGGAAACTCGCTGCAAAACACATGTAATTGTAAACACACTGGTACATATATATACAGCAGGAAGTCCTTGCAGCAGTGGTTAATTGATATGTGCAGGTTTAAGCTGTTTATCTCGGCACAACATGCATGAAAAACTGCTAGAGACACAAAATTGGAATGTTCTGTTCGCTGCACATATATTGGCATTAATGAATAAATGGTCAACATTATGGTACATTTAATTTGACTGTAGTATTCATTCTCAATAGTAAACTTCGAAAAAAACCATATATAGTCATAAGTCTGCTTTAGGTATATGTATATGGTGTATGTATTGAGCACAAATTACGTAATATACAAAAGATCGTATTGTACAGAATGCAATCTTTGTTCAGGCTGTTGCAACTACATTTTTATTAAGACCACCTTTAGGCAAGTTATTACACACAGAATACATTGGTAATACTACCTCGAACTTAGATATAGAATCATGGCATCATGCATATATATTTTGTCATTAGTTTAAATAAAGTTGATATCCCAGCAGATGATCTGTATTACTGATTATTGTAGTTGGATTGTCTACCATACATGCATGGTTTTATAAAGAACTTTTCCTTGCTATGTGATTTTGTGAACAGTATCAATTACAGTATGATTATGCCTGTATATAATTAGTAGTCATCACAAATTGTAATTCAGGAACACAAAGTTACTGTTCCAGTATTAATAACATCTTATTTTAACACTAAAAGTATACAGGTACATGACAACACATATAAATAAATATGGGATATGTTATAGTGACTATTTCCTCTTTGGTGCGTTGTAATTTGTTCGAAGGTGGTGTACAACAGCAACAACTATGAATAATAATTACCAGGTATTGATTTTTTAGTTCCAGCTAAGTTGAAATACAAAATGTGTATAAATTTACATTGTGGTAGTTAACCTTATAAGCACACCTGCTCATATAAATGCGACCCACCAACTAGTTCCCCAGACCATCTATTCTATATATATGACATTTTTTTACATGTATATAGGAAAATGATACTATTTAGTATATATTGATATGTAATATTCTTCAATTTTAGGTCCATTTTCCTGACGTTGAAAGAGCTGAGTGGTTTAACAAGGTAAGTCTCATATCTTATATAGTAGCTTATGGTGCGTCAGAAGCTACTAGGACACTAGAAGTTGGCCCAACTAGTATCAGCTATACTTTTGTTGACCTTGTTTAATTATGAACCACTTCATATATATCACTTACAATTATTTGGGACAATTCCCAACATCAAAATAACAAACCAGAGGATAAAAGTTTACACTAAACATGGTACTAACACTTGTACCCTAGACTCAGGTTTACCATGTAAACTATGTAGATTTCAGCAAAGATACATGAATACGCTGACTCTGATTTAAGTATTAATTACTAATGAAATCTTGGGTGGTCTTTTTTGGAACATTTCTTGCTCATGCGAGAATTGCATACCTAGAATGTTGACTTTACCATGTCATGATGATCATTCAGAACACATATTGCATATGTGATTTTATATTTATTAGCTATTCTGTTCTATTGTTATACAGTATATATATATACATACCTGCAGGATGATACTACAGAATATCACCAAATAATTATTCTGTGGTCACACACATATTCAACTTGATATTTATACCCATATTTACACTAGTATCATGATTTCAGGGCATAAAAATGTGGGAGTTGGGTGTGTCTGATGTTAGCTGTGCCCACTAACCTACACTGTTTGAGCATTCACTATAAGCTAGAGAATAAATGTGTCTTCACAAAACCTCTAATAGTGTAGCCTCTAATAGTGTAGCTTCTAACATGATGTTCTTGTTGGGCAGTCATGCATGTAGCAATATCTGTAGCCCAAATGGTCTTCAGTTGTATCCTATTATAATAAATTTTTATATACTGGAGTCAGATTTGAATAAATCAGAACTGTGGTGTACGCTTTTGAGTTTTCTTAACATTTGAATGTAACTTTTATGAAGTAGATGAGTAAAAAAACCAATTTTTGATAATTAATATTTTCCCATTTTGATAATTATGAAAAGGAAAGAAAAACAATTAATAATAAAAGTATAGATATTGATTTTTAATGAATCCAAGGTAAAAAGATGGACTTTATATCATATGATCTAGATCTCCAAAAATAACCCAAACTGATAAGACAAGACTACATTAAAGCTTTTTATAGAATACAATATTTATCTCTTGGTTTGTCTTGATGTTAGCCCTCTGGTTTACATAGTGGTTTATTGATATAAGGCTTTCCTTGACAATTGAATGGCTTTCCAAATATTTGATTAACCTCAGGCAGAAGGTCAACATCTCATTATGTTTAAAGCCAGAAACCAAGAGCTTTTTTTGAAAATCAACTAAAATCTTTACTATATGTGTATAACAATGTACTGAAAATTGTACATGATTGAGAGAGAGAGAGACAGGGAGAGGGAGAGAGAGAGAAAGAGAGAGAGGAAGGGAGGGAGAGAGAGAGGGGGAGGGGGAGGGAGAGAGAGGGGGGGGGAGGGAGGGAGTGAGAGAAAGAGAGAGAGGGAGGGAGGGAGAGGGGGAGGGAGGGAGGGAGTGAGGGAGAGAGAGAGAGGGAGGGAGGGGGGAGAGAGAGGGGGAGGGGGAGGGAGGGAGGGAGGGAGTGAGAGATAATATTACAAAAGACTGTGCTGAGATGGCCTATAAATACATGTAAATGATATTCAGAGAAATTTTGATTTTCTTACTAGATTCTGGACCAGATCTGGCCATTTATTGGAGATTATGTGAAGAAGCTACTGTTGGATTCCATTCAGGAAAAGATCCAACAGAGTCACTCAACAGTGGGGTCATTCAGGTTCACACAGATTGACCTCGGTGATATTGTAAGTGTGGTAGTGATGAAGTCACCATGCAAGAATGCATTATTTCTCTTTGACATTGTCACATGGTTTAGAAGAGCCAGTGACTTAAAATGCTGCAAGCTGCATTATCTTCTTACCTGTGATGACCCTAGGGGACAAAATAATTGATTGTGTTTTACATGTATGCTTATAAAATGAAAGAAATGTTTACAATGTGTAACATAGATTATGATGAATTATAGGAGTTAGCATATCTCTTGCAAAAATACAAACAAGCACCATTGAGATAAAATCATTATTATATGTCCATCAAAAATACAATACATTGCATTATGACATATCTACATATATTTCATTGTGATTATTGTATCCCAACATGTATGCAAAAATATTGAAACTGTCCGTGCATAATCTACTCTCTGTCATGTCACTTTCTGTTATCATTGCAGCCTCCGAGGATTGGAGGTGTAAAAGTTTACACAGAAAATGTCCGCCGTGACGAGATTTATCTCGACCTGGATATCATGTAAGTGAATCAAACAGTTTCAAATAGGAGAACAAATGAGCTTGCTGGGAATTTCATCTCAGAACTGATTGCATTTTGATGTAAATTCCATGCATCTTATATGTACAAAGAATTATATTGTAATGTATACCGTTTGTCAAAAGTTCATTTTAATTTGCTTTGAATAGCATTTTGTATTATAATGTTTCTTGGGGACTTCTAAAATTTTAAATTGTCTTAACTTCATACACTGTTAATAAAGGAACAAACTGAGCACAATACATGAACCATCAGTTTGTTGGAAAGTTTATTTAGATATTACCTCCCATACTGTTACTCTTGATTACATCAGAATGTTGTTGTTAAGTCATTAAAACAGTCGCCTGAAGCTGGCCACTAGGCCTGAAAACCTTAGCAAACTACCATGTTGATTTCATATTTCTAAATGTACATCTAATGTACATATGCATTCATTAAAAAATTTCTGACATTTTAGAAACTCAAGATTAAAGATCTTGTATCTTTTAAAATGATCAGGATTGGTATTGAAGCCTTGCATTCCTGTATATTTTTTGACATTGCAGCTGATATTGAAATTCAGACATTCAATGTTCTTATTGAAAAAAATACTGAAGAAATTACATAATGGAAAAGATGCCATTCACAGCTAAATCACCATTTGATCTCTGCCTGTTTGAACTTATACTTAACTGCCTGAGTATATATATGTACTGTTTTGTATTTACAGCTACAGCAGTGATAGTTTTATTGAGGTCAAGGTCAAGGGCATTACAGCTGGTATTAAGGATCTACAGGTACCGTGCAATGTATCTTTTTCAAACTGAGCTTTTTTATGGAGTTTTTTAAAAAGAAAAGAATGGTTAAGGTGATTGCACTACTGAACAATACTTTCTAAAAGATGTCTTGCTGAGTTGGATGTTCTACACATTTTATAGGTCATCTTGCCTGAGAGGTCGAGATGACCTTAAGTCATCATGATTTCTGTGCCGTCTTGTACCATTTGCCATTTTTTTAAAACTTCTCTAGTACCATCAGTGGGATTTAGCTCAAACTTGCCTGAAATTATCTTGTGGCGATTCCACTGGTGTTGTTGAGCTGAAATATTTGGGAATGTTGAAAAACTGGAATCAAGAAATGGCTCACTACTGTTATAATTCTTTACAGTCTGATGACCATTATGGCCCATGGTTTCTTGTTAATTTATGTATGTTGTAGTTTAAAAGTTTTCAGAGTGGTTACTCCAGAGACATCCTTTAATTACCCGGTAAGGTGATTTTATTCATTGTGGTTTGAAGAAGTTAAACACTCTACAGCTTATAAGTGCTAGTTCAATCAAAATGACCCTGCTTAGACTTCTCTTAATTCTGTTGATGTTGTTTGTATTACAGTTGCGTGGAACGTTGAGAGTGATCTTCAAACCTCTGATTGGACAGATACCCTTGTTCGGCGGGATGAGCTTTTTCTTCATTAACACTCCAGTAAGCTGTATATAAATATCTTTCCCACTCTTGGCTCTATTACTGTATATTCTGAGTCTGTGAGTCTACAAGGAAAACTAAATGGAGGCTGTCTTCAGTTTGCATAACATGCCCTAAAATTAATAAATGTGTTCTTGTCATTTCCAGTCAGCTCATTTAATAAATCTTTTGTTTTGTTAACGGGAACTGAAACATGCATGTATTGTAAAACACCTGCTGACAATGTATCTTTTCATTGCATTTTATCAAATTTTCTCAAGATCAGACATAAAAGCTTTTTGCATTTTGCATGACGTTCTGTGAAGAAGCCACCAGCGAGTACAAGGAGTTCCTTCCTCAAAATGAAAAAAATACCCTTTCATTAGTAATTCCTTGTATGATATTGATCATGCATGCAATAATTCCATTCAGGAGATAATGATCAGTCATTTAAATTTTACTTGAATGTTACAGTATAGGTGAAACAATATCTATTTCATTCTTAGGATATTGACTTCAATCTGACTGGACTTGCCAACTCCCTGGATCTGCCAGGACTCAGGTGATCATACTTTACACTTTAGGGAAGGGAATGAGTTGTGTAATTATTTTATGATGAAAATAGAGATAATGCCTTATGGACTGATGTCTTATTAACACTGAAGCTGAATAAAGTTCTGTAGACTATTGGTTTGTTGTCATTATTAATATTCATTGCTAAATGAGACAACATTTAAAGCCTTGAAGTGTTTCCTGTTATGGATGTGAAGTCTTAACAATGTCTGTTTTCTGTGTGATATTTGATAAACGGTTGTTGTCCTGATGACTTTCTTCAGAACAGATATTTATTGTTTTTAATCTATTGTAGTGATATGTTGGATACAATTATTGCGGAACAGATTTCCAACATCATGGTGCTACCGAACAGGATCGTTGTTCCAATGGTACAAGATGTCAACTTGATGAGGCTCAGATATCCTCAACCTGATGTAAGTAACATCCTGTACTATAAATACTTATACAAAGTCAGTCTGACAAACAACCTGATGTAAGTAACATCTTGTACTATAAATACTTATACAAAGTCAGTCTGACAAACAACCTGATGTAAGTAACATCTTGTACTATAAATACTTATACAAAGTCAGTCTGACAAACAACCTGATGTAAGTAACATCTTGTACTATAAATACTTATACAAAGTCAGTCAGACAAACAACCTGATGTAAGTAACATCCTGTACTATAAATACTTATACAAAGTCAGTCAGACAAACAACCTGATGTAAGTAACATCCTGTACTATAAATACTTAAACAAAGTCAGTCAGACAAACAACCTGATGTAAGTAACATCTTGTACTATAAATACTTATACAAAGTCAGTCTGACAAACAACCTGATGTAAGTAACATCTTGTACTATAAATACTTATACAAAGTCAGTCTGACAAACAACCTGATGTAAGTAACATCTTGTACTATAAATACTTATACAAAGTCAGTCTGACAAACAACCTGATGTAAGTAACATCTTGTACTATAAATACTTATACAAAGTCAGTCTGACAAACAACCTGATGTAAGTAACATCCTGTACTATAAATATTATACAAAGTCAGTCTGACAAACAACCTGATGTAAGTAACATCCTGTACTATAAATACTTATACAAAGTCAGTCTGACAAACAACCTGATGTAAGTAACATCTTGTACTATAAATATTATACAAAGTCAGTCAGACAAACAACCTGATGTAAGTAACATCCTGTACTATAAATACTTAAACAAAGTCAGTCAGACAAACAACCTGATGTAAGTAACATCTTGTACTATAAATACTTATACAAAGTCAGTCTGACAAACAACCTGATGTAAGTAACATCTTGTACTATAAATACTTATACAAAGTCAGTCTGACAAACAACCTGATGTAAGTAACATCTTGTACTATAAATACTTATACAAAGTCAGTCAGACAAACAACCTGATGTAAGTAACATCTTGTACTATAAATACTTATACAAAGTCAGTCTGACAAACAACCTGATGTAAGTAACATCTTGTACTATAAATACTTATACAAAGTCAGTCTGACAAACAACCTGATGTAAGTAACATCTTGTACTATAAATACTTATACAAAGTCAGTCTGACAAACAACCTGATGTAAGTAACATCCTGTACTATAAATATTATACAAAGTCAGTCAGACAAACAACCTGATGTAAGTAACATCCTGTACTGTAAATACTTATACAAAGTCAGTCTGACAAACAACCTGATGTACACGGTCAGCACAGAGGCTAGTAGGAGAACTGCAAATTCAGCACAATGGCAAACATTCTGATGCAAGTTTTTGTTTTGAAAGTCAGCACACAAGCAAAAATGACAACTGTTGCACAAATTAATATTAACCTTTTCAAATTGAAATGTAAATTGTTCTCATTCCAACATTACACAGCAGTATTGCACTTTGATTACAGGGAGTATTAAGGGTCCATGTGTTGGGAGCCAAAGATCTCATCAAAGCAGATATCGGATTTGCCAAGAAAGGAAAATCTGACCCATATGCTGTAGTGAAAGGTATGAGGAGGCAGATATTTGTTGGTTTGTCCAAGGTCATGGCTTCTCAATTTTTTCATTTAGGAAGTCATTTGTGAGAAATACATGGAACTATTTGTATAGGGAAGACCTTTTACATATACATCAATTTACCTTCCCATTTTGAAGATGATCTACGTGAATATAAACCTATTTGGCAGACAGAAGCCTAATGATATGTTTTAATACTGTAAAACATCTTATCCTTTTGTATGTTATTATTTTGTTATTTTAAAATCAAAATATTGGAACTAATCACAGAATGATTGTTCGTACTGGGAAAGGTCTTTTTTTAGTGTCTGAACTGGAATGTTATACATTAATTTAAATGACTCCGAAAATATCTGTTCAGTGTGAACATGTCACTGAATTGATCAGATTTCTTCTTCTTTTTGATTATTATTTTTAATTATTTTTCCAGTTGGAGCAAAGAAGTTTAAGACCAAAGTAATCAATAATACTGTTCACCCAGAGTGGAATGCTGTGTTTGAGGTACAAGTTCTGAATTGAATAATGAGGAATCGTAACAGTAAATTCTGGAAAAAAGGCAATCACAGACACCTTGTCTCATTGTAATTTATGGATTGTCTGTCAGCAAAGCAAATTGAATCAAGTAAAAATATAGAGAATCTGCAAAAATTACACTATTCCTTAACAATATGGATATAACAAAGTTTTATTACTTTAATGGAATAAAAGAAAAAACACCCGAAATGTCTCATTTTGTTGTAACAAGTAGAAGTGGAATATACTGATGATGTAATAGTGTAACTATGAGTGGTTTATTTGTAGGCTATTATTGACATCAAGGACGGACAATATGTCGATGTTGAGCTCAAAGACGAAGATCCGGGCAGTAAAGATGATGATTTAGGATGGTAAGTTACTTTCAAGTTTACTTGAAAAAGACAAAGAAAGTGAAAAATGGATCACTTTATGTATTTTCTTGTGTTTTTTTTCAGTCAATTTTTTCTTTTTGAACCATTTTGTTATGACATCATCTTTTTTCAGCTTTATTTCATTTATTAATATTTGCTTTAAATATTGCTTCTTAATATGTTGTACAATAATTGTCAATTTTTTTCACTGTTCTTAAACATCTCTGTAAACCGTGACATTTATTGGTACAGGTAATAGTGTTTTATTATGAAAAGATCAGACTTTCCAATATCCTTTCTATTGTAAATATATGTCATAGAAACATTATGTAAAAGTTTCTTAAATTGATGTTGAATGTTGATAATAAGACAAGGATAGAAAATTATGACACATGTTGTATATTGACTACAATGATGGTTGAAGTAACTTTTTTTATATTGTGATACTTGTCAGCTGTGGAAGATCTAAGTGAGTGTTTATCAAATGAAGAAAGCATTTATAACTGTTAATTCTCTATGCTGTCAAATATTATTTAGTGTGTATTTGACAAATTTGGATGATTAACTTTCCTGTATTATTGAATACTTGATCAAACTTTTAATAACAAGCACCATCAATTTTGCATTCTTTAGGTAAGACTTCCTTGCACTTCAAACTTTAGACATTTGAAAATGCCAATGATTAAGAATTGCCTACTCTACATTTTATAAAATATTTTAAATGCTTATTGGATTGACTCCTTTCTAATGCATGCTCTATCAGTATTGATATTCTTGAAGATGAAAAGGTCATGACCTTCTCTTTATTAACCTGAGAGTATGCACACAAAGCGAGTAATTGAAATATAGTGCAGTTTCTTCTTGCCTTCTGTTCTGCGGCATCCAAACTGACCTGAAAAGTCTTGCCATTTAAAAGTGCATGTATTCAAAATGACAACTATTTATAAATAAGACCATAACACCACCTACTAGAGAGAAAGAAAATGTTGACTTTTCCTACTAGAGACAAAATTTTCATTTCTTGAATAACATTTGTTGAAAGAAGGTGTTTATAGTTTTTCAGACACTTCAGATTTCTGTCCTCGCAAAACGTTTTTCTTCTTATCAAGTTTTTTGAGGATTATAATTCAAGGAAGGAAATATTACAAGAATTAGTGCTATTTAGAGTTCCCTAATGTTAAGAATATTTTATTTTTTCATTACTGTGTAATTTTTAAGAATGTTTATCTGTCAGATAATATTTAGAATTGCTTTTGTTTTGCAGTGTGAATATTCCTATATCTTCGGTGGCCAAGGAGGGCGAGAAAGATAATGTATGTATCACATAAAGTCACAGGCTCGCCTCTTTAAAAGAAGGGAGCTTATGTTGCCACATGGCATTGGCGTCAGGGTTAACATTGTTTTGAATGTCTTTGATAATTGGTTTTAGAGACAAAAGTATGTTGGGTTTTTTTTTAACATTTTGGATTTAAACTTTTATGTAACAGCTAACCTACTCATATCTAATGTCAAGTTTCTGATGCCAGTGTTGAAAGTCATAATTTCCTGTTCAGTTATCAGTATATTGGGATATAGATTCCAGTTGATGAAACCAACCCCTAATGCTACAAGGGCTGGTTGATAAGTTGTAAGTTGGCAGTAAGCTTTAAACTTGTAGACAGTAAGCTTGAAACTTGATGACAATAAGCTGTTAACTTGATGAAGATTCACTGTTACATAAAGTTCCATTTACTTGAGTGAACATAAATATTTGCCTCAATCAAAATGCAAAACAAAATATGCCAGAACAGCAGATATGTGTCATCTGAAATCTTAAATGAAAATGCTTAAATTTCTCTCAGTGTGAAGATCTCCTTTAATTAGGACAATGGTCACTCTTGATCTCTGGACATTTTGTGAACTGAAGTTTCTGATGAGCTATTGACTATTTTTACCATAATCTTTCCCTGTTTGATGTGTCAGTTGTATCTTATACAGTGGCTCCCCCTAGAGGATGTTAAACAAGGCTTGCTGCACATTAAGTTGGTGTGGAATTACCTGTCTAAAGACCCATCAATCCTAGACCATGTAAGTATCTTCCCCTTATATAAGTTTACCAAATTATCCTATAGGTAGGCCCCTGGTGGTTTGAAAGGATGTACTGAACCTTTTTAAATAGTGTGATTTTATGTTGTAATCAATTAAGTATTTGTTTAAATGATGATTAATCCATGTGAAATGTACAAATAAAAGTATATGTTCTATCAAAATATTACTATAGTAAATAGCTCTATTGACACAGTATTTATTGATGGCAAGCCCTCAACACAGATAAAGCAGAATAAATGCTTGAAGTTTGCAGCTCTTCAATAGATGAACTCATGGTATTGATAATAATCAATTACAGTATAAAAGTGTAGGTAAATTAACTTAAAGTTAATTAATGAATAATGAATTACAGTTTAAAACTGTAGGAAAATTAACTAATAGTTAATTGATAAATAATGAATTACAGTATAAACATGTAGGGATATTAATTAATGGTTAATTGATAATAATGAATTACAGTATAAAAGTGTAGGTAAATTAACTTAAAGTTAGTTAATGAATAATGAATTACAGTTTAAAACTGTAGGAAAATTAACTAATGGTTAATTGATAAATAATGATAAATTACAGTATAAACATGTAGGGATATTAATTAATGGTTAATTGATAAATAATGAATTACAGTTTAAAACTGTAGGAAAATTAACTAATAGTTAATTGATAAATAATGAATTACAGTATAAGCATGTAGGGAGAATAACTAATGGTTAATTGAGAAATAATGAATTACAGTATAAACATGTAGGGAGAATAACTAATGGTTAATTGATAGATAATGAATTACAGTTTAAAACTGTTGGAAAATTAACTAATAGTTAATTGATAAATAATGAATTACAGTATAAACATGTAGGGAAATTAACTTATATTTAATGCTTCGGAGTAGTATGTGAAAAACAAAGCATCTGCAATAGAAGAAACCATCTCTCTTTTAAGATATATCTGCAAAAAAAATTACTTCAGGGAAGATAAGAAATAAGTTGTTATAGTAAAACATGTTTATAACAAACTGCTGACACCTTTAACATCAGTGTGGTATCAACGTTAACTCAATGTCTTTGAGGGGGTGAAAATTTATTTTTGTAAGAGAAGTCAAAACAGGTAAACTGTGTAAAACTTTGTTTTTTGTTGTCTTTAAGCTTGATTGATGTGATATGTTTAAAGTAGTGATATTCTTGTTGTAATGATACTAATAGACACACTTGAAACTTTCAGCAATGTTACACAATGAAACAGCCATTGTGTTGTTCTTACATTGTAATAGATCAATATTACTTAAAGATTATAAGTGATATTTAAGGCTATATCCAGTAAAATGTCTACTTCACCCCAGGACTCCAAGTTGTCCTTTCTATACCGATGCAGTATCCTGCCTATTACTTCTAAGCAAATGATCAGTTAAGTTTTATAGGTGATACGGCTTAACAAAACATGGTGTCCAGTGGAATAGATGTTTTACTGGAATAGCTTGTATTAGAAGTCTGTATTTTTCTGCTATTTAAAAGAAGTGTTAAGAAACTAGTAAAATTCCATTTTCAACAGGCAAAGATAAAGACAGAGGTAAAAATCTATCTAGTGCTTGTATGTCATTGGGTTCCCCGGTATACCGATATATTTGATATAAGCTGCGGGCTACATTTGATCCTTGATATTAATATCACAATGAACTGTCCTATTAATTAATTTTGAAATGATCTTACATGTCATCAGCAATAACAAAAAACCCACCGATTGAATAACATGTATACAAACATCCTCTGGATGTTTATCATTAGTACAGGTACAATGACCGATGATGGGTTTTTTTTTCCATAGGTAGAATAATATTTCTATGTTCCCACAGTTTTATATCGTACCAATGTCCATCTATCTGATTGGAAATCAATGTCATATCTTGAATACCTCTCAACAGTTGGGTTTATATTCACATATACCCCATAGTAGCAATATAAAGTTCTACACCTGGTCAGATAATAGTTTGCATAAGGGGACATTAATGTCTTATAGACATTTAACAGGTGATGGTTTCACTATCAAAAAAGAAATTTCTAAAATGCATACAAAACATATAATAGCACTTGATTCTGGATCAATAAAAGGGCACAAACTCTTATCTGGTTTGTTTATTTCGTTGTATTTAAAAGTAAAGATAAATGATAATAAAAATACTGGGAGTGCTTTCTATTATAATTTTACTTTTTAAGATTTCTGTCAAGAATTTGAAGGGAAAAAAACTTTTTAACACCATATTAGCATTAGATAGACAATAAATCTGTACTCTGATATTTTTTAATTAAAATTTGGTCGGAAATAAACATTTTTAACTTTTTAAGTTACATTCAGTGAATAAGGAACAAACTCAGTTACATTCTTCTATTGAATTTCAGTTACTTGTATTCCTTTCCCAAATGGAACCAAATCCATTATATAAATGTGCTATTTAACCTAACATAACTCTCATTTATTGATCCTACTGTTTTTCCACCATTGAAATTTGTTAACTTATAACAAAGAGACTGGGAAATGCATGTTTGATCAGATCTAAATTATAGGTTGAATATAAGTTTTTATAACACAACCAGTAGAAAATTTAATCGTGATGTGTCAATGACTACAGTCACCTTAAACAGACAAATGACCTTTTTGAAGTATACTAGCATGGCCTATGTAGTGTATGAGATAACTATCAAAAGTCATGCTCAAATCTTCTTCTGGTTGTCTTAAAAGAACTGAAGAAAATGTTCCAAAAAAATGTAGGTTATTGTCAACCAATTGGTTTGTTTACAAATGCATGTTGGATCACAGGAATTATACTGAATGAATAAATAAATCTTTGTAACAGATAGAATATTAAACATGAACATCTTAATTTGAGATAACACAATAAATTGAGACTTTTTTTAAATGTCACTCTTTAATTATGTTTTTATGATAGATCATTTGAAATCCTTTCAGGGTACGTTGATTTTAAGTACCTATGAACACCTAATCTAGACCACAAGTTTACCCAGACCCGTACACATACCGGGGAAATGCACTGTCAGTTATTGTGATCAATGACCCTTTTAAGTGTCATGTGGCATCTGCAATGTATATGCTTATTAATCTTGTATCAAACTAGATTTAAGTTGATCTTATAGGTCGATGGCTGCCAATTAAGGAAACAAGGAAATCTCCTTAAATTTGCTCTTTTTGTTGATTTGACGAGAATATTGTTTCATTTTCTCTTTTTTTATGAAATATCAGCTTAAATAATGTTTTGTAATGACATTTGATTGTAGTAGACAATAGAGGATTTTGTTTATTGTTGTTGGTGTGTCTTTATTTATTGAGTGTAGGAGGACCACGGCTAGATTAACATATGCACTAATGTTTATTAATTACACTGCTTTTGTAACTTTTTTATTTGTTTATGTTACACATGTTTCTCTGTGTTTCCGGTAAGTGTATTTGCTAGTTTTCTGTTCTAGCGTGTTTCATTTTAGTTTGAACCCTCGTTACATTAACTTTTTTATATGTAATGGTGAAACATTCTGCACACATTTTCATGTTCATTGTCATGTTAGGTCCTGTTAGAGTTACAAATCACATCATAAATGCACATATAACCAACATCATAGATATCCTCATACCTAGGACTTGTGTTCTTGAAGTCTAAACAGATTTATTTTTCAAATTACAGAATTTTAAAAGAAAAAGAAATCTTTAATACTGTCACTTTCTTCATAATAGTAGCTGATCTGTAGGATTTCAACTGCAGCATTACTAAAATCATCCTTGTGTATTTTTAAAAAAGTACTGGTGAAAATGTTTTTGTGTCTGTGTTGACATGCACCTGGGAGCTTGTTCAGTGGTAATGGGTAGCACCAGACATTATAAGTCCTGCAATGTCTCAGTGTGGGGTAAAAAGCATGTGGTGAGGGAAATACTTTGGACAAAATTCTGACGGTCTGTTCTCAATTCTGTAAAAGTACAAAGTTTAACAGTAATCTATTGGATTTTGTTGAAACTGTTGCTGTCTATAAAACTTTCTGCCATGGTAAATTATTTGAAAAGTTTTAGATAATACTCCAGAAAATTCCGAAGATGTTAATCATTCATGAGTTCATCAGATCTGCTTGGCTTATCTCCCTTCATCTATAAGTTGGTAACATGCTCTCTATATTACAAGTACTAAAGTCTACACACTACAGCCACCCCATCTTTCTATTTTCTCATATTTACCACTTGCTTACAGTTAAAGATGTCACTATCATATATTAGCAGTTGATTAAATAACTTGACTTTTATAAGATTTTTAATTACATTCAGCAGTGGAGTGGCTGTAGACAATTTCCTATTTACTTCATTGAATGGATTTCACAACTCATTGCTTTCTATTCAAGTGTGTATCACTGAACTCTACACAAGACTTAACATTTTTCACACAAAACCATTTTGGAAGTGTGTATTAAAGGCATATCTCCAAAGGTTGTAAAAAGGCTGTTTTTGTGTGAAATTTTACATCAGATATATACTAGAACACAATCTATTTCTTCATTAATGCTGGCTCAGAAAGTCTCGAAATTTTCATTTTCTGAATTTTATAGAAATATTACTGGATAAAATTGGTTTTAAGGAATCAAGAAAAATAGACAGTGTGATGCCTTATTTTTGGCAAAATAAAATGTTTATCATAAAAATGAAAATTTCTTGATTTGTAGATATCTTAATACTTACAGGAGATTTTTATTATCATTGCTTAGAAATCAAAGCTATAAAGTAAACATACCTCTGTAATGTAGAAAATTCTCATTTGGCACAAAAACAGAGCACTTAGTTAAAGAAGATATTGTGATAATCTCAAGAAGTTAAGTTATTCAATAATGGCAGTGTTTATTGTTTTTTTACCTACTAATAATTGAACAGATTTTATTTCAATATTTGAATTATTTTTCTCCTTACCTGAAAAATTCTTCAAAACAATGTATTTTATTTGTTTCACAGTAACTCATATTTTGTTTTTTGTTTAGATACATTAACTTAATTTCTGAAGTCATGCCGAAGATTTAAATTAACATCTTATTCATATAATTATGAGTTTTTACTTAAGATTATCTTTCTCCTTTGAAACAACCAACACTAATTGTAATTAATATTTTGGTCATACAAAATGCATATATTTGTATAATATAATCTATCACATGTTTTTTTCCTGGATTTGTAGACGTTGCAGCACATGGAGAATAATACTGATGGTACTGAATTATCCTCTTCTCTACTGATGGTGAACCTGGACTCTGCACGAGAACTTCCGGTAGGTAGTTTATTGACAAACACAAACAACAACTTGACGTGGTTCTCTTTTTATATACATATTGTTTCTGTGTTTTACCAACACCTAGTATACACTGACACTGTGTTAACTCTGAGACAATGGTCAAACTCTTGGTTATCTGAGCATTCAAGCTGATAACTAGTGACCTTGTATATAAGTCTGTTGGTGTTTTGACAAAACTGTCAACAAGCAGTAACAATGCCAAGTAACAAACATTAAAATTCATTTGTTCCTAAATCCAATTCCTTAACATACGTAAGTAAATACATGTAAAGTTACATAAAATGAAAACATAATGACTACACTTCTTGTACACTAGCACCAACCGCATGGTCAATATAAACCTATATTATTTCATTTCCAAATTTAAGATACATAGTCAAAAAACAATAAGAAATAAGAAATTGGATTCAGACACAAGTTACAATTGTTTTTATATGAATTTGTTTCCATCACTTCATCGCCAACAGATGGAAGTTACTAAATAGAAATGAAATTGTTCAAGCATTAGTACAAATTAGAATGTTGGAACTTACATGTGATCTAGAAATGATCTAGCAATATATAATTTCTATAAAATGGACTAATTTAAAATCTAATAAAGATTAAAGCCCAACATCACAGAACAAAACCTTCTCATGACCAACTACTCCATGGCATTCCTATATTGCTCCACCAAAGTGGTTTTAAAACCATGAACCTGGCCTTAGGTTATGGTGCTAGCTGTAGGAGACTGCTCCACATGTAATGTTATAACAGTCACCAGATTGGGTAAAATTATCCAACAATTTATCATGTATATCAAAGACATTTTACATATAAGATTAACTAAAATACTTACCTGACAAAAGCTGTTCAGCTAGTTAGATAGTGAAATATTCATTAGCGGTCTGGCATAATATTTCACTTGATATTTTTCTTTCTTTTGATATAGGACAATAGTTCACTTCAAGATATCAATAAAAGTTCCTCCCTGATCTTGGTTTTAAACTTAAGCAAGACTGGAGGACCACCGGGTACTTCAAATTAAACAGGGTCTTTGAATGCAAGTTCCAGTAAATAAAGAGTTTGAATTAATGATGTTTGACTTAATTATAAACAAAATCAAAGATATATGAAACTAGTGCAAAATTGAACTTTAATTGGTGTATTAGGCAGCTCTCTGTAACAATAATTAATATATAAATTCTTGGAGCCTGAATTATTACTGTAGTGACTTCGTTTGTGATTTTGGATTGTTTTTGATATGAATTACTCTATATGATCATACTAACTGTTGTACTTTGTATTACATAACACTTATATCTAATATTTTGTATATGATGCATGTGCTAATTTTGTTATTTTGATTTTCAGTTTCTTCAATCTGTGATTAATGTAAAACTTTTTACTTGTTTTCAAAATTAAGAGTTTTATTGGCCAAATGATGTAATCTAATGATTGTTTTAGTTCAGTCCAGTATTTTACCCACCAGTTACCTGCCATAAATTATGTCATGGTGTTGCATATGTCGTCTGTTGTCCATCAGCTTTTTTTTTCAATAACATCTTCTTAAGAACTGTTTGGTGTAGCATCAAATTTTTATTCATTCAGTTGCATGCTGGAATGAAGCCTGACAAAGTAAGCAAAAAAAAAAACTTTTTGAAAATGACTTTGACATTTATTCAAGGTCACAAGTAAGAAATCTTAACATTTTGTGTGACGTTCAACATCTCTTGATTAACTGAAAGGTGTAGAATGATAAAATTAAGCCAGAAGTATATTGTTGTTGTTTGCTTCAAAGCTTTCAACAAAATAAAATCAATCTTGACTAGTTTTCTAGGCAAGAAAAAGTCTGATTTCTTAAAACTCCCTATTGACTTCTTTTGATTAACCTTAATTCCTAGAAAACTTGAATTAAAAAAATAATTCAATTTTGTTTGTATCTTTCTACTATAAGATCATACCTGTTTAAGGTTTAAAAGTTCTATAAATGCTATTTCATTAATATTGATTTAAGTCTTCCATAAAGTGGATCAATCAGATGTTATTATTCAGCCTAGAGAATAGGCATGCTGGTTTTTAAAGTTGGATTAAATAAATTTTATTTTGATCGTCTTTAATGTTGAGCAATGAATAAGATGGTTAGTGGAGGCCCTGACTAGACCTTGTGTTAGATCTGTACAGGAAGTTTCCAAGTACTTGCATCTTCTTGCTTATATGGTTATGCCTAATTCTTTGTTTTATTCTAGCCCTAAAGATTTACAACAACACCGACAGTGTTTTTTTATTATTATTTTACTTTTAACCGCGTTAGTTTAAAGATAACAAAAATGAAATCTGTGGCAGATTTTCATACTTTTGATTAAATTACTCTGATTTTACTAATTCTAGTACCAATGTTGGAACCAATTCGGATTATTTAAGGTAAATGGGAATGTGTTCAATTATTTCACCTGTTGGCTTTGAGTTACTACAGAGAGAGTTGTAATGATACATCATACTTGGCTACAACTTGCCAGTACTTCATTTTAGATGTTACAGGTATCACCTAGAAATATCTATTTTATTTACATTGTTATCTCAACAATGAAAAGTTAATTCATTTTGCTTAGTTTCATTTTTAAAGGTTTGTTTGAACATTATATTCTCAATGGCATACAATGTAACTAAGTTTTTATCATGAAAAAATTGCCATTCCATTTTTTTCTTCAAGCATGGTCTTGGAATTGTTTGAATGTCTTTGTTTGAATTGCATGAATTGTGTATTAATTTCAATACATTTGAAGATTTGCAAATTCTTCTCTTTAAAAAAATGTTTTGTTTTGATATGGTTCCTTACTTACACAAACTATATCTAGTACAACTTTCCCATCATTCCCATTGTATTTATAAGGCATCTTTTCTATTACAATGGAGAAGATTTACAACCATTTCTCTCTGTCTTTTGATCTTTATTGAAGATTTTTTGCAACTTCTTATTGCTGTAACACATTTTGAATTCAAATATGATAAAAAAATACACACACACACATACACACACACACACAGAGACAAAATTAAGGCAGTAATTTGATCCAACTTCTGCAGTACTAAATACAACTTATGGTCAAATTTGGATGTTCTTGTCTGCTTGATAAGTGATAACTTCTTACATTTCTGCAGGGATGGAGCTAAGGATTTATATCACAGTATAAATTCAGATTTGTGATTATTACAATACCTGTAACCCTGTTCACCCCTTATTTATTGAGTTCCATGCCTTTGAATGTAGTACAATAATGAATGTGAAACTTTTTAAAAAACCAGGTTATGAGTCAGTTATTTGTGCTGTTTTTACGACCTAACATAGCTTCATGTACTCCCTTATTGTACAGTGTGTAAGAAATTACAATGCAATTAATAGTTGATTTATCTATGATAAATTCTTTGTCTCTGATAATGTCCATATATACTTTTTGTGTTAGTAGTTCATAAGAAAAATGTGTTTGTAGTAAATGTTAAAATTTGTTATATGTATATCACATATGAGTATTCAAATTTATTTTTAATTTAATATTTGATTTGTAGTGATCAGATTTTTAACTGTCAAGCTTGTAAATACTAACACATTATGATAGGCGACCTCTTTGTTTAGTCTGTAGCAGCCGTCCATGGAAGATTTGGAAGTGCTTCTGATACTATTGTATTTCTAGAATGTGTTGACAGAGCTTAGTAAGATATATACAAATTTTTACTAACCTGTTTAATTTTCTCTTAGAATTTAGGATGGATGTTCCCCACACACTTATATAGTCCTGTCCTGAGTAGAACACACTGGCTACTGAATATTATCTGTTTTCCAGTTTTGAATAAGTCTTACACACTGAAGTCTATACCAAGCCATTCCCCATGGAATCTTTCAGTTAGACTATAAATGATGTCTATTTTATTGTATTGTTTACAGGGAACTCTTAAGGTGAATTTATGTACCTTTTTATCTAATTAGAACTGCATTCCTTTTTTTCTGAGTTTTCCTAAAACAATATTTATCACTTTGTTTTATTTCTTTAACTAATAATTCTTCTACATTTGTGATGCACCTATGACGTGAGGTAACGAGAAGTGATCATGATGATACTGTGACTGGATTTGTAGTCAAGTACTCAGGGTATTAGGTACCAAGTCATATTTGTAGAAATGAAGCCAGTTAGAAATAGACAGGAATATGTTATCATAGCACGCCACTAGCACATCTTCCACACCAGCTGTACATTTGTTTCCATTGATTTAAAATATATTGAAAGGCATATCAAATATTACATTTTATATATGTGTAATAGAATATGTTTGAGTGTTATTTCATTCTAGATCTATGTCTCACTGAATCGCTGACTTTAGAATGCTCGTTATAGTTAAATCTTAGAAATCTGATGGTCTGTCAAATGGAAACAAGTTTTAGAAATCAGACTGTGGAAGATTTGTTAGGGATAATAGGATCTTTAAGTATACCCCTGAGTACTACCTGTTACACCTGTCAAGTAACAGTTTTTTCTGACCTTAACAAACTTACTGGTTCCTAAGTCTTTTTGGCTGATTTATATAAATTCAGGATCATTAATATTTTAGGTCATTGTTATTGTTTCAACATATTACATTAATGTACAACTTTAATGCAATGGTACAAAAAACTTGAGATCTAAAGCTGTTTAGCAACTCACTGTAAAATTGTTGTGTACTTAATTTGATTGTTTTTGTGAAGGATTTGGTTGGTTTGCTGTTTTGCTAGATTCAATACATGGCTACACGAATGCTGTGCTGGTGAATTTGACTAACTATAAGCGCTTTAGTTCACAAACTTGGACTTCCAAAAACTTTTGTTTTATATTTCTTACATTTTTTTAAGGCATTGAACTGGATCCTGTTTTATTTCCTTTTTTCACAATATTTACTTTTGAAAACACACTTCATGCCTTGAAAATTTCAGTCAGTAAAAAATGGAGCTTAAGGTTTAGTGATTACAATTGCTCTTGTATTGTATTTCAAACATAAGTAAATCTTTGTTTATTATTAGTACATGATGTACATCTGGTTTTTGGATTTTCCAAGCCTGGATCTTAGCTATCACTCTAGGTCTACCTGATTTTAATGTATATACCTCCTAATTAACTTTGATTCTGATCACTTTGTAATTTGCAACACATGTCTTTTATTTAAAGGTTAAGATTTCTCATGTCAAAAATAAATATTTACTGAACTTATTTTGATGCCAAGTCAATCCTTATAAGGAGTATTGATTTGAATTGAAGTAATGTAAATGTTTTGTGCCAATGTAAATTTCTGAGAATATTTAGATCTCTGCTGTTTAATGAGGCAGTGTTAATAAGCTAAATCTGTCTTTATCTGTCCAATTGCATTTTGTCAAAAATTGATATCATCACTTTAGCTTTAAGGATATTCATCAGACTTTCTACGAATGTCAACAATGGTAGTGCAGATAAGTTTACATATGTCAAGGTCAATAGTTCTGTTTGTAGGTCAGGAGAAATTATTTACCATCAGTTAATCTCACAGCTGTTGTAACATAGGGCTAATACCGTTAATCTGAATAGATAAGCTGTGTGACAGTGGTCAGACCTTAAAATCCCAGACCTTCTGTCTGGTTAAATAGTCACCAAATGCACAATTCAAAGGAAAGTCACAGGCTTAATAGTGTAAAAGGTTTTCTACATTTCATAGAAAAGATGGGGTTAAAGTTAGGAACAATGCTATATTAATTTAAGAATTCAGAACAAATGTTATCTGTAGAGTTTGTTAAAAATTAAGACAATTTGTCTTACTGAAAAGGCTTAGTATTAAAGGACTTGTGTTTTCATCATAACATAGACACATAGGATATATGATTATTCAATAAAGATAATTGATAAAGGGATCAGAAATTAACAAATTGATTGTTTATGTTGGATATGAAGATTCCTCGTGAAAGTTCTACACCCAGTTTTGTTTTTTCTCCCACTAACTATACAATATTGTATTATGCTGTTGATTTGTATATGGAATTTATCACATAAATATGTTCATTTTAGCGTGGAAAAAAACAGATGGCTGAGCCGTGTGCCTACTGTATTGTGAGTGTAGGTCAGATGAAGGAGGAGAGTGCAGTAAAGATGAACACAGACAGTCCAATCTGGGAGGAAAACTATCGCTACCTTGTACATGATCCCAACATCCAGGTCATCGATGTACAGGTAAAAGAAGACTTACCTCCCCTTGTCATAATTCTCTCAACAGGTATCCTGAGTCATAACCTGCAAAGTGTTAAAAAAATCGTAGGATTTCGTAGAAAAAAGTGTACAATTTGTTATGTTTGGAAGCAACAAACAGTTGTGGCAAAGTTTAAGCAAGTTTTATTAAAATTTTGAATAGTTTTTAGATATATCATCATAACTCTGAAGGATTATAAATGGTAGCATGGTCTGGTAATTTTATTACTGATATTGTAAAAGTTATTGGATTTTCATATACATATTAAATGCATTTAAAGGATGATTCACAATATATACATATATATCTTAAAATTACTTTTGCTTGAAAAATAATGAAATTCTCACCAAGATTTCAGTAAATTTTATTAGTATGAAATTTGACATATTGTTTGCATGCTTTGGTTTCAGGTCATGGACAAGAAAACTGGAAAATCCCTTGGTGACATGAATTTGCCTCTCAAGTCTGTTCTTAGAGCTCCTGATATGACACTTGACCAATACTTCAGCCTGAAGAACTCTGGAGCTAGCAGCCAAATCCACATGAGGCTTGCACTGAGGGTAAAGATCCAGTTTGTCTTGTCTCTCCCCCTCTGCTCTTAAAAAAGTCTTCTCATTAGCAATTGGAAATAGCAGACCTCCACAGGGTTCTATAATGTCAGTTGTCAGATATCGTTTCTTTTTCACAAGAAAATTCTTGTTCAATGAAAATAATTCCTTTTTTCCAAAGGCATTTAAATAGTTTTTAATACATTATTATGGTGATATTAAAGCCACTGACAAAAGTGTAGTCTAAGTGTAGACATGCTTCATCTACACTTTCATTCTATATTACTCTATGTAGGGTGTTTTTGCAGGAATAGACAAAGGAGAAGTATAAAAATTACTTCATTAAGATGTCCTTTGTTATTTTGATACAAATTTGTAGGCGCTAGGTACAAAAAAGTCTAGAATTTACTTCACTGAAGTGTCACATGATACATTAGTACAATTTTGTAGGCACTGACAACAGAGAAATCTAAACATTACTTCAGTTAGATGCCACATGATACATTAGTATAATTTTGTAGGCACTGACAACAGAGAAATCTAAACATTACTTCAGTGAGATGTCACATGATACATTAGTATAATTTTGTAGGCACTGACAACAGAGAAATCTAAACATTACTTCAGTGAGATGTCACATGATACATTAGTATAATTTTGTAGGCACTGACAACAGAGAAATCTAAACATTACTTCAGTGAGATGTCACATGATACATTAGTATAATTTTGTAGGCACTGACAACAGAGAAATCTAAACATTACTTCAGTGAGATGTCACATGATACATTAGTATAATTTTGTAGGCACTGACAACAGAGAAATCTAAACATTACTTCAGTGAGATGTCACATGATACATTAGTATAATTTTGTAGGCACTGACAACAGAGAAATCTAAACATTACTTCAGTGAGATGTCACATGATACATTAGTATAATTTTGTAGGCACTGACAACAGAGAAATCTAAACATTACTTCAGTGAGATGCCACATGATACATTAGTATAATTTTGTAGGCTCTGACAACAGAGAAATCTAAACATTACTTCAGTGAGATGTCACATGATATATGAGTACAATTTTGTAGGCTCTGACAACAGAGAAATCTAAACATTACTTCAGTGAGATGTCACATGATACATTAGTACAATTTTGTAGGCTCTGACAACAGAGAAATCTAAACATTACTTCAGTGAGATGTCACATGATACATTAGTATAATTTTGTAGGCTCTGACAACAGAGAAATCTAAACATTACTTCTGTGAGATGTCACATGATATATTAGTACAATTTTGTAGGCACTGACAACAGAGAAATCTAAACATTACTTCAGTGAGATGTCACATGATACATTAGTATAATTTTGTAGGCACTTTTGCTCTGACAACAGAGAAATCTAAACATTACTTCAGTGAGATGCCACATGATACATTAGTATAATTTTGTAGGCACTGACAACAGAGAAATCTAAACATTACTTCAGTGAGATGTCACATGATACATTAGTATAATTTTGTAGGCACTGACAACAGAGAATTCTAAACATTACTTCAGTGAGATGTCACATGATACATTAGTATAATTTTGTAGGCACTGACAACAGAGAAATCTAAAGAGTCTACAGAACCTGAGCAGCTCATCACTCCTAGTGAAGTCAATAAGGACGGGACCCCAGTAGACAGTGCCACTGCTGCTGCCACTACCCCATCAGGAGCCCCAACTCAAGCAGCTCCAGCCCCAGCAGCTACACCCAAGGACCAAAAGGCTGCCTCCACTCCAGCTGCTAGCAAGGACACTGGTAAAATTGTCCCAGAGACTGTTTCATCAGACCAGTCCATTCCCCCAGGCAAGACAGCCACACCTCAACAGAGAACAGATACTGACCTGAGACAGAGAAAGGCTACTACACCTACTCCAGCAGCGTAAGTCAGAATGACAAGATATTTGCTACTGGACAATCAACTACTCTCCAATGTTGGTCAAATTGTAAACTGACAGATGATTCTCTCCACTCTTATATGTAAATGTACTTGAAATTTCAATTAGATTTCATTCATATTTCATACTGTATAGACTCTTCATTTATTACCTTGATCATGCCCAAGAGGACCATCTTTTAAATGATCAGAAGCAAGATATCATGTATCACCTTTTTATTTTTTTTTTTTAGAGGGGTGGGGGGGGGCCTTATTGGGTTTTTATTTTTATTTGTATGATTTTACATATTGATGTAAAAATATTTGGATAAAAGATTAGTTTGATGAATTCATATCTACTGAAATATCAGATATTAAGAGTACATAACTTGTATTAAGTGCTATAAATATTAAATAATAGGTTGTTGACATTTGTTGACAGGTTAAGATCTAGTCTTTACCGCAGGTAATACATCCAGCACCTACATTTGTGTTGCACTTGCATCTGTCTGATCACAGATTTTTCTCTGGTTAAAAACAGAAAATAAAAATGAATCATAAATGAAATACTCAACATTTTTCTCCTAGTTGTAAATCACCTAGTCTTAACTGAGATACAACAATATAATTACTAAGTGAATGGTTTAGCAATTAGTGACTAGTATATAGACAATTAAAACAAAAACTTCATGTAGAATGAAGTATCATGAATAACTCTCCCACAAAGACAAGCACAGAATTATAGTCTGCATAATCATTTCTTAATTTAGATAGATTAGATTTGGGTGTTCCATTTCTTATGGCAACCAATCAAAGATCAGTTTCTCAGAATGTGTAAGTATGACATCAATCTAGTTACATCTATAGATGTACAACTCTAGTCAGGATACAAAGTCACTTATCTTGACTCTGCCAATTTTAGGATGAAAATCGTATTTTTTGGTTGTCTTTGTATTTCCAAGACATTCAAATAAAAATGTGAAAAATAAGGCACATACTTTATCAAGGACCAAGTTTATAGGGGCTTTTAAAGGATTTGCTGCAACTTTTTTTGTGTTTTAGGAAAAACTTTTTAACTGATCAAATTTCGATCCTTTTATAAACTGTATGATTTTGTTGATAGCTGACAAAGGCTATTTTCAAATGGATGAAATGCAAATGTTTAAAAACAAAAAACAGAAGAAAATTTTGACTCTGAAACAGGAATTCTAGAAGTATAAATAGATGGCTTAAGAGCATACAGAATTTGGTCCATGGTGGTCCTTACATATTGTAAGGGAATTGCCATGTGGAAACAACTACAGGAGATTTACATCCTGTAGCCTGTATATAAACATTGTACAGTTGTATATCCTTTACTGACAAGGTACACAAGTGCAGACAAAAAGTAGGAGAATGTATTAACCATAATAGAAGTTACTTTCTCTTTCTTATAAAGTAGATTAGTAATGTATACCTGACAATTGTTCTTAGGACAAGAAGTGTCATATACTATTATAGATGAATAAACCAGTTGTAGAAATCTCAAGTGCAACTAGTGTGGTAGAATTTTACAAACCAGTTATGTTGCATATGTGCTCTGTTTTGTGCATTTCTAAGTCATAAAAGTAGCTCACATTGTTATATTTATCTCTTCCCTCCTCTAACACTCCCCCATCCATGACAGTGACTACAGAAGCAGCTTACAGGTGGTTTCCAACTGCTAGGACAGCTAGTTACATATAGATACCCACCTACCCAGCAATCCCGTTAACCCTCTTAAACATTACAGCTCTCCCATACCATGCTATCACTTCTCATTAGTCGTCATGGTATAAAAGTTCTTAGTCCTTCCTCAATCATTACCCTAAACAAATGAACTAATTATTGTACAATAAATGCCAACATAACCAAAAACAAAACAAAAGGTAAGACAATGTATACTGCTGGATCTTCTCTCTGCCTTTTATGTTTAAAATTGTCTTATTCCAAAGCACTAAAAAGCAACAAAGATTTAAAAACATATCCAGTGTAATGCATTGCTTTAATAACCCTACATTGGAAACCATCAGTCTGTATATCTGCATTTGAGATGTTTGTGAGATGGGTATAGCTTTGGAATACTGATTATATATGCTGTTTCATATATGAGGAGTATGTTGCTGTGACAGTTAATTTTGACTTTGACCTTCAAAAAAAAAAAAGAAAAAAAAATCTCAAGTATTCTCCTACACTATACATTTTCAAGGAATATAAAAAAAATTAAAGCATCAATTAGGATGACTTTTAAGTACATTTGGGCTCGATAAGTGTTTAATCTGTCTTTGCAACTAAAAAAGTGTGGCTCTTGTTTTTAGTTATTTAACACTACAGGTATATACACAATTTACAGTTTGATGTTCATGGCATTGAGCTGCTCTTTACAAGGGTGATACAGGGATTTTTTATTGACAGGAGCAGAAACTGAGTATGATAATATGTCATGGTTATGTTTATTGATTTGTCTAAATTTTTATCAAAAAGATATGTACAGAAATTCAACAGAAAGCACATCTTACTCTTGTTACTCCTTGTCGATGGTGGTATTGTATCGTATTGTATTAATGTTGTAATTCTGTTTCCAAGGCAACCCTGTTGGAAAATTATTACCATAAATTGACTGTAGCTCTTGCACACTCAGACATTCAGTTTTGTAATATCAAGAACTTTATTTCACATGAATACACATATAGTCTTTGTTGTAAATTGATTCCAGTTGTGTGGTAGTCAATAATCATCTTAAATATCAAAATATGAAAAAAAAAACTTATCTGTCAGGAAAGAAGACTTAATTATAGAGCAGATAATGTCACTAAAATACAGTAAACCTGGAGATATTGCCTGTTATTTCTCACCATATTTACTGTTGATGTTGTTCAAAGTACTTCATATTTTATACATCATTCTTAAACACCAATGTATGTAGGTTTCCCTTAGACCCTTAACTCAATGCATCTTTCATTTTGAAATTGATCTGCAGATATGATGGCTGACAAGCGTCCATTTTGAATTTGAACTCTTCAATATCTTTTTCACTTCTTCATGAAATAGACACGTCAAATTTTGAGCTTAGTCATGTACATGTTAGGTTTTAAGACATATTAGAAGAACATTATATCACCAGATGGCAATTTTTTTATTTAGACATTTTGAAATTCTGATTATTGTTCCCTGGCAAGTACAATATTTAAGGGCTCATTTTTTTCTATAGTGTTTATGACGGATATAACAAACATATCTGACGTAACTCTTATTTTTACATTCTAACTAATAGCTAGTGAGTTTAAATGACATTCAGGTATCGAAAGAACATTCCAAACATATCAATTCAATTTTTTCAACATATTACTACATAAGTAATATTTATTTGATTAAAAGAAAAGATCATACTTACAACATAGAGTTCAAAATTCCTGCTGAATATGTCTTTTGTTCTTTTTCAATCAAGTATGCCTTTGTACTTGATTTATGATAGTAACAGTTGTCAAAGTGGCAGTACATATAGTTGTTTTGAAATCAATAAGTGATTGTATTATTCAAGGTTCTGATGTCCCTTGATGAAGATATCTCTTTAGCTGAAGATCTGGTTTACACAGGTAATTTACAGATTATAAATGTCTCGTTAATCAAACAATTCATGAGGTATTTGTAAATAATGTTTACATTTGTTCTGTTTTTTGTAGACCTAATCCAAAAGGAGCATATGAACATGGTAGGATGAACCTGACGCTCAGGTACAGCTCTCAAAGGAAGAACTTGGTGGTCGTTGTCCACAAGTGTGTGTAAGTAATCAAGAGTTGCCTCCCTTCTACTGTAAGTGGATCCATTGTGGTTCCGGTGCCTTTAATCTGGAATACTGTTGTGGTTCTTTTTTATCACAATAGAAAAAGTCAGATTATATTTATGAGTAATTTCTGTAGAGATATCAGGAGTATTTGCAGATAAATTAATACTTAATTCATCATATTGTAGACACTTGATCGCCTGCGATGATGACAACTTGGCTGACCCTTATGTGAAGATGTATCTACTCCCGGACAAATCCACAAGACACAAGACCAAGATTGTCAAAAATAATCTGAACCCTATTTTTGATGAAACGTATGTATACAAACTTCATTGATAAAATACATGACAATATAGTGACAATGTTTCACAACAGAATTTATGAGGCATATTTATTCAATGGTGAAAAAAGAAATTAAGCTTTGTAGTATTTGATTTTGAATTAATGTTTAAAATCATGAAATAGTCATAATTGTTCCTTACTTCCTGCTCTCTGCTTTGTTTTTTGGATGAGAATTACTGATCTGCAGAGTATTTACAATGAAACAAAATGGCTCATTGTTTACTTGATATTGAATCTAAATACCTCCAAATCCGTTTGAGTTATTTAGTTAGTGAAACATGTATTTTTTGTGTGAATTGCAAGGTTTTCTAGAGAAAAATGTGCACAGTCAATTGTGGAAATTGCTGATTGGTCAACAGCTATTTGAATTTGAACATCATGAAGATCATAACAGATCTCGAACACATTCAGGGATCAGTATAGGCACTAGATGTTGGTATTCTATTTTGAGATATAATCAAATATTCAACAGCCGTTTGAAATTTGTGATCACTGTTTCTCAAGAACTGCTTTAGGGATCTTCATACAGCTTTACATCCTTATTTTGTGTATGCTATGTTGACATCACTGAATATAGAAGTGATTGCTAAAGATGATAAAGGGAATAGATCAGTCTAACATTGAACCAGGAACGATAATCCATGTTGGGTGCCACTGTTCCTCTGGGATCTCTTGTCTATTCTAGATTCTTCCTAGAGATATATATTTCAAATCAGACGGTTAGCTTGGAAATATTTGTGTATATTTGTGTGAAAGTGAAGGATAAAATCTGTTTATTCCTTAGATTTGAGTTTGAGGTAAACCCAGGAGATGTTAAAAATCGCACCCTGGATATCACAATACGAAATGATACATCAATGTTCTCTGGGAACAAGAGGACCATGGGAACAATGGCGATAGACCTCACCAATCTGGATCTGACTAAGACGACAACAGAATGGTAAGTGTTTGAATTAGCAGAGTTTGTAAAATCAAGTGTTACTTCTTGTCAATTAAATGAATGAGTGGATGGAATTGGGCTGTATACTCATCAGGTAAATCAGAGCTTTCATAGAAAAGCATCACACAACTTCCTTAAATTTGTGTGTTTCCATAATGTATGTGATGTTTTTTCTGAGGTTAAGATTACTTTGACTTAGGAAGACTTATGATACTGGTTACCAGGCTATTTAGAAACTGTTCTAAAGTGGGTCTCATTTTGTATTTCATAAATATTTGTATGGTATTACAGTTGTAGAGGATTGTTTGTAAGACCTTGAATACCACCTTTTACCCCGGGTAATATGAATTTAGAGCCGCCTAACAATGAATTAAACTGCATCATACAGATGTTTCATACCTCTAGGACTTGTCAGTGATGCTGTGCTGCACCATTACAGGATTTTAATATTATCAAGCTACAATTTTCTCATTTTAGGTTTGATGTCCGACCTGAGGATTATGAAGGCAAACCATACTCATTCAGTTCTGATGTTTAAACAATCTTCCCATGCATCACCATCCAATGACATTTTACAGCCAAGGATTCAAGTCATTTGTCATATAGTGTTATGTAACTTGCCTTTTATCACTCAAATTATCTCGCTCATATGTGTTGTCTTTAGATTTGCATGGCAATAATTTTATTGTAACAATTTATGCAAAGTTGAATCCATCCATTGCAGTTTGAGACTGAAAAATAGATTTATTGTTGTTTAAGATAAATTGTTGGGGTTAAGAAAATGTTGTTAGTGAAAACAAAATTACATATAATGGAGATGGCAAAAGATGGTGTGTAAAATCAGAATATTTCAAACATAAGTGAGTTATTTTATTTTGAACATGTACCATTTTACAAGATGACAGAATATTTGTCTCTAACTTACATTAAGAGTGATATGTATATTGAACAACAAATTAGCTTTAAAATGTGATCTTGTTAAGGTATTTAATTGCCATATTAAAGAACAATAATAGCTAGATAGGGTATTTTTTACAACTTGGATATATTTACCATTTTATTTTTAATTGTCAAGATCAGAAAAGCTGCATGAAATGCACTGTTGATATATTTTTGAAAGCGAACAGTTTACTTTGCATTGTTGATGGAATAAATAAGAGTCATATCATTCGTGATTTTACGGACAATGTTCCTCATGAACTTATTAGTAAGGACCTCAAATGTCCAGTCTCTGTTCAGACTGTCTCCAAATTATACATTACCACATGTATTTGTGGGAAAGAGTTTTTGATGGCCAAAAAAAGGGGGGGGGATTTTTTATTCCTCAAATTATGAGCCAATGTAATATCTAAAATTGTTTTTGTTCTCATTTCTGAAAGAATTTACCATGGTTGAATTCTCTTTACCCTCCAAAATAGTTTGTCTATGTCAGTGTAATCCCATTTTGATGGCTTTCAGTCATGATATTCAGTGTAACAAAGTCCACAACACATATCAGAAGCTACATTGTATATATGATGGCACCCCTAGCATATTGGTCATATTGTACGTTATGTTGGGAATGGTACTAGAAATATTTGTTATGTTAATACACAGTTATATTTACATATTAAAGTGATTTGATTTAACACAGTTATGTTTACATATTAAAGTGATTTCATTTAATACACAGTTATATTTACATATAAAAGTTGATTTTTATTAGCAAGTGCATGACAACCGTGTGTAATAGTGCACCTCTGTAGCTGGCAGAGAGTAATGCTTTAGGATACAACAGTTTACATACAAGTGATGGCTGCCTTCCTTAATGCTTAGAGGGACAAGTTCTCTATCATATACGGGCTGGGTGAACCATAAACTTTATTATCATTTAAAACATGAAATGTTTAGATGTGGTTTTTGATGTATCAAAGGTTTGATGAGCTACTCTTCTACAATGGCCTTAGCAATATAACACCTTTTGGTGGATGATGTGATATACAAATTTAATGCCTTTTGTTGTGCTGGAAATCATCGTCGTTCTTGGTGGCTGTATCTATGCATATTACGATATGCTGGAATGTGTTTGATATATATTATTAGATATAATCTATAGGGAGCTTTGGAATTATCATGAAATTTATTTTTTGGAAAAAACTGTTTGTTTTTATTTAAATGTTTTATTTTGTAAAGCTGATATTATGAAAAGTGCATCATTGTTACTACAGGGTTATGATTGGTACTTTGCCGAAAAAAACATGATTATTTACCACTACATGCTAAGTAAAAGTCTTGCAGGAGGAATTTTTTCACTTAAACTTAAAGAGTGCTTTTTACATGAAAACTTTATGATATTAGATAAATCAAAATTACAACAATATGAACTACATTGCACAATGTTCTGTTGAGAAAAATTACATCTTGTTACTTTGAATACTCATTCTATACAAAACTGATTTTGGTACAAGATTTTGATTTCCTTGATATTTTCAGCTTAGCTTTCATAAATTAACATTGTTATGGAATATCATCTAAATAGATCCATAGTACTATAACCTGTTGCTTTGTCAGACATTTAATTCTTTTATTGTACTCAGTTCTTTCCTTTTCATGTACTCAGTTGTTCTTTCCTTTTCATGTATAATCAGCTTTGTGATTGTGATAATGCTGTAACGTAAAACCACTGATCATGAATCTAGTGGATCTGTTATCAGTTTTTTCGATGTTAACTGTTTTCACATTTCTATTTTCTGTTTTCTTTTTATATCAATTTTTGTTCTATTTTCGTTGTTGTACATTTGAACCTAGGATATTGTTTGGGACCTATAACTAAATGTTACAATGCCTATATCTGGCATTCATTGCCACCATGTAAACATGGCTTTTGACTTATCCCATCCTTCTGTAAAATTTTCGACAGAAATATCAATATTTTATCAGTACTTAACTTTCAGTGGATTATTTGTTCATTCCACATAAAAATCTTTGTACTTCTGTTGATGTTATTGAGTGTTGAGTGTATTGAAACGGACACCAAATTATAAAGCCAATGATAAAGTACTGTTACATAAATGATTTATGTGGGAAACTGTAGGTCCATGTATAAAGAGTTCTGAATGACTGTTTATTCATGGCTAATTGAGAAATATAAGAAATCTCATTATATATTACATAATATTGTTTTGCTTTTGTAGTTTTAGGCAGATTAACATTGTATTTAATTTTATAATTATGTTGGTATAGCACTTGAGTTTATTGGTAGTTATGGTGGGAAATATAATGGTATTTTCATTATGATTAGTGCAATTATAAAACAAAATTAGCTGGTACACCTGTATATACTCGCATCCCATATCTAATTAATGGAACTAACTCAAAATGAAAAAAAGAGCTTTTGAAAATAAATAAAGAATACAAACTTTGTAAAGAATATTTCACTTTTTTTTCAGATATTAGCAAATCATCAGAAAAAAATATATTAATTTCTAAACAGTATAGATAACATACTATTAAAGTAATATACCATTCATGATAAAAATGTTACTAATACATGAATAGAGAGCACAGTTGTTGTTCGACTCCTCTGGATTGTTACTAATAACTCTCCTTACCTGCTGCTGCATACATCACACACTATAAATTTTACTTTTACCTATATTTGTGTTTGTTGTTTGTTAATATTTGTTTATTCTGACATTGTTGAGTTTGGAGGAGTCGTCTCAGGTTTCAACCACTCTCTTTTAAACTTTGATTTCTTAAGTTTGTTACTTGAAACTTGCCGGAGATGATTCTGAGGTGGTCCTGGCCATGACCGCTGTGTTGAGAAACGCCTGATAAAGCTTCTTCTCATAATCAGCTGGTATAATTTAGCTTAAATTTTATGGGAATGTGGAAAAACTGAATCGAGGAATGTTATTTGCCTTTCTTGGCGAAATATTCCAAACTGATCTGTGCGTTTTATTATATATATGTCTTTATGATCAGATGATTTTAAAACCGTAGGCCTATTCTTCATCATCTTGTTTTAAACCAGGCTTTTTTAATCTTGGTAGTCTTCAATTTATTACTATGACATGAAATCGTCTAGAAAAACATAAAGTCCATGATGTTCTGATGGCTGACAGGCGAGTTACAAAGAGAGATAGCCAGTACAGTTGAGATTTCACAGGAAATAGTACATTCCATTCTTACGGAAGATCTTGGATTAGAAAGCTCTCAGCCCGTTGGGTACCAAGACGTCTGACAGTTGATCAGAAGCACACCAGGCGGATTCTGTTGCATGCCAATATCACTCCAGAGGCCAAGCAATAGTCTAAACAATGGAAGCACCCTGGTTCACCCCCTACAGAGATGGCAAATACTGTTCCATAAGCTGGAAAGATCATGACCTCGTATTTCTGGGATGCTAATAGTCAACTGATGATAGATTATCTGCAAAAGGGATAAACAATCTTTAACACATATTATGCATCATTTCTAAGGCAGTTAAGAGGGAACATTAAAATCAAGCGGCGCGGAAAACTCAGTAAAGGTGAGTTGTTCAACCAGGACAATGCCCGGTTCACAAGTTTGTCATTGTCAAGGCTGCCATTAACGATTGTGACTTTGAATTGACTGAGCATCAGTCTTGTTCGCCTGATCTCGCTCCATCAGACTTTCATCTATTTCCAGAATTTAAAAAAGGCAATTTCTGGTACCCAGGTTTGGTTTGATGATGACGTTATATATGCAGTAGATGACTTTCTGTACGGCAAGGAAAGGACTTGTTTAAAAGTGGCATCGGTGTCCTTAAACATCGCTGGCAAAAATGTATAGATACTGAAGGGGATTAAGTTGTAAAGCAATGCAATATGTCCGCCAAAAGTCAAACCCTTAAATATGAGACTCCACTTATCAATCAGCCCTTGTATATGTAATAAAATATTCTATAAATGAAATTTTGTTTTCTTGACCGGCATCTAGATTTAACTAATTTTCAAGCTGTTATCATTTTGTTATATTCAGTATTTTGATTTTGTCAACAAAATTCTTAGTTTTCATTCGTTTTTTTTTCAAATCCATTTCAGCAAATAACATCCAAACATACAACACTGTTTTCTCCGTTGCTTTGATGCCGACTTTAAGATTTTTAGAAGAGTTATTGCCCTTTGATATTTTTAGCTTTTAAGCTTTTTTCATGATGACAAAAATCACACTCGGTAGCGTTTTTTTATGAAATGATTATTGTTTCATCTCCATACCTGTATTCATTTCGGTACCTAGTTATACTGTCCTCCACACATCCTCTATTAAATACGCTTTACAATCCTGCGGGGTCAGAACCTTGAGCCTATTTTGTACGATTATAGGTGAAAGAGGTTTTTACAGATTTCGCAATAAGCTATCAATATTCAGCGTTTAAATGTGTTAGTTGTACAATGCGTTTGTTACCAGATTTGATGAACTTTTCGATATATTCATCCTCGTATGGAAACAAAAACATGTGTGCCAAAAGAAGTATACACATTGTTCCTAACTGTTAACAGTAAACTGGTTATAGCTTGTTTAGCCTGTTGGAAGTTATTGCCAACCAGAAATCATTTTAATAAAGCTTTCTCCGATATATTTCTTCTTTAATTTGACTCTTTTGGAATGGTATGGTAGTGTTCAGAGAGGGAAAATCAGATGTTCTTATCGAAGAAACATTTTTCTTAAGACGATATACACAACAACTGTCCGAAAATTATACTTAAATTCGGATGTAACCACTCAGCCCATAGGAAAATATATTTTGACAGGAGCCTAAAACACGATCCAGTGACAACGATATAATGATATAGTTTATTCTTACGTAATACCACTTATGACGTCACATCGCGATCTTGTTGCTAAGCTGCTTGTTGCTAAGCTGCCTACCAATCAACCAGGCAGAGATCATCCGCCTCTGTTTTGTTTTTATTTTGCGTTTTTCGTTTAAATTTTTAAGTATTTATTTACTAGTGACAATTCCTAACATGGTTTCGTGTAACAATCCAAGTGTTTCACTGAAAATTGACTAACCGTGATGAAACGAATTTCATTCCTGATTTTTATAATATTACTGTGTGCAATTCGGGAAGGACCTACCACATACAAGGACCTTGGATGGTAGGTATCATCACTTCAGTTGTTTTACTTTCAACATCTATCGTCTATATATAGTGTCGAAGATTTTTTCAGAAATGTGCATAATTTTAAACACTGAATGTCTCGAATTACGGTTCTGTTGACTGTTCACTCCTGTAAATACTATCTACATTTGCTTCAGTTACTACAGCAAGAATGCTTCACTTATTATACATTTACAAGTAAGGAAATGGGTTCCAAAAGACAAAGAATTCCTCCTGATATCTATATCAATATTTTACATGCAGCCTACAGTCTCACTACAAAATTAGATAAATGGACACACAATGACCCAAAATTGACCCCTCTTTGCATTTCTTTCGAATTTGTTGTGGTTGAAACCATACGATTGTGATATGGTTCTGTTTGTCTTATTCATCATATTATCATACTGTAAGAAGTTTATTATTTTCAGTGTTGAGCCCGAACATGGATACGTCCATAGGTTGATCCAATACTTCACAGCAACAAAAATTGAAAAACTGTGCCCAACTCACATGGATCTGGTATGCGTAAGTATGCAAAATCGATTTGAGGAAAAGTTTAGGGCACATTACCTTCCGAAAAAAAATCTGGCTAGTTCCCCGTTTTGATTTTGTTGCTACCTTCAATTCCTTTGTTTTGCCCAAGATGCCTCCTGGGTTTCAAAATATAAGCCCTTTATATCACATTGGCTTATCACCGTTTCACATTGAAAGGTACTATTCACTTATGTATTTTTGGACAATTTTCGAAAGACTTGATACACAGAAATCTATAACATTGACATTGGTGATTTTCATCGATTACGGTAGTACACAAGTAACTTTTTTTTTAATCTAAAGCATGGGAGTCGATTTTCGTTTTCTGTAACAACTGCTTTTATTGGGTGCAGTATACTGACCATGACAGATGTTTTCCGTTCGTATTCCAGAGAATTGGATATGAGGTGTTCTCCATTATTATCTGTATGCTTATCACACTGTTGCTTGTCTCAGTGCCATCTATTGGAATCGCCCTCAAAAACAGATTGTCAAGAATGGTGTCGATGGCACAAGAGTGGAAAAACCGTGAGTAACTAGTTTTATTCCATTGGTACATTATCAATATTGAAGTATGGCTGTTTTTATTTATTCATTTTCGCTTTATATTTATAGTGTAATAATGGTGTCACAGGAAGTGACGCATCACGCAATGGACAGTACATATAACGTAAAAATGTGTCACAGGAAGTGACGCACCACGCAATGGACAGTATTTATAGTGTAATAATGGTGTCACAGGAAGTGACGCACCACGAGATGGACAGTATTTATAGTGAAAAAAATGTATCAAAGATGGAACAACAACGTGTGTATCATTTTGAACACAGTAAAGAAAAGGCAAAGCGGCGAGTCATTTCAGTATTTTTGTCCCTAGCTATAACTAAACTTGTGTTTTAAGACGCTGACCATAGAAAATCATTCCACACAAACCATCCTTCATGGCTTGGGTGGCTGGGGAGGGTAATGTTGTTAACATTGGAAGGGGCAATCTATATATCATATGTATTGTGTTTATCTGTTTATCTGGTAGGCAAACTGTAAGCATCTAAACAAAATTCAACATATACAATAATTGAGAGGTGCACTGATTGTGTAGCAACACATGAACTTTAAGCTTCACCAGACAGCTTGTTGCGATAAAACTATATGTCTCGGCTTTTGAACAAAAGAGTTTAAACTTGCCCATAATTATTGCACCGTGAGAGGTTAGGCTTTCATATTTGGCATGAGTGTTCCATGTGATAAGACCTTTCCGGTGGTTCCAAGTTTTTCACAATGTGACCTTGAACGTGACCTTTGACCTACATTTGAAAAAATAGACGTTGGCCATAACTACTGATTTTAAACTGCCAAAACATTACCACAATGAAGACATATGTGTTTAACAAAGTGTACGGGCAAATAGCACATGTCTTACACAGTACAGTTTTAATGTCCCACATCAGAATTCTGTTGCGACCGGAGCATAGTGTTTCATAAACACATCTTGTTTCCATGTTTAAACACGTCCGGGACGAAACTTTGTAGCATTATTTCAAAATGCTTGTGAAAGGAACATTAGAAACCGATGTGAAACAACACACTCGGAGAATTCCTTTCAGACAGTTAAGAGAATAAGCACGATAAGAAGTAAAATATATATGAAAAAAAACCCAAATTAATAATTTTGCATATGCAGGTGTATTCCGTTGTCGTTACTGTGGAACTAACCCGTGTCAGGTGAAAAGAAGATCTACCTGGTTAAAGTTACGCCCTCCTAGTAATAACAATGATAATTATTCCGAACGCTCTAACGCCATGATGCTCTATAACTGCGGCTTGGAAGTGTCCACGCTACTGACCAAAGAGCTTCCTCAGGACGACACGTACTGGGAGAGAAGATTCTGTCAGACATTTGAGGAAAAGCATATGCGTTTGTTTCCACTGTGCATCCAGCGTCAGATCGACAACAGCTATCCCGTCCCCCGGTAGGTAGGTAAGTAGTACAGCGTTAGATCTGCTACTGCTATCCCGTCCCCCGGTAGGTAGGTAATACAGCGTCAGATCTACTACTGCTATCCCGTCCCCCGGTAGGTAGAGCGTCAGATCTACTACTGCTATCCCGTCCCCCGGTAGGTAAGTAGTACAGTGTCAGATCTACTACTGCTATCCCGTCCCCTGGTAGGTACAGCGTCAGATCTACTACTGCTATCCCGTCCCCCGGTAGGTAAGTAGAACAGTGTCAGATCTACTACTGCTATCCCGTCCCCCGGTAGGTAAGTAGTACAGCGTCAGATCTACTACTGCTATCCCGTCCCCCGGTTAATAATTAGTACAGCGTCAGATCTACTACAGCTATCCCGCCCCCGGTAGGTACAGCGTCAGATCTACTACTGCTATCCCGTCCCCCGGTTAATAAGTAGTACAGCGTCAGATCTACTACTGCTATCCCGTCCCCCGGTAGGTACAGCGTCAGATCTACTACTGCTATCCCGTCCCCCGGTAGGTACAGCGTCAGATCTACTACAGCTATCCCGTTCCCCGGTAGTTAAGTAGTACAGCGTCAGATCTACTACAGCTATCCCGTCCCCCGGTTAATAAGTAGTACAGCGTTAGATCTACTACTGCCATCCCGTCCCCCGGTTAATAAGTAGTACAGCGTCAGATCTACTACTGCCATCCCGTCCCCCGGTAGGTAAGTAGTACAGCGTCAGATCTACTACTGCCATCCCGTCCCCCGGTTAATAAGTAGTACAGCGTCAGATCTACTACTGCTATCCCGTCCCCCGGTAGGTACAGCGTCAGATCTACTACAGCTATCCCGTCCCCCGGTAGGTACAGCGTCAGATCTACTACAGCCATCCCGTCCCCCGGTAGGTACAGCGTCAGATCTACTACTGCTATCCCGTCCCCGGTAGGTAAATAGTACAGCGTCAGATCTACTACTGCTATTCCGTCCCCTAGAAGGTAAATAGTACAGCGTCAGATCTACTACTGCTATCCCGTCCCCGGTAGGTAAGTAGTACAGCGTCATATTTACTACTGCTATCCCGTCCCCCGGTAGGTACAGCGTCAGATCTACTACTGCTATTCCGTCCCCCGGAAGGTAAATAGTACAGCGTCAGATCTACAACTGCCATCCCGTCCCCCGGTTAATAAGTAGTACAGCGTCAGATCTACAACTGCCATCCCGTCCACCGGTAGGTAAGTAGTACGGCGTCAGATCTACTACTGCTATCCCGTCCCCCGGTAGGTACAGCGTCAGATCTACTACTGTTATCCCGTGCCACGGTAGGTAAGTAGTACAGCGTCAGATCTACAACTGCATTCCCGTCCCCCGGTTAATAAGTAGTACAGCGTCAGATCTACAACTGCCATCCCGTCCCCCGGTAGGTAAGTAGTACGGCGTCAACTCTACTACTGCTATCCCGTCCCCCGGTAGGTACAGCGTCAGATCTACTACTGTTATCCCGTACCCCGGTAGGTAAGTAGTACAGCGTCAGATCTACTACAGCGTCAGATCTACTACTGCTATCCCATACCCCGGTAGGTACAGCGTCAGATCTACTACTGCTATCCCGTCCCCCTGAAGGTAAAAATACAGCGTCAGATCTACAACTGCCATCCCGTCCCCCGGTTAATAAGTAGTACAGGTTCAGATCTACTACTGCTATCCCGTCCCCCGGTATGTACAGCTTCAGATCTGCTATCCCGTCCACCGGTAGGTAAGTAGTACTGCGTCAGATCTACTACTGCTATCCCGTCCCCCGGTAGGTAAGTAGTACAGCGTCAGATCTACTACTGCTATCCCGTCCACCGGTAGGTACAACGGCAGATCTACTACTGCCTTCCCGTCCCCCGGTAGGTACAGCGTCAGATCTACTACTGCTATCCCGTCCCCCGGTAGGTACAGCGTCAGATCTACTACTGCTATCCCGTCCCCCGGCAGGTAAGTAGTACAGCGTCAGATCTACTACTGCTATCCCGTCCACCGGCAGGTAAGTAGTACAGCGTCAGTTCTACTACTGCTATCCCGTCCCCCGGTAGGTAAGTAGTACTGCGTCAGATCTACTACTGCTATCCCGTCCCCCGGTAGGTAAGTAGTACAGCGTCAGATCTACTACTGCTATCCCGTCCACCGGTAGGTACAGCGTCAGATCTACTACTGCTATCCCGTCCCCCGGTAGGTACAGCGTCAGATCTACTACTGCTATCCCGTCCCCCGGCAGGTAAGTAGTACAGCGTCAAATCTACTACTGCTATCCCGTCCCCCGGTAGGTACAGCGTCAGATCTACTACTGCTATCCCGTCCCCCGGCAGGTAAGTAGTACAGCGTCAGATCTACTACTGCTATCCCGTCCCCCGGTTAGTAAGTAGTAAGTAGTGTCTATTTCTAACATTATTTGAATTATAACTCAGTCATTGTATACACTTTTCGTTTTTGCACATTCTTGTAAAAACTCTCACACCGGCAGCTTTTTATATGAATTCTAATCTTCAGCTAGAGAATAATGAAACAAATTAACCATACAGAGTGCCGGAATCTCTTTTTATGCTTAGTTTCTGTTTCTCCAAAATTGCTATCCGAGAAATTCGTCCAGAGTACGGACGTAATACCTAAAGGAATAGATTATTCCTTTTCGCTTAAAGGTTTCGTGTACAATGTGAGCTATTGTCGGCTTGTAGTAGATACTATGATAATGTAGGTAACTGTCCCACTCTCACTTTGTGAGATGTCAATTGGTACTTTTAAAATTAATTTCTAAGCTGTAAGGCGGGTCTGGAAGACGTGTGTTCCTCTAGCCTAACAACTGGGTCACTGATACTACATGAGTTGTTGGGCAGTGACATTACCTTATTGTTAGTCTGTGACCATTTTCGTCTGGGTATATAATAAACCAGCCTTTTTTCTATAGAAATCCATTCAGTGTCGTTATTGTATTTCAAATCTCGCTGTTCTTGTGTAAACATTTCACGATTTAATGAACTGATTTTATTTTATATAATGAACAGGTTTTATACTTTGTTACATATTAAACAAGACATATTGTTACATATTGTATTAAACCAGTATTGTAACTTTATATTTCACCAGTATTGTTATTCTATTTCATACCTAATCCGTAAAGTTATTTTATTTTATATCTAATTAGTAAAGTTATTTCATTCTATATTTAATCTGTAAAGTTCTTTTATATTCCATTAGTAAAGTTACTTTATTTCATAATTAATCAGTAAAGTTGTTTTACTTTTATATTTAACCAGCAAATTTCTTTTAAAAAATCAGTGTTTTTCTCTATTGTATAATTTTGTCGTTCCGTATTTCAGAAATTCTGCATTGTCCATTTAGGAGTCGATAAAATGGTTGATTTTGACTGCATGTATGTCGTCGGTTTGTGAGATGTGAGGTTTATCTAACGAACATTTGTGATACATAGACACTACTAGTGATTTTATGAGATCTGTCAAGGGGTCATCTACTGGCGCAAAGGATAACAATTGGCGAGACCTCAGAAGGTTAACGTAGTTCCAGTGGTCGGCTGGCGAGGCCTCAGAAGGTAAACGTAGTTCCAGTGATCGGCTGACGAGACCTCAGCAGGTTAACGTAGTTCCAGAAGTCGGCTGGCGAGACATCAGAAGGTTAACGTAGTTCCAGTGTTCGGTCGGCGAGACCTCAGAAGGTTAACGTAGTTCCAGAAGTCGGCTGGCGAGACCTCAGAAGGTTAACGTAGTTCCAGACGTCGGCTGGCGAGACCTCAGAAGGTTAACGTAGTTCCAGAAGTCGGCTGGCGAGACCTCAGAAGGTTTACGTAGTTTCAGAGGTCAGATGGCGAGACCTCAGAAGGTAAACGTAGTTCCAGTGGTCGGCTGGCGATACATCAGAAGGTTAACGTAGTTCCAGTGGTCGGCTGGCGAGACCTCAGAAGGTTAACGTAGTTCCAGTGTTCGGTCGGCGAGACCTCAGAAGGTTAACGTAGTTCCAGAAGTCGGCTGGCGAGACCTCAGAAGGTTAACGTAGTTCCAGACGTCGGCTGGCGAGACCTCAGAAGGTAAACGTAGTTCCAGTGGTCGGCTGGCGAGACCTCAGAAGGTAAACGTAGTTCCAGTGGTCGGCTGGCGAGACCTCAGAAGGTTTACGTAGTTTCAGAGGTCAGATGGCGAGACCTCAGAAGGTAAACGTAGTTCCGGTGGTCGGCTGGCGAGACATCAGAAGGTTAACGTAGTTCCAGTGGTCGGCTGGCGAGACCTCAGAAGGTAAACGTAGTTCCAGTGGTCGGTCGGCGAGACCTCAGAAGGTTAACGTAGTTCCAGAAGTCGGCTGGCGAAACCTCAGAAGGTTAACGTAGTTCCGGTTGTCGGCTGGCGAGACCTCAGAAGGTTAACGTTGTTCCAGAGGTCGGCTGGCGAGACCTCAGAAGGTTAACGTAGTTCCAGAAGTCAGATGGCGACACCTCAGAAGGTTAACGTAGTTCCAGTGGTCGGCTGGCGAGACCTCAGAAGGTTAACGTAGTTCCGGAACTCGGTTATTGGTTGTTTCACGTGTATCTTTTATGGTAAATACTGAGAAAAATCGTCTTCTGAATACAAATGGGATATATGAAAATAAGTCTACTGGAGAATAAAGATAAAGACATTTTCTTCTTGATCATTTTTGACATAATGCTGCCCTTTACTTGAGGAGCTAGATGTATCATTCAACTGAATAATTACGTCACAGTCTTCGAATATAGAGGCAGATCACTCGGCAATGCAATGATGTAAATCATTTTCCATAAAAAAAAGATCGACGGATTATATCTGATAAATCATTTACGATTAATTTTATAGTTAAAGCGTCTAAGCTATGACGGGGATCTAACAAAAGGCAGTGTGACATGGAATCCATATTCAGCTTTAGGACAATTTCATGTGAAATTGGTATCAGCATTCAGGAAATCTTAACTTTGTGTTTAAAAACACCAACATTGTAAACAATGCATTTGACAGTGACG